TTATGGAGCCGTCAGCTTGTTTTCCTTTCACTAGGAAAAATTAAAAGGTTCGACGTTTAGTTTGCCCTGGTTTATGGGTCTTTCATTCCATTTAGCAAACAGAATTGCTATGCATTAATTCATCGTACCAGTTATACACTGTCCTTAATGCATGAATGGGTAGTTTTTATAGGAAGAAAATCTTCCAGGTTTATAGGAAGAATATAAAAGGAGTTCCCGAAAAAAAAATTAAAGGAAACGATGTGACGGCATATAATGTCTTCCACTGATTGCCGGTGACCACATGAGACAGACAAAAGGCAGAAGTGAAAGATCTATTACAGCTCACAACATTTCCACTTTCATCTGCTGACTTTGAAATTCCCAGACCGAGATCTATAAGGAACATATATCCACTAAGAAGCTCAAGAATTAAACTGAAATCTGTCGAGGGCCTTGTATCCATGGTTTAGTCCTAGACAAGAACCGCTCTCTACTCAGTGAATTCAGCGCTACTACCGAACTCATTGGTGCATACATGGTATGAACTGATCGTACAGCCATCAATAGATTATCACGGATACCTTTACTGTCAGCCAGGATTATCAAGGTCTGGATCCCTCGGTTAACTACTTTATTTTCACTAATACGATCTCGCCCAACCAAGACAATAGCGTGCTGTTCAAGGAATTTCGAGGCCCTAGACATTCCTTTCGTACAAAGGGGGTAAGTTTCTAAAGAAACTGTGGTGCTGCATCAGTGGAAGAGTATAACAAACGCTCTGACATAGGGCGGACGCTCGAAACGTCAGCCTAAACTCTTTACGGTGGCCAATTTACGTTTTCAACCCACTTGAAAACACTAAATTACCCCGTTATTCCTTTCGTACAGTTTAGACAATGAAAACAACTAGATTATTCCTCGAATATCCTTGTATCTCCAGTGGATTAATATTGTGTTAGTGTTGTAGAAAATGGTATTGGCGCATTTACAATCCGAGAGAAGCTTAGCTATTAAGAAAGTAGTCCAAACTGATGAAATCAGCTGATGTTCAGGAAAAGGAGAACTCTAACTACTCAATCTCAATCCTCTTTCAATAAGCACATACTAACCGATCCTAAATCGAGATTGTCCTAGTCCGTGTGCCTTTGATACTAAGCGGAAACTTCGAGTGAGGGAAATAACTTAGAATTGAGGCAACATTGAAAGTGAGAACCTCCTAAACTGAAAAAGCCGGTATAGGGTAATAACGCTGATCAACATTCAAGCAAGATGTAGCTATAATTTTATTTTCAGATTTCATTGCTAACAGTCGGCTTTCAGAATCACTAGGTGTGTTTGTACTTCTCAGTCGAAAGATTCAGTCATCGTCACTAGTTTTTATCTCGGAGTTGCAATTGTAATTTTGATCAAATGTCGAGCAGAATCATTTTACCTCCAACAACACATCCCTTCATATCCACGAACAGAACACTGTCTGCGAGTCGCAGATGAAAATTGGAACGTAATTTACACCATCTCCTGAAGATGTAATTAAGGGCATCACTTTGTTTCCTGTCTCGAATGGGAAATTAAAGAGGAGGACACTGTCTGAACAATGAACTTAAACCGCAAAACCATCCTTCTTTTATCAAATTGCCCTGTACCTCACCTCAACTAAGGCACAGTTTCATTCGATTTCAGATATTACTGAAGTTTTTTGTCCTTTTCTAAGGCACTTTATTTTAAAACAATAAGCGTCCCAATTCATCATTCCAAGACTCTTTCATACGCTGTTTACTTTACTGGTACTGATGAGTAATGCCAGCTGGTATCCTTCTCGCCATTCCAGGAACGTTAAACACCAAAACAAGCACTCGAAAAATAGGTATCGCAAATACTTTCTTGTACTGTATCACCAGAAATAAGTTAGACAAAAAGATTTGCTATCAGAATCTGTTCCCAAGTAGGTCATTACAAAGAATGATCCCTCTAGTGTACAGCCAAGGCTATTATTTGTTATTTGCTGGCCATGTGCTACAAATACTAATTTAAAACGTGTTCAAGCAAACCGAAAATGTTTTACTCTGTACCTGTTGTTCTTAGCAGAGCACGCGCATGTTTCTTTTTTTTTTGGAAGGGGGGATCGGAGCATTCGAATTTAAATTGAAAATTTGCGCGTAATTTTTAATTCTGGCTGTTGTTTTGCTTCTTCTGCAGGTGCAAAGACTTCTGGTGATGAATTTGCCTTGATAACGTTCGTGGATCTATGCTTTTCGAGAACTATACTAATATAATAGCGACTTTATAACTAGGGACTGTATATTTCAGAGCATCTGCACTTCTAACATTAGTTGCAAAGTACTTCAAAGAAAAAGTGGATTACACAACCACAATAATCTGAAATTATCTATTTGCGTCTTAGAGACTAAGCTGTTAACGCATTGTGCTATAGAAGCATGATAAGGTTATTCACCGCGCAACAAAGGTTTCAGGTAGTCATTACTTCATCAGTTTCCTCAACGCCAGTTAAGCGTAGTAAAAGTATTATTATCAATTCTACAAGTTCTAGAAATATCGTGAAGTCTTTAATAGTTCTCATCTACATTCCACAGTAAGTGAAGGTATTTACTATTTATCAGAACAAATATTTCGTCCCCGTCGTGGTTTCTGCTTTTCAGGACGGGGTTTGAGGGCCCGTACGATCGTCGCATGCAGAAGCGATGTTCATGTGACGCAGTTACAAAACTATGTAGAACAAATTAATGGTTTTATGTTTTAAAATAGCAAATCCATTTTATTTCTTTCAACAAGTTCGCAGGTTCAAATGGGATTCAAACAACTGAAAAGAGAGATTACTATCAGTTTTTCAAACAGTGTTTACTAATTCCTCATGGAAGGAATTGAACCTTTGTTAATATTCCATTTATTACTTTAAGTAATTACAATCAACCTTACCATAGAACATATTTAACTATTACCGATTTTAAGTGCGTGTCAAACTGTGTCAGTTGTGACCCGACATACGCACTTAAATTTGTTTTACATTTCACAACCCTATTGGATATTAAAAGGGCCTTTAATTTCCGCCGGACAAATAAATCTGTAAATCACTTCCATTTCTGTTCAGATTATTAGTGTTGCTCACTTAAAAAAGACAGATTGATTTCTCAAGATAGGATACAGATAGGCCAGACCTTCATCAACGCAAGACAATTTCAAAAATTTTCTCTGGCTGATTTCTGATGCTTTTATCATTTCTTATTTTTTTCTTTTCTATTCACCATTTACAGAACGCACGCAAGCTTGAATACTAACGCCGCATTAAAGAACTGCTAATTGTAATGAAAAAAGTCGACAATATAAAGAACCGAAACAATATCTGAAGCAAAAGCTAACTGAAAATTCCACCTATTAAGTAACAGCTTTTCTTGTTTGCTTTCGGTATCTTACTTCGCGATAACATCGATATAAGACCTGGTCTTGCCCTGAATTGAATACGATATGTGACGGACGGTAATTACTGAGATTTCAGCCAAATGCGTCGCATCTGTTGTGCGACGGTGAAATAGAACTCAGTATGCAAATGTTGCGTGAGGATGGCTATAAAACACCTCTACAATGAAGGCTGAAGGCGATTTTTAAAATTCATTATAGCCACTGTCCAAGTCTGAAATGGTGCGAATTTCCGAAAATTGTTTATTTCTAATATTTAAAGCGCTTTATGTACATACCGGTTTTATTTGGTTTCGGATGTATTACTGTAAATTCCTCTTTTCCGGCGCTTTTAGGTGTCATAAAAGCTTTCAGAAAGCGATAATCTAATGATACGACAGACCATCAAAGCACGAGGCGAGACATTTTCATACCCTTGACTTGAGACGATTAAAAAAGGAAAACATCGCGAAAAGTTTGTCATAGTTCACTGGGTTTATTTGTACGATTTATTTAGCAGAAGAAGAGAGGGAATTTGTAGGATTTGAACATCGATAACCTACAGATAGCTTCTTGCGTTATCAGGGGCTGTTTGGCAAATATTTGCACGTGACTGACAGATCGCCGATAAGCTTACTTAAAGTGCTTTTTTAATAAAGCCCATGTCGAGAATGTGTCAGCATTCTTTGGAGTTATTGAGCTCAACCGCACCTGACCAAATCTAACCCGATATTTTTCCCAGCGTTGATAGCATATCTTTGTCAATGAAACCTTCACTTGGTTGTTATCTCTTAAATGAACCTTTGAAGCGAGATTTAAAACATCTGCTAAGTGCTCTTATCCGTAAACTACGTTTCCAAGTATATAATCGAGAAAATAGCTTTCTTTCGATCTGAAGAGACAGCCTAACGCACACTATGCTAAAAGAAACTTCACTAAACGTGTCCTACAATGCGTGAAACCTTTCGCCATCAATAGGTATAATTATGACCACTGGGTCTAGTTTGGACCCCCACAACTGAACGTTTTCGAGATGGCCACTATGTTTACAGTTGAGGTGTATTACACAGAGACATTATGGTAATTAACTATTGTTGGGTGGCACTCATTAAGAGTGTATTTGACCTGAGTTTGACATCTTTCATCGATAAGAACCCTCACCTCTGTGTAACGCAAAACGGTATTCTCATCCTTTGAAAGCAGTGTTTGGACGCAATTTGTAGCGAAGAAGAATAGAAATAGTAAGCAATTAACGCGCCTTTCATAAACCCTAGGGCAAAGTGCTAATCGTTATGACACGCTGTCACTTTCAGGCTGTTTTTACAAAAAGGATCTATTAGCGAGTTTCTTTTTCTTCAACTTCTTTTTTTCAAATGCTAATCGTGCAGTCGAAAAGAGTTCGAAAAGACAACGAGTAAGTAAGGAAGACTGTCAATGGATATGAACAAAGGATTTTCCATTAAAGTAAAGCTGCAACAGCTGAATAAGGCATGACACTAACGCTAAACAGCTCACTTAGCGCCAGTTGAAATAAGAAAAAAAAAAAGCTAACAACCACAGGCAAAAACCCCTAAAGTAATATCCAGTAAACTGGTACGTATTATTGTTGGGTATATTACAAGAGGACAGTAAATGCTCATTGTATCAGAACAACTTTACTATATTCATTTTTCACTCCTTCTATTTAACCTAATAATAGCGACTTAAGAAGATCGCACAATCAAAACATAGAGATGTCAGCCGTAACGTGTTGAATTTTTTTCATTCTCCACATGAAGACAAACAGGGCAGCCCTGTATGAAGATATCTTATGTTACAAGTTCTGCGCCCTTTGCAGATTATATTTATACATTTAAACATTTACAACGTTATATCTCTGTACAACAATTCAAAATTTGACAATAAACTTAGAGTAGCTTTTTTTTCGAAGGGCCCTTCTAGTTTTCCTTGCTTTTGTCCATTTTCTGAGAGAGAACAAGGCTCTGCGCTTTAGTCTCCTGACTTCAAATAGTCGATATTAAATAATCGTCATCCATAGCATCAATTTTATTTTCTAAATAATCTCTCTCTGCTTCTTTCTTTAATTGTTCGAAAGCGTTGATTTCTACATTTTTCCTGAGGATCACTCGCCTTTGCGTAGATCGTCTGTTGATTTTGAAATCGGTGAATTTTTTAGCCCGCGAAAGTCTTCCATCGCTTTTCCCTCAGGGGAAAAACTGCCTTTGCATTGTGAGATGTGTTGACCCTGTTGTTGGTTCATTCTGCGGAGGAAAATAATAAAATAAATCGTTAACGATTATCGAAAAAACCAAAAGGATTAGATTGCTTTCACTGGGAAGAAAATTGAAAGAAATCAAAGGATAATTCGAATTATTATAGGATCGCTGCAGGCAATATACATCTGTGATTTGGCTGTTGCCCGTTTGAATAGGCTCTTAAATCCAAAAGAAACAAACGCATCTTGCTCAGTTGCTCGATTAGCGGACTTTTCCAGGCGTTCCAGTTGTTTGGAAAGCAAAACGAGACATGTGGTAAGCAATAAAAATAATTCATCACAGTTTGATTGCACTTCACTGGTGGCTTGCAGGTTTTCACAACGCGGATGGGGTAAAACAAAAGAAATTTTTCTCACGCCAAGCGAAATAAAAGTTACTTTTCTTATGAACGAGAGAAAAAGTTGGCGACAAGTAACTCCGTATACGGCCTCATAATCTTGAATTTTGAATTTCTACAATCAGGAGAAGAAACCAAAGAGCGGACCAGATGAAATTTTAGTTAGATCGAAAGTAGACGGTGTCAAAAAAGAAAGACACCGACACACTTTCAGAAAAGCTATCCTTTGCGGAACTTTAATCAAGCGATAGAACAACCTGATTGAAACGGTATTCTTTTTTTTTCAAAGAATCACTTCGTTAATAAATAACCACAACCGATTTCATAAAGCCACTAATGAACAAAGGAACTCGCGTCGAGAAAACAGTGTTCGCAAGAAGTGCAGGTTTCCAAAACAACGCAAAATTATTCTTATTGTTACAATAAATAAAATTCCGTTCGGATAGCAGAATGAAATTGTGAAAGGAGAGTCCACTGACATTACAGATATTTTATGTTACACTAGCAATCACACCATCGGGTGGAACAGAAATCCGCTTTTTGTTTACCATAATCAATCATTTTCGATAAAGTGAATTTAGGAAAAGCAAGATTGTTGAATCTCCGCCTCAGAGAAAAAAGCAGATTGATGTCTTTCTTTTTGGTATTGGGGAACAGTTTCACAGCAAATCTGCAAACATGAGAAAACGCTGGAAAAAAAATATTTTAAAAAGTCTAGGTGGTATAATTCTAACTCTAAGATCGAAGTACTCTGAAGCTATACTGTAGAGTTGCACCCTGCACTGGAACATCCATCTTAGCTTAGCAAGTAGTAATTATGGCCAAGTTTTGTCAATCAACTGAACTGAGGCCATTATCTCGGCACACTTTTCACTTGTTAAGTTTTCAAACTTGGGCCTCAAAGGCCTAATGGCTTTAATGATACTTATCACTGTTCAGGCACTCAATTTGCCAATTCGGAACTCCTAAACTAGGTGTGAATGATTTTAATTTGCGTTCAACAAAGATTTCGCGATTTTCATAACACAAGACAAGAACAGCACGCTTCCGTGGAAAATAACCAGATGATCTATTTGTTAAAAACCAACTGCCAACATGGCTTCCCACCGGATTTACATTGTGCTTATGAAAGTGTTAAGACGCTGGTTTGCCACCAAACTAGCAAGTTGTAAATAAAAGAGAAAACAGCGACCAGTTTGTAAACATGAGTGCTGCTGTAATACACCTTGATAGACACTGATCTGCAGGGAGGGGAAGAATTTTCGATTCTCGTATCAATAAAACGTTCAAATGAATACTTCATTAGTTCTCAAAGTAGTTCTACTATACGATTTGGAGATTACTGTAACATTAAATTCATTTAAATTTATTCGCATGGTGAACCCACAAAGGCAAACCGGTAAAAAACGAAACGTTTCCATTCGGGGCCAAATCTTACAAAAAGAACAGAAAAAAAAACATTATCCTTCAAAATGTTAAGGAATGTCTAGAAATAGGAAGTAATGTTTTTCTATTCTCGCTTTCTGTTTACAGATAATATTAGGATTTAGAAGGCAACGTTTTAAATACCGCACAATCCGCCCCGTCTACTTCGGGCAAATGAGTTTAATTAATATTTTAAGCTTTCACGTCATTTAGCTTTAAGTTTGCTTGCTAAATGCGAAACCTTGTTATCGCCTTTTCACGTTGTAAAAGTTGATCAAAGTGTGAGAGCCTCCCACTTCACACATAATATCACTGTTTGAACGCTAAATAGATTACCTTCTCCCTTTCACCTTTCTCTTATTTCTAGACTCTTCTCATTTTCTTTCCTTATTCTTCTTGATTCCCTTTTAAGAACTTTCTTGCATCTTTCGTCGTGGATGATTAAAAACAATTTCAGAAAGATAGAATTACAATTTTTGACGAGCCACGAGCAATGTGCCCGCGCGTGAATGGAAGAGAAAATCCAATCCATTTGCTGTCCTAATGCCCCAAAATAGTTATTAGATGAAAATACGGTAAACAAATAACTAAATACAGCTCATAATCCTTGCTAAGTACCTAAGAAAATTATCAAATATTCCTTGCGAAAACAAATGACAGTAGAGTGGAATTTAAGAGATGCTACACAATTCCGGAAGATCTCAGGGGAAACGGTATCTCAATCAATTTCCTTCAATAGACGAGTGTATATAGCACGGTGATGATATGGATGAAAACCATGTGTACAATTTATGACTGATATACTCGCGTTATTGTACACACATTTTTCTGGCGCCAAGTCTACTGAGAACAAAGCGATGGATACTAACTCCCGTTTAAAGAAGTAGGCTTTGGAATAAAAGAAAACAAATGCGATTCTTTGAAACAAATAGCGATAGCTGTTCCGATCTTCTGACCACATGCCTCAATAAGATATACACACTGACACCGAGACTGACTATCAATGGTCTTATCCATGTGGTGTAAGTTTCAGGATTAAACGTCGTTCTAGCCCATCTGTTTCGCTGCAAACCGCCTAAACCAATTTAAATAAAGTGTGGAGCTTTCTGTGTCACAGAACTAGCCGGGAATCCCTAATAAATATTAGCAACGGATGCATTTTACACCATTCAATTTTATCCCTATTGCCCGCTTCCGTATCAAACGAGCTGAGCTGAGCCGCGATTTGAGCTTTTGGTGGCGAAAAGAGAATTCTCGTTGAGAGGATTTTCGAGTTTATGTTTGCGTACTACGGAAAAATCAACAAACGACACAGGTCGCAGACACTGCACAGAAGAAAATCTGTTGAGCGACATCTTCGCAAAGTTTAAGAATAAAATTTCAATACCTGTTTTTAGCTGCTGCGGCTCGATCTCTTTGCCTTCTGTTTTTAAACCAGTTGCCAACTTGTGTCGGTGTGAGACCGGTTGCTTGCGCTAGTTCGCGCTTCTTCGTTGGATTCGGGTAAGGATCCTGAAGATACCACTCACGAAGCAAGCTTCTCGTCCTTTCCTTGAAACAATGCGTTTTCTGCTCTCCGTCCCAAATTGTCCTAGGAAGAGGAAACTTCTTGCGAACGCGGTACTTGTCGACAGGTCCTAACGGTCTCCCTCGAAGCCTCTCAGCCTCTTGATAATGAGCTTCTAGCCACATCGCTTGCAATTTGGCATGCGAATCCTTGCCGAAGCGATGAGTTTCCAATATGTGGTATAAGTCACGGAAATTACCCATGTGAAATGCCACTATGGACCGCGCTCGGAGCACGCTTTCGTGTTTACTCAAGGCTTCTAACGTTCCGGGGGCCACTGGCAAGGACCACAAAAATCTGGCCAACCGCTCGATGTCACCGCTTTCTTCCAGAGTTTCGCATACTTGTGCGATCTGTTGAGGCGTGAAGCTCAGGGCTGGAAGCGGGGCAAACATCACGCTGACTGCTTACGGATTCTCCTACTTGGTCTCCGACTATTAAGGCTAAATGCAGGGGTGTGGTAACGTCTCTGCAAAGTGTCAGTATTTATCAAGAGGGTTAGAAACATGGGGTATATTATCGCTAAGATCGAGTATTACGTTTGTTAAACTCTAGCGACCTGATTGGCGTGCAAAGCTCTAATTACAAGGCTGTTATGGCAACGGTGTCAATCACCTCTGCAAGGTGTTATTAACTCAGTCTAAACAAATGTTCAGGGCAGATGGGACAGAAAATATAGATATCGCGTAACGGCACTTCAGGTTTTACAGCTCAAAGTGTGAAAACAACCACGAAGAAATCTTCCCTCGAAGCCAAACTTATGAATATGCAACGCCAAAAATTATTTGAAGTGGGCGCTAAGAACGCAGCTCTCGATCGATCTTTCTTTGAATACTCCCGTTATCGTTTTGACTGACAGATGCAAGGCAGAAAATCACATATCGCCGTATAAAAGCTTTACCGGGGGATGTCTTCAATGCGATTTATCCCACATCGTTAGACGAACAGAGATTCCCGAGCAGATAACGCCAGAATATTTCCTCAGCGCGACAAAAAATAACAATACTCATCACCTTCAATAGTTGATATAATCAAAAGTTAAACAATGTAAGAGGCATGCAAGGTTGTCTCCGATTGAAATTTAAACGCCATGAGCCCTGAGTGACATGATCGTTTATCTAGCGTATTGAGTTCGATGGATTATAGCCCAAGATCGTGCGAACAATACGTAAAATGGCACGCCTCCACATATGAATTTCCCATTATTCCTTGTCTTTCCGGACAAGTCGATTTAGCTTTAATTCGTGATCTGCACGCTGTGCCTGGACGGTATTTCGGCTCTAAATGTCTTTCTGTTTTCCCGCGAGCCATGTTCTTACTAATTGAGTGAGTCCTAATTGCTTTTTCCCCAGCACACACACATCGAGAAAATAAGGTTATGTATAAAACGTGAGACCCTGGCGCGACAATGAACGATTGTTATGAAAACTTATTTTTTTTCTTTCCTTCGGTGACTTTGTACAGCTTCAAAAACATGGCATTTCTCAATCAGCAAAGACATAATGACTAAATCTGGCGTCTAGTTGGATCCAGTAATTATTTTCGTGTGAAAAAATATATAGTATTGATATCGAAGCTTATCTTTAAGTCATGCTTATACACCGTTATGAATATAATCTTTGAATGAGATGGTATCCTCGTGATTGAGAACAGCAGGTTAAGATGCCCACGTTTAATGATAGTTCCGATAGATGAATGCTTAAAAAAAAAGAAGAAGAAGAAGAGAAATGTGTCATTTGCCCGATTAACATAAAATTAAGCTGCGCCCTAAAATCAAGTTCGTGATTTAGTCAATTGGCAACGTGCTGGGCTCGCTGAGAGAAATCAAAAGCCTGGCATTCGTCGGGATTCGCCGAGGGCAAGAGAGCAGCTGTGAAGGGCTAGAGATTAAAAATACATCACAGCAAATAAGGAATTAAAAGTAAATTGCCTAAAGAAACTGAAAAATACACAAAGTAAATATATGAGACTTACATCACTTCGCAGTTGGCGAGACAAGTTCCGTTTCTATTTATCAGACGCGGCTGAACATGTTATCATCACTGTGTTTATTTTCGAAGTTTAACTTTCTGATATATTTACGCAAAGACATAAAACAAGAAAGCGAAAGCTCATTAGCGAACTAGCGCTCTTTACATCGACATTGGTTAGTTCTGTTGGTGCGGTACCACAGTTTCACTTGTAGCGTCAAAAATTCCTTTGTCTCTATCACTCTTATCACTCTATAAAATCGTGTAGTAGCTACGTCAGAGAAAAAACGCTTTCGTCTTACACGATATAGGCAGAAAATAGCAAATATAAGCAGTTTATTGTTTGCACGATGAGAAAGAAATATTGGCCCTTGTTCAGCTGTTTAGCAACCCGCAGTGCTTTTTACTACTCGCTACGTAACCTCCCTAGATTGTCAAAACAACCATTTTATGTCAATGTAAACAATCTGAAATGAAACTAGCCGCGGAAAGTACGCTTGGCTCAACAACAGATAATCACTTAGCTATTCAGGGTCGCAGTAATGTCACTTAAATAGCGGAGAGTCTTAGGTTCACCGGACAGCAGATTCAGAAGTATAAACACCTTATTATTGTCCCTAATGATTTGCCAAATGTGTCATCTGCAAATGAAAAGTAATTAATTACGACAGCGAACCCACACTAGCGCCATACTAGCATGCCAACTCAATCTAGTCCATTAAAAGGCGACTCTGTTTTTTGAAGATACTTCTTGGCTTTTGAAGATATTCGATTGGATGTTTGACTTCCCGGTACAACCATAGTGACAATTTTTTTCTACTGAATTGAATTTATCGATCTTAAGGACTGCAAATACAACTACGGACCTTTTTCCTTTAGAAGGAGTATTAAGATTGGCTGGGCTGACTCGCGGATGAAACTTATGTAGTACATTTGTTATCGAAGTTGAAATTAGAAATACCAAGTGAAGAAGCGTGTTCTGAGCGGGCACAATACTGCTTAAGATACTGAAACCATGTAGAAAATATTGACTCAAAACTCCAGATAAAAGCACTCAGGCATCTCAAACGAAAGCAAAAAAATGACACACTATCAATCGCAGCAAGAATAAGCAAGGCTTTTTATCCAAAATCGAATTGTTGAGGGAAATTAACCAGAATTCGCTTGAAATTGATTTTAAGCTGGTGGCAAGAAATGATCACAACAGGTAAAAAAAACCAATTTAACCTCGTAGTAGTAGCTATTGTATTGGCGTTAAAATAAAATACGTTCTCCTTCTCATTAAAATCTGTATTTTTTTTCTTAGAACACCAAATGTGAAACTTAAATGATTTAAATAAATCACAACCTTACTTTCTTTCAATTGTAATCCCATATAAACTGAGGGTACATTCGGTGAGCTCATCAAAATTCCTAGGATTTAGTTGATAAAACATTGCGTCTTCATCTGGCAACTCGCCTTCACTTAGCAGCGCAAAGTAATTAAAGAACACAGAGAGACGACAAAACTCAAACAGTCAATCGACGGAAAAAACTAAACTCAGAGCAAATTGAATGAACAAACGGTGTACAGAAAAAAGCACTTAGTACAACGTCAACTAATAAGCAAATTTTCAAAATGCATGCTATTGTGTTTGTGTCCTCTGTCATAAATCATTCATGGTAATGTTTTTGAATTACAGTTTGGCCTCGGAAGGAGAAAATTTGAGGCCAAAAGTCAATTAGTTAATGTTCAAATTAAAAGATGATGTAGCACATGAAAAAGATCTTGTTTCGCGCCAACGAAGGATATTCAGTCGAAGTAAGTTGAGCGGAAAACGTGAAAATCTCAAATAATGTTTTAACGCGAAGGACAAATCTCGACAAGCATGCCACAACGATATTTCTTGAAACTAAGGAGACGAGGCGATAAAAACCGAAATACAGTAATTGCTAGTTTTAAGGATGAGATCACAGGTAACATAATTTTTGAAAATCCTCTCCAAAATAAATCGGAAATAACAAACGTAATTTATGAACAATCCAGTGAGAAAAGTGCGTTATATTGAACAAGGTGAACCTAGCGATATGACTACATTTGAATCAAGACCCTCGACCAGGCGCTTAACCGCCAATAGTCTGTTTTCGTAACTACACTCGACCGGCGTAAAAAACGCGGCAAGAAATCACAAATACGCTGTAACGTCCATAACAAAAATTATCGATTGTAGAATAAAGCAAGAATCAGCCGGGGGCGGAGAACCTTTGTCCAAAAGTGTTCGCAAAAATCTTAAATTCATCAGCACAACTTTGAGCGTTTCCCGACGCAAAACTTTGCGTCATCTGTTAAAATATCTATCGAGCATGTGATTCCTTCGCCATCTTGTAAGGAAATGTGGTTCAGTTGTTTGTTCATGGACTCTAAATCTCCCCTGTTTACATACTTTTCAGTTAATCGACTTCCGATTTCACTTAGCACTGTAATTTCATTCTATCATGCTTCAAAAAAACCAAAGGTGTGAAGTTTTCTCTGTAATCCACCGTGTGTTTTGATTGGAAGCAAGACCGTTTACGCTACACTACGACCCGTGCGCATCGAAAAAGTACGTCCAGTTACTTGACCTAATCGCCTTATGTTTGGCCAACTGGTTCATCAAAGTCTTTGTTTGTACTCAAAACGGATCAAGCAACCACGCGGTTCAGTTTTCTTTCGGCGCGTACATGCCATAGTAGAATCAAATATACAAAAACTCATCGGCACCTAACGCGATCACGCTTTCTTACCTTGCGTTATGAGATCTATTTCACTCTCAAGAGCTCTGAACGGCAGCCGTAAGAGTAATCGTTTCAGATAACGTTTGTGATTAGCTTGTGAGCCGTTCACTTCACTCAGTTGCTGACAATGGGCGAATGTTTTTTGGGCGTGCTATGCTACCAGGAGATAAAAGCCCCAGCTCGGGGGGTTTGCTTCTAAACAATGACTATACAAACAGACTGAGAATTAGACAAAATATCGGACACAATATCAAGCCGTTCTATTACAACTAACTACCACTTGTTACGCTCCTAATTGCTTTTACTGTCATATGTAAATGATAGGACATAATAGAGCTCCGCTTGCTATTCATCGAGCGGATTATGCAATTCAATCAGCCCTTCAGCTTATCAAGCCCTTTGTGCGCGGACAATGGCCCGTAATGTTAAACAACAAAAGGTTTAATGTTGTTAAGCATCCAACGTATCTAGAAGCTTTCCTATTTGCACGCCGTATCCCACTGGGAGCAGTAATATACTCCAATAAAGAACAATAAGGAACCCTTCTAAATCAAATGTCAATGCTGGTACTAATGGCTCGCGCTGGCGTACTAAAAGAGTTGTTTGAATTAACATTTAAGAAGTGATACGCCCACCGTATTATAAACCAAATTTCGTCTTCTTTCAAGCCGTTACGAGCATTTCAACGGGATTAACTAAATTGCCATGAAGACCTCACTACGATAAGAGTGCACATGCAAGATTGCGACGCTTTGACCAAATCGCGGCAGAATTAACCCATTGCGTGCGATTCGCTGTTTAAACTCTTTGCGGCGTGCGGGTTCAATTTGGCAGTCGTGAAAACGTCTCGTGAAAATTTTTGGATTATTATAGGAGGATAAATATTCTCATTAACCTTAGTCTATTTTTAAATCTGGCGAATAGTTCCCCAGCTTGGTCTAAGATTGATCGAATAACGAGCGTGTTTTGACAAAAATATATATATTCCTCTTCCATTTGACAAGATGGCGACTTATCTAGAGCTATCATAACCGTGGTGATAGTGAGTGTATAAACGGTTGCTTTAAGCGAGGACATCCTTAGAAAGATAAATAGCCTTATCGATGACTCCACTCTATTAATGATCCTAATAGAAACAGTTCTCTCTCTACAAATAGGAAGTTTTTTTCATATTTTTTCACGCATCAACACCGTTGCCCAAGATCACGCAAAAATATTCCTTTCCCGAAAGATCCTTTCGAGGGAACCATTAAGAATCAAAGGCTATTTGCAGAAGTATAAATCAGACTGAAATGAAAAATATCTTTAATAGCAGCGGAAAACATGTGTTTTACATTCTTTCGTTGACCTGCATCCACTATACACCAAAAGTTCATCAAAAGCAAACTATGTAATGGGTATAATGGCGTGATGTTATGGCACGCGAGCACAAATACGGCTTCGGCGACTCGTTGAGAGTATTCGACCGGGCATAGAAAGCAGCCTTTGCGTCGGTTAGATATAGCGAGTTTTGAGAAAATTATGATTACAAGGCGGGAGAAGACGATGGGAAAGCAAGGTGGCCGTAACCAGGTGGCTTAGCCTCAAAGCATAACGTTTGATCAAATGATTGAGTGACCTTCGGTTCAGTAATTAACTCAGCCGAAAATAAATCTCGTTATTGCATTTAACTCTAATCATCATCCTAACACGCTGTCGTAACTGCTATTCTCAAGATGTGTGACCATCACACCCTACAGAAACATATCTAACAGAAACACAAGTTTCGTGAAATGTCGAAGTTTTTCTGTTAAACATTAATTAAACTAATATCAAAGATTCCATGCTCCAGTGGTGTCTCCGCGGGAGGCGTACAGAACACCATAATAACATTAAATTCATGACGATATATTTAACTATATGATTAGAACATCATAAAATGAAGAAGAGTATCGCTTCAGATTGAAATCAAGACCAAGTCCTAAATCGAAGATCCATGTTCTAAATTCAGCTACATCAATTAATTCGGTCAAGAATCGTTAATAACGAGAAAAACACGGATAATTGTTCCCCGTTAGTGATCGCCGCATGAAGTCTCCACTAATTACATTATGAAGAAAGTGATTTCCTTCTTCCCTATTTATATTTAGACGTCTTATTATGATACAAGAAATAATACTATGAATGTGATACTTTTTGTATCCGTGATTTTACAAAATTGACTTCCCGCAGACTTCACTTTAATGAAAGAAAGATTAGACAAAACCCCGCAGCCGCTTCGCACGGGCCTTCCAATTACAGCTTCCCTTCGCTATTTTTAACGACACGTGCGATTTTGTCTCCTCGCCCTGGGCAACTTTAAAAATGTCCCTAACAACGTAAAATCAAAATAAAATTGAGACATCAATTTCGCACTAAACAATCCTGGAAAAATTCGGGTTTAACAATCAGAATTATTTCTCAGTTAGACCACATGGGTGGTTAATTGCTTAGAGAAGCCAAGCCATTTCTTTGCCCCATGTCATTGAAAGTAATCTTGTACAATTTGTTTCATTACTTGACAATAAATTTCCATCTTCCTATTTGGGTTCACTGCAAAATAAGTAATTATCAAAGTGGCCCTGGCAGCCGATTATTAAAGAGTCTAAAGTGTAATGAAAAAAATAAGTAATATAATTGCATTAATGCATAATGAAAGCGAAGAGAAATCGAAAACCAGCCATATATACCGGGCCGTTATGTACATATAACGGAATCTCAGCGCGACATTGAACAAAAACCAAAATTAATAAACCAGAACAAAACTAAGGCAACTCAAGTTGAGAGGTTAAAAAAAATTATTACAACACTGCGGGTGTAAGACTCGGAGGAGGAAAACACTTCAAACGCGGTTTTTGTTGTTCGTCATAGAGAGCCATTTGCATAATTGCGGTTTAGAGTTTAATATACTTGTTCCCAAGACTTGATTTCTTAAAGAACCACCAAGGTCGGCACTATCGTAAAAGCTAATACTTATTGTACTAAAAGCTCCGCTATTAAATATATATGATCTCCACTTCGTTTGCAGTGAGTCATAAATCGTGAGAACAAAACATTGGAACAAGGAAGTATGGCACGCCTTTGACTTTTGGCTTGATTTTCTTTGCGCTAAGAAAAGAAATTATTATTTTAGAAAAACCAGATTGACTTCTTTGAACCTTGGAAACAAGATAACACACGTGTGCTTCAAAAGTAAAATGATCCAGTATAATTAAGTCAAAAACACAGGTGATTATGATTTTGTAGAAGAAAATTACAGTCCTTAAGGTCTGATCCACTGACGTTGATCGCTGTTTCATTTTAATTGAAGTCAGTTCCCTTTATTTTGTTTCCCCTGCTACGATGGGTTATTCTTTGATATTCATCGAAGTAAAACAGTGATAAATAAAAATAGTTAACAATAGTGGAAATGATTCTCGGCACAAAGACGTCTACACTGCACTTAATCAATAAAAGAAGTGATTTTCCTTCTCATAAATCAATACTGCGCATTAAAAAAAAGAAAGGTATATTGCAATCGTACAAACTCCCTAACTTCAGGGAAGCGCTCATCGAACGATCTTAGCTGTAGTGTTCGACAAAAGCAAACAGTACAGCTAATCACGATTAGAAAAACGAACAGCAAATAAGATAGGCATAGAAATCTAAGATGAAGAAGCGAATATTTGAACTATATCTGCCGGGATATATTGTTGCCATGTCGGGCAGAGGTAGTAATTTTCCACACGGCACGCGCTGCGCGAACATTCTGGAACGATAAACTTGAGATTACACAACAGTGACCTCAGTTTGAAGATATTTCCGCAACATTTTTTTTCCATTCCTTGTATCATGTGAAAGCATTGTAGGTCGATGGAGTAGATAAACAATCATAACAAAATTTCAATGAATTAAGGTTTATACTTACACAGAATTGACGAACTCAGTTTGATTACCAGAGATAAAAAGAGTAAAGTAAAGGAACTCCACAGTGTTTCTTTGAAATGGTTATGTTCGGGCTGCAGCACTAGTGAACCCGCAGTCGATTTAAACACATATGATTATGATAAATAAAGAGAGGCTTTTATATTAACGGAAATAGTCGTTGAAGGGTCGTTTTCAATAGGGTTAATATTGATTCGACATGGACTTCCCTTTAAACCAGCCATGCAAACCACTGAAAACGCTCAAGAGGAAAAGCTACACTTGTTGTTTAAGAACTGATTGTTTGGAGATTACGATGATGGTTATGATGATCTATTGCTTCAAGTTCTTAAGATAATATCGCATGCCCGATACTATCACTTAGTCAGTCTCGGCAGTATCTCGACGCGATGATGTTGTACAAGTAAATGACTGGCGTGGGAAGGTGCACACAGTCGGTCAATATCACACATATCGCACGCTATCATAGACGTCACAAACCCGGTTGTTTTTCTCTCAAAGTTGAGAGCTTTACTGTTATAATGCTAAGTAAAAAGGGAATAAAATGGGTGCTGTATCGCTGCTGAGACTATCAGAGTGTTTCAGAATGGACCATCCCGTATTAGCAAAGCTTGCGTTACATAAGAATTGTAAGCAGGGAGGATATGTTTTGTCTTTTCGTGAAAACCTATTCTGAGAATACTGTAACAAAACAAATAAGAAAATGGAAGATAGAGACCAACACCTATCTACAACCATAAGATTAAAAAGGTGAAGTTGAGTGCGGTAAAAATGATCTTTCTTTTTTAAACCATAAAAATTCAAGTTTTTTCTAAATATGACAAAGATGCCTTAATGAGATCAGTAGTCAATCCAAGCATACACAGAACTAGTAGAACCTTATTTATAGTCAAGAGAGGAAGCAATATTTCAAAAAATATTATAACCAGAAATTAAAGCTTGACGTGAACAACAAATTGCTTAGTAATAGTTCGTAAACTGCTCATGATATTATTTGTTTCTATGACACTAAATATCACCAACTTTGGTGTATGATTTCTGGTCTCACCCTTCGCCTACAGAAATTGTTGTGAGGAATACGCTAGAACATTGAGGAAACATCAACTTTTAAATCAGCACAAAAAGGTTCTATTTCTGCCATGGGTAAGTCGATTAAAGATAGAAAAATAAGTCCTTTAGTTCTTTTCTTCTAATCAAAAAGATTTTCAGCCCAATGAGGAGAAGAATCTACGTCATCTCTAAAAGTACTCGCGAGAAAATTTCCTGGATTCGTTTCAAAATTAAATTTTACAAATGACAAAATAATTGAGCGGGTGGAATTTTTCCCACGGTCGGGTGTATCTCTAATGCCTATTATTCCAATCAATAGGGTTACAGATCTGGCTTTGAAAATTGTGACTTTTGGAAGGAAGGGCTCTTCTTGCTTGACAAAACTTCAAGGGATAAAAATCACAACACCATTACTCTGACAATATGTACATCTCTTCCCCCTTCTTGCGAGGTTATGCCTGCGCTTGGGCTATGCCTAGGCTAGGATCACGAACTCATTAACAGTCAAGTGATGTTAAGCCCACCGCGGTACTTAATAAAGCGCCACAGTTCCTGTAAGAGGTCGAGGAAGCGGGCTGGTTCTCACGCGCTGGGTATCTATGACGTACAGGCGATAAAAGTCTACTTGAGGACACTCGATCGCCCAGAGCCGATATTTATCCCCTGACGAAATCTACTATTTAAAAACAAAACCAGTAAACAAAAATGAGTAAGCAAAACTGGCAACATATATGTATATTTAGATTTTGATATCAATATAACTTCGATGGCAAAAATAATCAGTGCAAGTGGAAAATATGTTGGGTGGATATTACCCACTTTGCAAGCTTATTCAGAGCGGTGCGCTTAAGAACTCTAGGAAACCAATTGCAAGAAAGAAGCTAGAGAACCTATTTGTCATAGTCACTGTAAGACGCCACGACCGTCATGAAATAATCAACAAGAATCGCGGAATCTCATTTTCGATTTTTTTTTTCTCCCTTTCTAAATGATATTACGCCTCAGCTAGATGACTACAACACAATCACATGACACTCAAAGTCAGAACATGAAACGCTAGAGGCATGCAATTAACCAGGTGGTATTGCTTATTGCTGACCATGATCACGAATCCAGGACTGTGATAATTCAGGTGTTTTGAGAATGAATTGACCTTCAATAATTGCGATTATTTTCGCGTAGAATAATTCAACAACTGATAGCTCCCTCGTTGTTAAAGTTCAAAAGAGTCCACTTGATATATTTGTCGCGGGTGCAAAGAAAAGCAAAAAAAAATGAAACGCTTAGGACTTGTTTTGATCACAACTACATCAAGGACAATACTTGAAAATCCTTTTAGCGGTTGCATTACGGTATTTAACAAGTGTATTTTGTATTTGATGCTATGAACTCACGTGATAAAAAAAATAACGAAAACGTCCAAACTGCAAGTTTGAAAACCCGTGTAGAATCTAGCGTTCCTAAAATACCTCAGAATTGCATTCAAGACAATAAATCAAACGAGAAGTTGTAGTAGCTGTGCAGGATGATTCTAGATTGAAGAAAAAAGATAGTTAGAATGCCTGTGATCGACGTAGCTCAAAAGAGTGACAATTTGAAGCTGCCCAATTCCAATCACAAAAGACTCAGTCTTATCATTGGAGCACTCAGAGTTCTGATCTACGGAATACCATCTATTTCTTTCAGGTCGACAATTTTCTCAGTTTTCAATACTTTAAAAATGAGTGAGACTGAACGATAAGCTTGAGAAAAGATGTGAACTGAAAATTGACGTTTTTTTAAGGCATTACCTCACAAATATAGACGTTTTCAGACATAAAACCGAATATTAAGTACACTTCATATTGGTTGGCACTCAAGAACGTTACATGAAATAAATTAGATTATCACAACGATAATAAAAGGAAACGATGACAAAACTACATAACCGATGAACATCTTTACAACCAAGATTGAAGGATAAATTGTACTTTAGAAAACTTCCAAGGAAAATAATTCATATCGACTTGGATAAATGTTACAACGATATCGTAACGTCCTCCATGGTTTCAAAGTAGTTTCTAGTCGGAACTCGAATATTTTTGTTTGAAAGCAGTTACAACCAGAAACAAGCATTTTATGTGACGACTCAGCTAACTATCAGAAAAACGGTCAGCTTGGAATGGAAATCACGCAGTTGGATGAACACTTTGATTAGATACAGAATGTCGCAATTATGCCCATTCTTAAATCATTCTATTTTTTAATGAAATAAGAACAAATATTTCAACTTAAAGAAGGGCCGAAGTTCGCTTAAAGGTTTTCAAAATTCGCTGAAAATTAATGAAATCCCTTCTGGTGTAACATGACTTAAACAAAAAGTTTCCTAACGTTGCTAATGATAAAGGAAAATGGCAGTAAATCGTAAAGTATATCTCCCAGGGAAAACACAAATAGTCAGTGCCATATGAAAAATATGCAAATGATATCTAATTTTGAAGTTCCTAATATCTCTGCGATAGCCCATAATTTGTTCAATGTGCTATCACAGAAAGGAATACATAACCCTCCATAGCAATTATCAGCGATGCATGTGTACAATTTTACAAACACAGCACGTGTTACAGCTAACAACTCCAGTATCTGTGAGACAATTCGTAAATTCTAATTTGGTTTAACTTCAGGCTCAACGCCTTAAAAAAGCTTTCTAATTTTCAGATTCAAAGCCAACCAAGAAAAAAAACAGAGTTCTGCCGACAGATTCTAAAGAGTATCACCAAATTGAAATTATATAACGTTGTTTTTTTATCTTTTAATTGGCGCCAAAAGCGGTCATCTCAATGAAACTTCGGAACTTTTAAAAGAAAAATCACTTTTACCGCTAGACACGTTTAATTTCTTTACAGACAGAAGTAGGGGAGAGATAACAAAAGTTACAATGAAAATAACGTTTTTAATAAACCCTTATTAAAAGTTTACAAGTCTTACGGAGAATTAGCCACATTAGAACCTCTAAGAGAAAACTTTCCATCATGCCAAACTTCTTATAGCACACAAAGCAATAGGGCAAAGAATAGCGCAGTGTTTTTTTTTTCCAAACTGCACCTGTGGGGCGCGTAAATTGCGCAAATTTTTCCCAACTGCACCTGTAGGGCGCGTGTGCTAAAGAAAGACATAACAAATAGAAGGCATTTCTGATAATGACCTAAGTGGTTAATACATGCTGTGAAAAAAATCTTGTCATTCGTTTAACTGTTGTAAGAGATAAATTCAAAGAAAATTAACCTGTTACCTTCGATACAGATTTAAATCAGACAAATTTGCCAGAAACTCGAGGCCGCCACCTTAAAACTCGGATAAAAGTAGTAACTTTCTAATCACCACCGTTTCACAATTTTGAAGGATCACTACATACTTACAATTAAACTGATTGGCAAAGCCGATGGCTTCACTTTGCTTATTCACACTAGGACACTTTTGGGACTCTCCTTTAGATCTTCAATCTAATGTCAATCAAAAAAAGACTACATGGTAAGAAAGTGTAATTAATTTTAAAGTTGTATGGGTCTTGACCATTATCTCATTTATAATAAAGAAACGTTTTCAGAAATAGTGCATACGCCGTTGAAATCCCAACGCATCTAATCAGTAAGCCAGCAGATTTGTTGCGATATTTCGGGGCACGTATTTAGGACATGTTCGGCGCTTTTGTATCCACCAAGACAAAAATCGGTTCTTTGTTGCGCGTGAAGACAATAAGAAGCTAGATATTGAAGACTCCTAGACTCTTCACAAACAGTATATGAAACAACCTTAAACCTGAAGGACTTTTCACAATAAACTTTCCTCACACAGACACACTAATAGATTTCTAATACGTTATTTCAGCAATCCACCACACAGTTTACAACGAGATTGATACTAGCTTTGGCCTCAGCTCTTTTCTTGCGGTCTGACAAGCGACGACAGAGGATGAACAATGATTCACCACATAATGCCAGCAAGTGAAAATAAACTTATATTTCACTATTTTTTGGCGATGAGTTGGCTTCCAGCATGATTTCCATGCACCTATTCAGCCCATCTAGTGTTTTTTTGTTTTTCATTTGTTTTTTTTTCTTTCTTTTTTAAGAATGAAATACCCTTGCATCAGTTTTTAAAAGCGTGCAGAACAAATGAAACACTTTCAGTCCCCAGGAGAAAGCGAGTCCTCAGCTCCCTATGGTTGGAGTGATCTGTAATCCACTCTTCATCAAAGAAAATCCACATACATAGTTATAATTCTGTGATATCAAAAAAATGATCTCCAAACAGTCTGAAGGGAGTAGTGATTTGTTTAGCCGTTTAAGAGGGCAATCTAAAGTTTTCTGCTCCATGTAATTAAACTTAATTTGCCATCCTCCGAATAATGCAACATGCATTTTCATTTTGAACTGGTGAATCACAGACATAGTAAATGTTTCTGGAATTTCCAGTTGATTATAATATGATCATAATGATTTTTTACCTTGTGTTTTGTGAAATTAATTGACATTTCTATCCAACTGTTTTTATCAGTGATGTTTCATTAATGAATACAAAAAACCCTTTAGAAAATCTCATTACGATTGGACAATCTTGCTATTGAGTTTTATGCTTTATTTCCCAGAGATAATGTAAACCCAATTGATTTGACATATTAAACGACTGGAATCAAACGCATTGCTGAATAGCTGCCTAACGGTCTTGCGCAAGGGTGTTCCCTGACTCATACAAAAGCTAATAGCTTTCACCCTCCTAGACCCGATGACTTATTTTTGAGACCATGCAAGAAATTAAAACTTTTCAAGGTGGCGGACAAAGAACGTTCACATTCAATAGCTAGATGTGACTCTCGTAGGGTGTATTTAAGACTGTATATTTCCATTGTGTCACCATAGACCAACAATACTGTACAATACAACAGTTACTTGATCAAAGGCAGTGTCCTAAAGCTAGTTTTCAGCTTAAAGACCTGAGTACTAATAAAAAGATGTCCTGTGAAATACCGTACTAACAACGAATACCCATTGCTGACGCACAGTACTCTTACTTATATTACAGATGCTCTATTTCTATCAGACAGCTTATGGCCGAGCAGGCTAACACTAACAGAAAGCAATTCTAGCTTAGTTAACAGATTGGCAAACGGATTACATTACATCTAAGAGAATTCAGTAATAGAGGGTAGAGAGTGTACAAGTACTTCACCTCAACCACCCAGAGGCTTGAAAAACAACCGAAATTATTATTTTGTATCCATATTTAAAGCCAGTGTTCAAAAATAGCAAAACAAATTTTCATTTGCCTTACTTTTAAAACCATCCGGTAAATAGTGTAGCTTAGAGCAAATGAAATTGGAATTAGTCAATATCACTTCCCGTACGTAAGTTGTAAGAGTAATCTCTAAAATGTACTGACTGTATGGGCGGAGATTTGGTAAAGTGAAGTAATACCTGCGCGCCTGTGCTGCGAGCGTTCTTAGAGGGCAATGCCCAGTAAGAGTTAAAATGATAGCTAAAACATACCTGCACAAAGGCATAGGGAGTGAACTGAGAACAAATTGATTAACGCTCATTCCAAACAAAAAGAAAAAGAAAAGAAAGGAAAAGTAAACTGGGGAATAAATATATTATCTAGTATTTCGGGCTAAAGTGGGAGTTGTTTTTAAGTATTTGCTCATTATAGCCACCGGAAAAGTTCGTATGGGAGAAATGATGTAACAGGATGTGGACTTATACCCTCTATTAAATAGTGCTTATCTCACCTTGGCAATACAGATTAGCGAGAGAGCAGATCTCTCTGCGTCAGCTCAACAGAAAGCAAACACAACGACAGCACAAAGTGTAGCCTCGTGAAGCACAAAAGAATGGACCGCCAACTGGCATAAAATCAAGTTACAACACGCAGTCTCCGAAGCGCGACATAAACATTTCGTGAGAGAACAGAAGTGCTTTTACGTTAGTTGTGTAGTGGCACTAGGGCAACTGTAGAAATTAAGTATCCGGAATAGACGAAAACACTTCAGTGTACAACGAAGTGTGAAGGGAACAAAGAAACTAATGGGAGGACAAAGGAAAAGCTGAAGTAAGAGAAACCAAAACAGTTTATCATCGCGTGTTGAGTCAATCATCTGTGTCATTCACTTATGGGTGTCTACGCAATGCCTGAGGAATACAGGGCTATTTGTACAGTTGATCAACATTAAAGAGGAGAGATGACTCTGTTACATTCATCAAGACACCTTAGAAGTTCTAGAATGGCAACAAAATGATGCATAACCAGTTCTAACTTCCAATGTTTACATAACTTTGCCGTATCCATTTCGTGACTAGCTGATTGCTAATCGTTAGTTACAGACGAGAGACTTAGTTAAAGACCAGGAGGGGGCAATTATACTTCCCGAAATAGACAGCTTTAATGGCCGTAAAATCGAAGAAACCATTTAAGGCGTAATCAGCGGTCAAAAAGGGGTAGCCCGCATTGAGATAATGAGGCTAAGTCACGCGATGGCGTGAGAATATTCCAGTCTTACAGGTGTCTAAATGTTTCAAGTCTGTTTAAGTGAAAATGCGATACACGCAAGCCGATTCGTCTTTAAACTGGATAATATAAAGCTCCAGCCACATTCAAGCCAAGAAAATTCCAAAAATGTTTCATAGTAACCCATGTTAACAGGTTGTAAGTGATAAATGCTACAGGAAGCACCAAGGAAATACTTGCGTGATTCAAGATCTCATATCAACTTTTTCCAGAACATTCAATAAGTTGAGCAAAAACCCACACATAACAAAGAGTTCTCATACACGGAGCCTGTTATGTATATAAAATTGATTCCCTCACAAAACTATAAGAAACATGGTCCTTGTCCAGTACAAACCAAGATGATAATATGATTATGATACATATGGTATAAAGATTATATTTTAAATGAGAACATTACACACAGCAGCTTTAATTTGTTTGACAACTGAACGGTTTCACTATGCCATCTGCCAATTGAAAACCGCAGTAAAAAAAACTCAGTGCAATGGTCAAAACTGTACTTCATCAATAACTGGGTTAGATTTTTTATATTGTCAAGTTTCGATCGGGAGAGCAAACAAAGGTAAGAGCCATCAGTTTCCAAAAAGTAACAACATAACATTAACTTTAATTGAAAATCACCAACTCAGAAGTTCCTAATCATGCGAAAAGGGCGAAAACGTGAAATAAGAAAATAGATTGACGAAAATAACTTGTTCGTAAGAGAGGACAAAAAGCACTTTTTATTGTTAAAACAATGATGTGAATAAAAGTACTTGAAAAAATGTAATAGGTTTTAAGTCCACCGCAGGACCAGGTGTGAAAAGTTGCAGGCAAAAATAGAGAAAGAAGTGTTGTATAAGAAAACCTTACTCATGACATCATCAACAATTATGGACTCATCAACTCAAATCTTCCGTTAGTAAGAAGATCACGGAAGCATTATTCATCACAATTAACTTAATGCACTCAAGATGACACTTCACTCCATAATTAAAAAATCAAACTTGTAAAATTAACATAACAATGCTAAGATTTACAAGTTTCGAATGCCTTCGTCGAGAAATAAAATGACTAGTTGTAGAGACTGCATTTGACTGATTTCTCAACTTTTGTTAAATTGAGGGTTGTACCGAAGAATTCGTAAAAACTGAAGATCTAGTGTCTCAGTTCTAACCCCTGGTTTATCCGGTTTAAGGTAAAAATCTTATTCGAGACATCATAAATAAAACGTGTTTGATCCTGATCAGAATACGTCTTATCAATAAATATAAGGATTTTCTCCGAAAGAGGAATCGAACAAACGACTGAGCAACGTGGAAGATACATACGCTGATCGCCTGTCACAAGCATCTTGCAAAATGCTAATAATAGCTGAAGATAAATGAAAGATGGTACACTGTAAAGAACATTATGACTTGTGTACCAAATTCATGCAATGTCTTGATTACAATAGGAAAGGATGGCAGCTGTAATCGAATCAAAGTAAACAAGATAGGGTTGTTATGTTTGTTTTAGCGGCCAATGACGTTCTGAGCATTGGCTGCGCCGTTATTGTTATTCCCCGTGGTCTGTAAGATCAAAGACCAGGTGGGAATGGAGATGGATAAACTTGGCGAACAAAGGAAGAGTAGATAGAAATAAGAGAGATGGTAAGTTTTTGAGTTCGGTAAAGAAATAAAGAAAGATGTCTTTTCGTCTTGTCACGAGCGTGGGACAAAGAAAAAATTCCGAGTCCCCATAAGGGATCGAACCTCAGACCTTCGGATTCCGCGCTCCGATGCTCTACCACTGAGACTCCACGGTGAGCGGGGTCTATTACGAAGTTCATATGACACGCGTCCTGCATACTGCTAAGATCAGCAATGTCAGACATGGTTTGATGCTACTCTGGTTTACAGATTTAACCGAAGAAGTTACAATTCATAGACCCAACGTTTCAACACTCCTGCCTAGTGCCTTCATCAGCAATGTCGATAGCGTAATGTTTTTAGATAGAGGAAGAGTAGTTAGAAATTCTAATAATATGAAAAATTTGGGACTTTTCGTTTTTCCGGAAATAAATTATTCAAATTGGGTTTATCATTTGATTTACGTCTACACTCTCTCCAGCAATTAATAAGGATCACCTATTCTTAAAAAAAATGCATTTTGGAGGAGTGTTTTCAGAGATGTGGAAGCTGGTTCGCCTATCTGATGTCAACATATCACCTTGTTAGCTTGTGCTTTGAATTTGTTGTTTAATCCAAATAATCTCCTCCAGTTGATCACCTTCTTTATTCACACTGCCTTCGGCATTCCCTTTCTATTTTTCTTATTCCTTCTATTGGCATTTAAGCCCGATCATGTTTGAGATAAGACAGAAGATAAATAACTGTTTAAGTTCTACCATTGATTTTCACAATTCTCAAATCAATAAAGATATTAACGACCGTTGAATAGCATGCTTTGCACGCGTTGTTTGTAGTTTCAAATTCCGTGAGACCTCTAGGTTGTGCGATTAACACTCGACGCTTTTCAAAATCTGCATCCAGCATGCTACCCTTTCATTGAACTGAAAACGATGGGATTTTTCTCTAACTTTGCCATTGAAATGCTCTATTTCTACTCCACGAAAGATTTCCTATTTGGCGAAGTAAAAAAAAAGGGAAAATCTGGAGCTACTGTTTCTCTGAAAATCATCGAGCGGTCATGAAGACAGACACTTTTGGATTTACAGAGCAACACGCTCAGTGCGGAATACAATGAATGCCTTCCTTGGCCTACTGGAGGTCTTAAAAAGTGGTCTTCACTTTGCCTGTTCTAGTATTTTCAAAACGAGAAAATTGACTGATGCACATATGTGATAACTTTATCGCTGAAACCGGTCTATGTCTTAACCGCATTTGAAGCCTCTGAATCAGTGACTGGTAAATTCGCCTCATTGCAAGGTCGCCCCTGCTGCTACCTTTGCTTGTTCGCCCCCTATAGTAAAAGTTCACCCTCTAATCATTCGGCTCGTCATTATTATCATTATTATTATTATTATCATTGGTATTATTATTATTATAAGTATTTTAATTATTACTATCAGTATCACCATCATCATCATCGTTATCATCATTATTATAATCATCATTATTATTAGTGGTAGTAGTAGAAGTAGTAGAAGTAGTAGAAGTAGTAGTAGTAGTAGTAGTATTATGATTATTTCTTTAGTCGCCATGGAACACTGGGCCTGACGACACACGAGTACGAGTATTGAACTAAAACGTTGGTCATTCCTTCAGAATAATTTTTGGCTCTTAAAGGAGCCGATTTCGTTTTATTTGTTCTGGAAAGAAAAACAATGAAGTGTCAGCCAAGAGTGTTTTTGCGGCTACTGCCTCCGATAGAAGACGAAGGCACATATGTCGTCGAGATGAGTTAGTGAGTAAGTGAGTGAGTGGGTGAGAGTGAGCGAGCAAGTGAGTGTAACATTGACCCAATATTGACCCGATGTTTCCAGGTGCTATGAATTGTTTTTTTCGGAGCATCTAAGAAATTCTACATTCGCACTCGATACACAGTTAAGATCTCTTCTTTTTCTGATTTCTGGCTTATAGCCACCAGCGCATTATGTTCTCAGTTCTTGCCGTGACACTACGGAAGACAGCAGAAGAGGATAAACATCTCACAAGCATTTAAAGATTGCGCGCCATTATATACAAGTTTTCCATGCAGAAATGTCTTAATATATGTGATCGGTGATCAAGAAACTTATAGAAATTTTTTTTTGGAAGCATTTTACCGTTTAAAACAGCAAATTATGTAGATCCGAAGATATAATCAGTTCTTGCCGTAACACTTCAAAAGATGATAAACATCTCAAAATAATTTTTCAGTGGTATGCACCGACGTAAATTTTAATTAAAAACTTTTCCTTGCAAAAATACATGCGATGTACACATCATGGAAGCTTAAAGGAAAATCATTTCTCTTTGAAAAGAGAGCATTTTAATTCAGCGACTTATGCCGAATCGCGTGGGGTCGATCATGCAGCGAATTAAATTAATACCTTGAGTTCTACAACAGAAAAATGGAACGGTAGAACGGGGAACGGTAGATCGGCTGAATGGCGGAATATCTGAAGACGCGAAATGACGGAATATCCTAAAACGCCGAATGCCTTTTTGTATGAAACAAAAGTCTAAAAAAATGGAATTGAAATAAAATACGAAATTATTTACAACTAATAGGCGAAATTAAGAGAAGCACAGATCATTACTGTTAGAGCCAAGGGGATTGGGAATCGCGAGGCTTTCGAGCTGGCCCCTTTGAATCGTTATCATAAGACTATTGTTATTACTATTATTATCATTATTATTATTATTATTATTATTATTATTATTATTATCATTATCATTATTGTTAGTAGTAGTAGTAGTATATTTATCACAATTATTATAAGTAGTATAATTGTTATTATCATTATTATTAATATTATTATTATCATTTACTATTATCATTATTATTATTATTTGTTACCAATCAATTATCAGTTGAATGTCAATTGGACAATATATTCTTGAATCATTTTTTCCTTGTGGAAGGGTACTCTTAGATATGTGGGATGCGGCAGGTTCTCTGTTTTGCGTGTGAGACAAATCTTCTACAACACCACCTTCTAGCATCATTACACAACCTCTTGTGCTTTTCAATGCTGTAAAAGTTGTGCTATATCAGTAGCAACAAGCAGTCTTTGACTGTCTATTTTTATGAAATGGTGTTGAGATCAAAGAGTAAGGCGTCTGTAGTTAAGTGTAGCGCTCAGAGACGGGATAAGGTTATTTGAAGAAATATTATCTCCGTACAGACAGTAAAGATAACGAAAGCAATTAATTTGTTGATTTTGCTGATAACTCTCTCTCTCTCTCGACGTAAAACGTCACTCAGCACTATACATTTCAACGATGCATAAGATTGCAGTCCGTGAGTTATTTGGAAAACCTTAATTTCACCAACACTTCTTTCATGTTGGAGACATTGGGCTTAAAGGTTTGCACACTTGACTCACGAGATCGTGAGGCAAAAGTACGAGCCCTGGATAGGGCGCTTGCGTTGTGTCGCAATGCCTCACCAATCCAGAAATATAAACTGGAACATTTGTTCCTTTGTAACGAATCTAAATTGTTCTATCATATGATTACACATAATATATTTCAAGGGTAAGAACGTGAGGAATATCGCATGTGAGGTAACATAAGTGGTACCGTTAAATACTGAAAAGTATAAGTAATACTTTACCTTTCTGTCCAACTCTTGTTTTCTGACAAATGCCTCCGACCTTGAGTTTAGTGACAGGCATCTCGTGCAGGAGTGTTAGTCAATATTCCTGGTTGCAATATGCTTTTGAAACCGGGATATCCATAAGCTTCGTCAGTTACGGGCCAGTACGATCTTGAGACTTACCATTTGCCATTCTTGCACATAAGAGACACAGCAAGCTTACACTGGAGATTATGTCTTGATTTGGCTCGAAGATTCCTCTGATGAGCATCAATGTCCCTCCTCAGATTTGAGAAATTTCTGCTACCTTCCATCCTTTGCTCAACATAAGCCTTCGTGAGACTTCTTCATTACTATTTAAAATGCTGTTGCAGGGCAACATTTACAAACCTGGTAGAAAACGAGGTTACTGTTAGGTTACTGTGTTGAGGACTCGTATGGACTTTGTTGTATCTAGCTGAAGAACTAGAAATTCCTTTAAAGGTCAACTGAGTTTAAAATTGGAAATTAAAATAGCAAAATTAAAATCAACATCAATTTATTCAAGTTATAGATTAACTTTGATAGTTCATAACAAAAAAAATGACGAAAGATTACACCACTGAACTGATGGGGCAATGCTCATCCAAAGGAATTGCTATATACAGTGTAAGTATCCACTGGTCACAAAATGTGTGCATAATTGACATTGTATTATTACTATCATTGTTATCGTTTTCTATTTGTTGTTATTCTCAATATCAATGTTACTGGTACTACTATATACCCTTTTTTATTGCTATTATCATTGATAAGTTATCTGGTAATCTGAAGGAATATCCCTCCTTCAAAGGCAAATACAGTATATTTCTTTCCTGTACTTATGACAAATTTTAAGTACCAGATAATACATAAAGAAATGACTTACCATAGGCCCTTCCAAAAAGCAGAAGTCCAGCATCTCCTCAGATTATACTGATAACACAAATAGAGCTCTTGACCAGAAGATGAGTTGGATCCACCAACCTAAACATGACTGTATATAAGTGTGTAATCATGTACAATCAAACCTAGAATATCTGGACTCTTGGGCTGAATTGTCTGGATAATTGATGGATGATCAAAAAGTTAATGAGCAAACAATATAATTTAATCAATAATGGAAATTCTTAAATCATTGTGCTTCATTGTTGACATGTGCCAAAACTATAACAAAAGTTATTAAAGCTTACCAAATACATGCATGTTGCCAACTCTATCATTCTTTGAAGTTGCATTAGTGAAATAGTATTAAAATTGTTTAAGTATATCTGCTTTGTTTGATCCCACATCGACCAATTAACATTCATAAAAAAAGAGGGAGCAGAGAAGGGAGTCGATCAAAGATCAACTATACTCACAAAACAAATACTTCTTTTCAGTCTATCTTAAAATGAGAGGTTAGCCAAGAATGTTGTAACTTAAAGCCCGGCAGACTTATTCCAGTCTCATTTTTAATTCTGGATATCATCACCATATGTCTTCTTTTTCTTAAGTGTTTTTGGAGGCAACAATGCTGCACCTACTTTTAGGTTACTGTATTGACTACTCATATGGACCTTGTTGTATCTAGCTGAAGAACTAGAAACTCCTTTAAAGGTCAACTGAGTTTAAAATTGGAAATAAAAATGGCAAAATTAAAATCAACATCAATTTATTCAAGTAATAGATTACCTTTGATAATTCACAACAACAAAAAATGATGAAAGATTATACCATTGAACTAATGGAGCAATGCTTATCAAAAGGAATTGCTGTATACAGTGTAAGTATCCACTCAGGTTACAAAATGTGTGCTTTATTAACTTTGTATTATTACTATGATTATTATTATTTTCATAACTGTTAATTAATTAATCATTCTCATTATGAATGTTACTGGTACTATTACATATCCTTTTTTTTAATGCTGTTATCATTGATAAGTGATCTGGTAATCTGAAGGAATATCCCTCCCTCAAAGGCAAATATAGTATATTTCTTTCCTATCCTTATGACAAATTTTAAGTACCAGATAATACATAAAGAAATGACTTACCATAGGTCCTTCCAAAAAGCAGAAGTCCAGCATCTTCTCGGATTATACTGATAACACAAAGAGAGCTCTTGACCTGAAGATGAGCTGGATCCACAAACCCAATACATGACTTATATATCAAGTACAATCAAACCTAGAATATCTGGACTCTTGAGGACTGGGCTGAATTGTCTGGATAATTGATGGATGATCAAAAAGTTAATGAGCAAACAATATCATTTAATCAATAATGGAGATTCTCGAATCATTGTGCTTCATTGTTGACATCTGCCTAAACTATAACAAGTTATTAATGTATGCACATTGCCAATTCTATCATTCTTTGAAGCTGCATTAGTGAAATAGAATCAACATTGTTTAAGTACATCTGCATTGACTAATTAATATTCATAAAAAAAGAGGGAGCAGAGAAGGGAGTCCGGATAACTGCAAAAAAAAAAAAAAAAAGTGATCGAAGTTCAGTTGTATTCACAAAACAAATAGTTCTTATTAGTATGAGAGGTTAGCCAAGAATGTTGTAACTTAAATTCTTGGCAGTTATTTGTCACCTGCAGACTTATTCCAGTCTCAGTTTTTAATTGAGGATATCATCACCATGTCTTTTTTTAAGTGTTTTTGGAGCCAACAACGTTGCAATAAAAATTATTGATTGATGAGAAAAATATCAGGGTTGCAGCAATACTTGGGAAGTCAGGTAAAATGTTTGTTGGAGCCACCTGAATCACAAGTGGAGGGGATTGCAAGGAAGCTGACATGAAATTTGCACAATTCATGTGACTAAGATCACTTCAAAAGAAGACACTAAAAACTAATGATTGATGAGGAAAAAATTAGGGTTTCAGCAACACTTAAGAGGTCATGAAATATGTCTGTTGGAACCAAAGGGAGGGCATCCAAGGAAGCTGACAAGAAATTTGCATAATTCTTGTGACCAACATCAGTTCAAAGATGATTGATGAGAAAAATATCAGGTTTGCAGCAATACTTAGGAAGTCCAATGAAACGTTTGTTGGAACCACCTGAAACACAGTTGGAGGGGGTTGCAAGGAAGCTCACAAGAAATTTGCATAATTTTATAACTAAGATCAGTTCAGAAGAGAAACTGAACTTTAACTTGCATATTTACAATAACATCTATAAAAGTATTTTTTATATTGCAGATAATGTATAAATTAATCCGTTTCAATTTTAACTGAAAGGGACTATGCACAAGCTCCAACTGAAAACTCACTTCCAGCTTCTTCCAGTCTTTAATTCAAGTAGAAATAATAAGCTCATAGGCATAATCAAGGTATTTGACCTGTTGATCCTTTTTGAGGTACAAGAAATTTACTTCCATAGTGAAATGACAGAGATTTAAACAAATTGCCTCACATTTTTAGCAATAACTAAACTTTCGTAAGGGATTCTCTGACTTACAGTAATTTCAGCTACAAGTAAAATAGATGGTCCTGGAATAAATAGATGGTCCTTTTCAGAAAACAGTACCTCGAGAGGAGTTTAACCAAGGAGGATTGAGCAAACATTAAGGTAGTTAAGACCCTTACTATGGGTGAATACTCAATATATGTAAGTATATGACTAGGATAACAGGACTTGATAAAGCTGTTTGCCTAATGGGAAGGCAGACTGTGCAGCAAACTTATTCAAACCCCACATCACACCATAAAATCTTAAAAGTAGTGGGTTAAATGTAGAACAAAATTCTTATAACAGTAGAATTGCTGACAGGTTGTACCTGTACATCATTTCTTGTACATGGAATAAGCTGCCTTCAGTTGCAAAAAAATGCCCCTAACATGTCATCTTTTCAAAAACATTTAAATTATTTGAATTGTGTTGGTAGCCAATACAACAAATTGCCTACAATAAATCATCTTATCTTATCTTGTATTATCCTTCATCAACCAAATTTCTTCTGGAAGAACCTGAGGGATGGGGACAGCCCACATTTGTTATGCTTAGATGCAACCCAAAAAACTACATTCAGCATATGACATGTTATTTCAGCCAGCACAGAAACTGAAATATTTCCACTGGAACAACATAAAAAAAGAGAAATGCAACAAAATTCAAGTCAAACTACAAACATCTTTCAATTTAGTAATTTGTTTTTGCTAAGAAGCATTGACCTAGCTCAGTACTCAACGAAATTTTCCAGAGTTGCTTCTAAACATGACAGACTAGGTAGTCGAGGGAGTATTTTAATAGAATAAATACGACGTTACATTAGGTTTGGGCTAGACAGTCCTCAAAATTATGCCCTACTTTTGAATTAAGACAAAATTTTCCTTCAAATTCACTTGGATAGCGCCCATTCCTTTCAGTGCCCGACGGCTGCCTAAAGAGGTTGTATCGAGGCTGTAGATGAGAAACTCTTTCACCTTTCACTTGTTTTTAAAGAATTTACCAATTTTTCGTTCGTTTTCCAGGAGTAAAACGATTACTTTGCATACTTCCAATAATTTTTTTGTAGCAATTCTTCTCTTGACGATAATTCATAGCAGTTAGCATCGAACTATGGAGAGGCGCTTTTGTAACACGAGAAAAGCTCAAAGTAAAGGCTTGAATCTATTCTCGTTATAGCGTCAATTGGAAGTAAACTAATACAATTTCTGACTTATAATGAACTGAATATTAAAAAAGAACCAAAATTTACCGTAAAATAGCGCTGCAGCCGGAAAATTTCGAGTCACAAAGCCTTATTTTCGCAAGCCAACATTGCATACTCTTTCTGTAGTTTCCCGCTATGAATAATTTTAAAATTCCCGGATATTCAACCCAGGCTTCCTCACTCAGACCGGATTCATTGGAAGGAGCTCTGAGGGAACGTGTTGATAGGGCGTTTCGTAGTGACAAGACAAAAATAACAAACTTGGCAATGAGGCGGCAGTATTAGCTTCCCCAAAGATTAAATACAACACATTTTACAAATCATATGAGTAAGATGGCCGAGACGTCTTTAACATAAACGGCAACATTACCATTCGAGTGGAGAGCCGGGTTTGGCTGATGGGCATCCAGATGGTTTGAGACCGCGTGCAGGTGGTGACCCAGGTATCCATAAGCTCCGATAAAGTCAATAAATAAAAAACACTCTCGTTTGGTAAAAAGTCTTCTACTAGCCCCTGATCAAAATTTTTAAGGTTCAACTTCTCATGTTTCAAGAACATAGATTTTTTCATTTACCCAAGTTCGGACATTTCAAAACCTAAAAAAACCAACATATGTTCGCTTTAATCGACACTTGTGGAAGAAACACCTATTACTCAAATAATTTAAGAGACCAGTTGGATGGATATTCGGTTGAATTTGAGAAATTCGTCGCATTAAATCCATTTAAAAGACGTGACCTGCTGCGAGACATATGACCACTGTGTGAAAAGGGCGCCGAGTTAGAGACTGAAATGGGGATGATATCAAAAGAATAGCTTTTTAGAGGATTGCGTTATCTCAGTCGCGCGAAAGAAATTGTTTGGACATGACTGACCACTTACACGCGCGAGTTCGGATTTCCTTATCACCCCGCGTGGATTCCATGCTCTGAGAAATAAACGTGCGAGAAGACAGCTTTGTTTGTTTGTTGCTTTTTTTTTACGCTTTTTATCAAAGGATTACAACATTTCTCAATTGCTCCTTCACACTCCGTATGGGATCATTTGCTAGTTCCGTAGTTCTATTAAAACTGGAGCGAACATTTCATTGTGAACATTATTTTCTCATCAAAAGATTATTACATTAAAATTTCATCAATGTTTTGTAGACGTCGTTTGTGGACGCTGTAATGCCGATGGAATGTAACTGTCACTGGCAACGGAAATCGATTAATAAAACCAAGGATAACCGATCACGTTTCACACTACCTCGCGAAAGGTCTTTACCACTAATCACCTTCAGTGCCGTATAGTGTTTCGAACAAAGATAAACATATGACTGATATGCACTTAGAATCTGATGAAAAGCGTTCTGTTATGATATGTCTCTATGTCGCCCGCCACCCATCTAACACAGACATGAGCAGTCCTTCTTTACAGCTTCTCAGTCAACGAGGGGAATCCAAAGTTAGCGAGCGAAATGAAAATCATGCGAGCCTCTCTCGTCGCCAAGCTGGCTCCACGCATACAGCCGAGATAGAGGACTGCTCATTTCTTCTTTCGATCTTTCCCACCTGAAGATCGAATAACAACACGATCGACATATCTCTGTCTCCTGTCATTCGAGTCACTATAAAATAACACCACGCATCTTGTACAATAATAACACGATAGAAAACTCGTTTTTGGCGCAATTTGAGTTATTGACCTTGGCTTGCTTCTAACACAACTTTTGAGTCTGAAATTCCTTCATAACAAATTAATTATAAAAACTTGGTCTGTGTTCAATCCAAATTCCATTGTCCCCCGAAATCACCGACAAATCTGACTGCATGTTCTTTGCCATTTCATAGTTTGAAGTTTACATCATGCATGAGTTTCTCAATTTTCTAACATTAAAATTGCTCCTTCTTCACAACAATTACTTCTTCGCTCGGCATTTCTACGCATACAAGTTGAACCGCCTCTCCTGGTCCGTTGAGATTCGCGGAAGGATACAGACAGTTGTTCAATAATTCTTGTTCGGTTTTCGTCAATGGCGGGGCAATATCATCATCCTCAGACTCGACATTCCCACTCAATAGTGTTTCATCCACACCTCCATTCGGAGAATCAGGCGCCAAAGTATCTATGCTCTTCCTTAGTGAGTCGTCACTATGAAATAAACACCAAGGAAGTCATGTTTAGTTTACCTTTATGCAACATGAGAACGCGTATTGAACTTTAAAAAGGTAAATAAATCGCATTGTTGTGACAAGGGTCATTTTAAACCCAGCTGTTCAGATTTGATAGACGAGGGAAACTTCCTAAATATCAAGTCCAGTGTTTTGTCAAGGGACGCTTTCTAATACGCAACTTAAAATGTATCAATTACTGCTCCGTTTGAAGCGAATTAAGCCCGAAATTAAACCCGGGCCATTAGAAGGCTGAGGAAAGCAGTCAACATTATAGCTATCGTGCTTTAAATCGCAGCTGATTGAAAAGTTCTCGACAAACTATATTTTGCTACTCAACGGAGGGATTGATGCCAATTTAAAAAGTATTCATTTCACACAAAGAAATGAAACTAGGCAATCCACTGAACAATTACTACCAAGCGTCATATCTTAAGTAAAAAACATAAGTAAACAACTATGTAGTGTGAGTTTCCTTTTACACAAAGAGCTAATTCTCGTGTGATCGTACCTTTTGTTCGAGGGAATTCTGTCGCGCTGTCTTCTATTTTTGAACCAATTACTCACTTGCTTCAAAGTTAATCCGGTCTGTTTGGCGATGAGGCGCTTCTCGTGCGGGGTAGGATAGCGATTTTGCTCGTAACATTGCTTCAGTAGCTGCCTTGATTTTTCCTTAAAACAGTACACTGTTTCCTCGCCGTCCCAAATAGTCCGAGGAAGTGGATACTTTCGTCTTATCCTATATTTGTCCACAGCTCCTAACTCTCGTCCTCGCAACTTCTCGGCCTCGCAGTAATGAGCTTTATACCACATGTTCTGCAGCATTTCATGCGAAGACGGATCAAATTCATGGCCTTCGAGTATCGTGTACACTTCGCGGAACCTTCCACGGTGAAACGCGACGAAAGCTCTCGCTTTTAGCACACTCTCCGTTCCGCTTAGAAGCTCATTCGGTGGGAGTGACCAAAGAAATCGAGCTAACCTCTCGATATCTCCTGATTGCCTCAGCGCATCGCAGACACAGGCTACCTGATCGGTAGAAAACGTCAAAGTTGCAGGCTCCGCTTTCGCTGGCGTGACGTTGTCAAACGCATCCATATCTTCCCGTTAAAGACCATTAAATTTCTCTGAGCTCAAAGGGTTGAGTATAACGCATTGTCCCTTCACTTTTTTCAAGTGAGTGTGGCTGAATAGCTAAATGTGCGATTATGCCACAGCAGTTTGTTACAAATCAAAACCGCGTCCCTTGATTGGCTCGCACGTTCGCTAATCGATGACATCGGAAATTCTTTGGTCACAAGTCCGTTTGTCGCAATTAGAGGGCGGGACTTACCAAGTTAGGTGTCAACTTAGTATGCTTTGTTCTTGATAGGTATCAATCTATGTCGATCTGGATCTCGACCTTTCGACAAATCAGACTAAAGAATTATAATTAGTAAAGGGATTTCTATTTTTTCACACCTATCATAACAAATCCCAACTCAGCTAACGCTGCTCAACTGAGAAAATTCGCACGGACTATAAAAACTTATTCATATCTACCGTTTAACCACTTATAAAAAAAGGTATAATACACGAAAAGGTTAAACCACGTGCTACACTTCCTTAAACAGTCCTCTACTTGACAAGCACACCATTGTGGGAGAAAACGCGTGAATTTCCTGTTCGCGCATGGATAAAATATGTTAATTACCCATGTAAATGTTTGGTTCTTAAGAAAACTTAAAATCGAGTGCCGCGTCGGCTTAAATAATGCATCAGGAGTGTATTTCTTTCTTTTCATGAAGAACACTGAAGAACGCGTGCTATTTTATGACAGCTGTGTTGGTAAGCTTTCATTCGGTGTCTAGGTGTCAAGTCTGCCGCATTGTATCTATTCACAAATCCCTTTTATGGAAACTGTCTCATGTAAACACACAACCAGAAACCATTTCTCTACAGCTAAACACGGAAACTATGAACATTTTTCTTGCTCGTTGGCATATGACTTCACATTTGTAAACAGCTTTCGAGAATCACTATTTTGGTCTTCTTCGTTCGCGTGGATCAGAGTCATTTGATGCCGCTGACACGTCGCGCGTAAGAAGTTTGTAAATCACGTGCCGTGGTTGATACGTTTCCCTCAAGAATCCCAGAAGAATTGAAATCATCTTGGAAACCCGAAAGGAAACGAGCTTTCATTTTTCATTTTTCTTAACTAATCAGTGTAATAAACAACATATTTTTGACTGGTTAATGCGCGCCTAGTGTCCAAGTTATTCGGTAATGGTGGTAGTGGGCTTTCATATAAAGAACTACGTAGTTCGCTAAAAAAAAAAAAGAAAAAAAAGGTGAAGAAAACCAACCCTTTCTGTGGCAAATTGCGTAATATTCCACGTATAGTAGGCTAAAACTAATCTTATCGTTTCCCCCACGCTCATATTCGTCTTTCTTGGAAAGCATTTCGTATCGTTTAGCTGCAAGGCTGACTGACAACACATTGCGTTACAAATTCTTTCTCGAGTGCGTGACCGATTCAAACAGAGCGCATCTTGCACTATGTACGTCTTCTCAAGCATCTAAAATAATTACCAAATTGTCTTTCTGACCGACCTGGCTCACGTATTGGGCATTCATCGAAGTTAGGCGCAACTACGACGTCAAAGCTCGCGAGTCGAGCATGGTGACGCGTGAATCGCGCGTGAATCACTTGATATAAACAAGAAGTTCGTTCTGGAATCTGAAAGCCTGTTGAAAACTGTATAATGTTTTTGAAATGCCCAAAATTTCACTTTCATAAATGAAAGATCACATAATAGGCCGCAGATTCAAAATTTACGTTAACACAAGAAAGGAAACTACCAAACATTTCCAAGCTGTTGGTTTGATTAGAGACGGAATCGGATCTTTCCGTGCAGATCTCGTCTGCCACGGTCGAAATGGTGCTTATTCCGATTGCGTGACCGCTAACCCCAATTGATCTGTTACCGCAGGCACACATGTCAAAGACCGCGACTAGGTAATTTTTTCTTAGTCTGTACAGCGAATTTTTTTATTCTGCGCAAGAGAAACAAGAGGAACACAAACGCACACCCTTACTGTGAAGTTGACAGAGCATCATCAAAAAGTGTGTCCTATTTACGCGAAAGACGACTGCCGACAAGAAATGAGTCTTGTTGAGCGTCATATAGTTTCAGCCGTTTGCACAGGAATGGAAATATGTTTGCAAAGAGGTGAATTGGCTTCGTTGATAGTATTAATACTACAAAATGAAGTTTATCGCGACTTCCTATCTTATCTACGTTAGATTAAAAATAAGACGAAATGTACAAAGTGTAAAAAAACTACTAATTGCTTGTGCCAGATATCATGGTGAAAGAAGTGGGAGAAATTCTCAAGCAAACTTTGTCAGAGACTCGAAAAACAAAGAGAGTCGTCTTGAATCATTGCACTTGGCGTTGTTCTCTTTTTCTATCTTTTGAAAATCTTCGAATATCTCGGAATTGTTATCTCGCAAACAGTTCGCCTAGGCGCTTTCATTTCAAACGACTCTTGCTTCAGGCGATATCAGGGTGATGGCCCTTACTGTCACTTCCAAGTTACAGTTCTAATTCTAGCTGTGTCCTCACATCAAATATATCAGTTCAGGTATCTCAAATGAACGCCTTAGGCTCCAGCTTACCACGCGTGAGAAGTAGACGTAAACTAAAGGCCGGCGTTCAACAGAGAGTCAAACGAGCGGGATCGTTATGGTCAGGGTAAGAACCAGATCCATTTGCAAACAATCGATCACACTTCATACTCACACAACTCCACTGGGCTCCTATTGATTAATATTGTGCCAGCATAATTGTTGGCATAATTTGTCGAAACCAGCACAATGTTTGCACTTTTTACGAAAGTAGCACTGCTGGCATAATCAGCACACACAGTATATTTCAGTTTAGTATTTTTGAAGGGAATAATACCAGAGTCATGACTTGTTTTGATCTCTGATATTACTTATTTTCAAGTTCAGTTCATGGTTCAGAGTGCTTTCATGTTTGCAATGTCTTAGGGGAAGAAGGTTATCACAATCCTCACGTTGTTCCTCGTTTAGGGGACTGAGCACACCGGAAGTGATGATTACGTTTATTCCAGATTCCACTTTAACAAGGAACAAAATGGGAGTAGTTAGTTGTGTTTTATCGGAGCAAGTGCGCATAGTAAATCAAGATGAAGAAGATATATGATATATAATTGTAATCTGAACTTGCTTTGTGGTTTTTTTTTTCAAAGAGCATACTTTAACAAGGCCTAACATAATTTTTAAAAAAGAGCATAACTTGGAAAAAAAGTTAGGCAATACTAGTAGCATAACATGCTGCCTTTACAAGCACAATCTAAGCGCGACCGGCCGCGCACGCAGGCTATTCGAGGAAAACTTTATCTTATTCAAATAGACACGCGTTGCAAGTCAAAACCGGTAAAGATGTCCGTGACACGCATCCACAGTTCACTTGTGAAGCATGCTATGCAAAGCTCTTTCCTCAAAGGTAAGAAGCGCAAGGAAAGCACAAGTTCATATGATATGAAAACATAATTTTTCATGGCTTTGAAAGCCCATATCAAGCACACTAAATACACCCTTAGTAGCTGATAAGATCCTAATAATACCTCTAGCCCCTGGATTTTCCTTTCACCCTTGAAAGTCTGTATCAGTTTTTTTTTTTTTTTTTCATAATTTTGACTAAGTGAAATTAAGCATCGTCTTTGGAAATCGTTTTTCTGATCACCCTTCTGCTTGACCATGTGTTGATGCCGTAAGGAAATATTACACAGTAATCATTCTTGAGAAGGAGAGTGAAAGTTTTTGTAAATGTTCACTATGCAGTGCTCCTTTTTAGTCTTACCGCTGTTTTAGTTCATAAATACTGTGGCGCAACTCAGAGCAATATCTATTATTTCCAGGCTGAGGTTAAAAGTTATCGCTGAGAAAACCTGGTCAGGATTTCTTTTTTTCCAGGGAACGCAAACGCAACGATGCAAGAGTCAAACACTGACTCTTACAGCTGCTGCACTTTTGCATTCCCCCCTCCCCCCTCTTTTTGAAAAAGGAACACTTTATTGCGCCGCCCAGCAAGGGCAAAGAGTTTTCAATCGAAAGACAACGTTCAGTCATTTTTAACAAGGTATTAGGTTCGGCTCATCAGGTTAAACCCTTAGCGATCTAAAGCTGCAACTTAAGACAAAGAATCAGATGGTATTATAAATACTATTCGCTCTTAGTAATCGGTTTATTTAAATGTCTTGAGCGGTCTTCCTGAAATTTATGAACACTCTTTTTTATAAGAACATCTTGTCTGCGGCTGAGGCTAAATATTCTTATTTTTTTCTGCGATTTGCGCCTGAAAAACGCTCTTAACATGTTCCGGCTTAAAGTTGTGAAGCAAAGTATTTCAATGAATGAATTCGAACTTGACCAGACTAAGTTTGGTTACAAACTGAGTTTTTCTCCAGTGTATTGTGCGATAAGAAAACCGCATTGTTAATGTTAAAAAAGGTCTTTCAGTTTTGAGTCAATTGTCCTGTTAGATCACAGTTTTGCATTTCTTTTATCTTTATTCAAACTTCTCACAAAAAAAGGGCAAAATAACGACGTTCTTGACTGAATCTCAGCATGTGCATGTTCTTAGGATGTTCTTAAAATTTTGGTTAATCTTAGCCTGAGTGTTCTTATAAAAAAGAGTGTATCAGTCGAGAAAATATATTTCTTCTAGCCAGAACTTGATTTATTGGAATCTAGAAATGTTAAATTATCCTCCGGTACTTAAAGGATTTCCGTTTGACATCATCAAGTCCATTATATCAATGTTTCCGTCCGCCGGGAACGCGCACGTGAGCTGCCGCGCCATCTCACCAAACCACGGGTCTCAGACACGCGTAATTGATACGCAGCACTCTGTTGGGGGATGTCTAGTTTATTTTATAGTTGTACAACGAATACGATTCCTACAGCAAATAAAAACTGAGTTCCATAACTAGCCGTAGCATATTTATCACAATGCGGTGTCCATAAACATTGCGTCGCCGCATCTATTCCCTCACCAACAACAGCTCCAATATAAACCTGTGATACTATTTTACATCGTCCTTCGATGCACTCCTCAACACGAACTTTTATCAATTCACTTAGCAAGGGGCCAAGCCGGCCAAAAAGAGTATGATCATATTGCGAAAATTGCGACAAATACGACGTAAGCACGTCCAAGATAATCTTCCTCAGTTGCTCATCTTGAATACGGACTCGGAGGTCCGAAACAGTTTTAGCGCGGGCTCGTCGACCCGAACTCTTCTCCGACGATTTCACAGCGTCGCTTTCGGGAATCGTCGCCAATGGATTCCATCCATTTAATTTACTCAGTTCCGACAACGGAACATTCGGCCACGTTTGGGTTCTCTTTCGCCTCCAAAATCGATCCACCGGCGGCGAAATACGTTCAAGTTTCTTTAGATTCATTTCTTTGGCCCGTCCTTCAACCTTTCACATACATCGTAAGTTATTTCAAGTGGTCAGTGTTTGCAGTGTTTTCTCTTGAATCTGTTTAGAAAGGCGTCATCGTTTTCCCAGATGGTTCAATTTGATTAGCGACTCTTTTCCTGCATGAAGTATTTTCTTCAGACAACACTCCACTTCAGCTGTATGAAGCACAGATATAAAGTTGCTATAAGTACAATTTCTTGAAAAGTCAATGCCAAGGTCGGAAGAACTAATAAGCTTTCCTTCACAACGAGAGAAGTGCACGAATTGGCAAGAACTGTGCGTGTCAAGGGTCAAACTTGTAACTGCTTGAATTTAACTTCGTCTTACTTTAAGTCAGCAACTTTCCCAGCATTTCTTTACCAGGATTCCAAAGCGAAAAAGTGTTGACAATGATTTTCACGTTCACCACAGTGACAGGATTTTACTTCAATTCCTGGTGATTGGAACAGACAAGATTCGATTGGGTAATTCAGACTTCAAAGGGAAGGATTATGACCCCTTTGTCAGACTAAGAAATCTGATCTCCCGCCCGATTGCATGCATGCTATTTTTGCGAAATGACCTGAATATTACGCGCGACTATTTCTTCCTTTCTGCTTAGAGACATTTTCCGTGAGCGTCACAAATTTTGTCTACAGCTCAGTGTCAATGAAACAATGCCTCAGCTGGAGGCTAGGCGAATTAATTTGTCTCTCCTCGGACATGCGACAAAATATCAAACACAGAACCTAAAAGGCCCTGACAGAAGACCGAAAATTCAATTTGTTTTTACATTTGACACGATGATCTAACCTCCCTAAGTATAATTTTCTCCATGCAATGCACAAAGATGACAGGGCATTTTTAAACCAAATGAAATACTAACCTTGAATATCATTTAATCAACTTTAATTTCTTCTTCTCCATCTTCTGAACCTTTGGACATATTTTTCACCTGTGGGCAAAGCATCTGGTTTATTTTTTGGTAGCATGACTCGAAGCCCCCTTAAAAAAAAATTTATTCCATAATTGCTTCACCCAAAGTCTGTTTACGAGCGATAATGAATGGGAATAAATCAATTATTGTGTTGTTGTCCGCCAGTCTTGAGATCCACAACAAGCTTATCTCTGTAGATTTTTTTTCGTGAACGTGTCGCTGAATGAACTATGGAAGTTGCGTCTCTTCGATTTACTGTCTGGTTTTTGATCCCACTCAAAGCGGCGGTGATGTAAACAAAACAGTACCTTTCGAGTTGGCCGGAAAAGCGCGCGACTGAGGTTTTCACTATCGCAGTCACCGGTGTTCACGTGATTCTCGCACTGTTGTGCAACTCACGAGCTGGTCGGTAGCGACGTCGTGAGAACGTTGGAAATTCCTTCGACTGATGAATGGATTCAACATGTGCTATGTTCAAACTGTGGTTTAAAGCCAAAAGTTGGCTTCACGGAATTCCCATGAGTTCAAATTTAAATGATCAATAATTGATTGCCATTTCAAAGACAGGTGTCGTTTTCAATTGGTGGAGTTAGGGTTTATCGAGAAACGTCAAGAGGAGGTGAAGTGTTTTTGAGCAGTTGTTTGGAAGATTTCCTACGGCCAAGAGTGACAAGAAATAGCTGCATTTCTTGTAATGAAATTGGGAATTAAATTTTTATCTATCTTTGTCCGCTCGAGATGCCATGACAAAGGAAACCATGGGCAACATAAAAAAATTTGTTCAACAGTGTAAACAAACTAACCTTAGATAAATATCAATATAAGTTTACGATAAAAATAATTGTGAGCGAATGTCATCGCTTTCAAGTAGTAGGTAACATTCAATTGTGGAAACTAGTTTCGCTGGTATAATGAGGCGATTTTTTTCGCCTTTTCAAATCGAGGGAAACCTAAATATTCGTTATATGGAATGAAACCATGATCCATTTTGTGTAATATTTCAAATGACACATATTTAGCGTCTTCACAGATCGCTTCCTCATCTGAGCGAGTAAAACGCGAAAACAAGTCACTTCGCTTACCGAAAGAAAAAAATAAAGATCACTCAAACCGAAAAAAATTTCACTTCTTCAATGAGGGTCCCAATGGGGTTAACCGTTAGCCGTAAAACGGCCAAAATATTTAGACGTAAAAATTGACAAATTTTAACCGTTAGTCGTAAAAAAAGTTAACCGTAAAAAATATCTCTGATGGAAACAATGGAAAGGTGTTAACCGTTAGCCGGAAATTGGCCAAAATTTTAACCGATAGCCGTAAAAGCCATCACCCCATTGAGACCCTCTTCAATGAACCATTAATCTCTAACATCAGTATGTATATTCTCCATACTTTTCTCTATATATTTCCCACGTTGCTATCAAGCAGAATTTGTTTAACAACCAGGAAAAAAACAGTGAAAAATGACTCAGATTGCAGGTTACAAATTTGAAAATTCAAATTCAGGGACCACGACAGCGTAGGGCTAACCCTTGCCTCTCCAAATAGTCCCGACGAATATATTTCCTTCCACTGAACCACAAAGATGGCCAAAATTGTAAGGCTTTCTAACAATATTCCCCCGATTTTGAAGAGAAAACTAGGAATTTACACAAACCCTTTTGAAAAAGCTGGTTTGCATCTAACGATCGAAAAATAGTTGTCATGCAAAAACACTGCGTTAGAATATTCTGTCCTCAGTTTTTTTTTTCAAGAAATATGTTTCATTTTGAGCTTTGACGTTAAATAACGAAGATCATAATTATCTCTACAGAACCTCAGACAAAGAAAAATGTACTCTTCGAATCTCAAGCCCTCTTCCATTTCACGGGCTGCTGCTGCTTAACATCTGATATGCAGAGAACTCTTTAGTGATCTGCGTGCGCAGTTTGATATGTTCATCATGGTTTGACGAACACCTCACACATTTCTACAATCAGCGATATCGAAAGCATCGTGTGGGTAAGTGACAAAATTATGAAAGACTGTATTTCAAGATAAGTCATCTCTGGAATAAAGAAAGAAGTTGATCATTTATCAGAAACACGTTTGGCTTACCATTTGAATACTTATCCTTATAGGCAGACATGTTTGAATCATGCTTATCTGTAGGGTTAGCTTAACGTTTGCTGTTGGAGTGATGTTTTCAATCTCTTGCAAACGGCAGGGGCTCACGTAGACCACGTAAACAAAGTCGTCTGCCAATTCATAAAAGTGTTACAAACAACTTTGGAGGGAGTTGGCTATAGAACACTATATCAAGCAAGAAGGACCGAGACTCATCTTCCGGATTTTCTTCTTTATTAGGCTAACTGCTCAATTAACTAAATCAAGTATAATACACTTCCTTAAGTGCTTTATTAGTGCACATGTTAAGGTTATAGGCCTGTCGATCTTGGTAGAGTGAAGCTCTCTACAAAACTCCTGACCCAAACATTGTTCACAAGTGAACAACAAAACACTTGATATTCTACGCTATGAAAAGCCGATTATTGAATTAGCGAAAACAAAAATCACAAACAGGAACTATGTTGCTCGTCCAAACCACAGCCAACGTGTAGCCGTACCCTACACGTAGGCTATCCAAACCAAGGTCAACGGGGCATTGACCCAAACAAGAACACAACCAGCAGAACCCTTCCTGTTGTTATTACAAACAGACTAAATATTTTTATCAATCTTTTAAAGGTATAGTAGGTCAAAGGTAAACGCACTAATCAGGAAATGAAACGTGGGGCTAAATCTACCTCCTGGACAGCTAAATTCACAACAAAAGTAACGAGCCATAAACTAACCGAATTCAGCAAGAGCTAGTCAATGTCACTTTGTAAAATTTCAAAGTTAGAAATCAGCGTTTCAAACAGGACCAGTTTGTGACTGTACTTTTAGTCATGGATTATAAATCGCTGGAATTAATCGCTATTGCCACATAAAATGAATGTTTTAAATTGATTCAAATTGATTCCTCTCAAAATACGTCTACGTTTGATTCTCTATTTAACCACTAAGCTCAATAAATGTGTCACAAAGAGATGCGTGAATGGATAAGAAGTCGTTCCCAACTGCAGCTCAGACTAACCCAAAATCGATTAGTTTGTGCTGCTGTTTTCGTTTTCTCTCAAACCATGGGGGATCTTGTAAAAAGCCATCCGCTATTAATTCTCTACCAAATTGTAAGAGTCTATCTTTTGGTCGAGGATCGAGGTAAAGAGTCATTGATTTTCAAAATTAAGAAATCATCAAGATCGAGCCAGTTTGCTTTCTGTATTCTGGAAAATGTGTCATGTTGCGCTATTGCCGCTTAATCGATAATCCTTGAGGTAATTTACCTGAATCAACCATTGCAAGATATTCAGTTCGTCCGCTCGAATCCTCCCATTAACGCACCCTAACTTGTGGAGTAGAGGAGAAAAAAACTCAGGCTTCAAGAGTAGCGCTCAGAGGTTACGTTTTTTCAGCTTGTTTTTTTAATCGTCTTGACGAAAAGATAACATCACGTCATCAAAATGAACACCACAACCGCAAGTCGCCAAACATCACAAATCAAATTTCATTACAGAACCACAAACCAATCGGTTGTTTTTCTCAAAATAGTCGCACCGCAGGAACGCGCACTAAAATAATATTCAAAAAATTATCATTGGAATAGGGGTATGTATGGGAGATAAGTTCTCTCAGTTGATATTCTCTGTTCACATGACTAGAATAGAACATACCTTACTGTTATGAAGTATTTGTTGTTTAATAAGTCATTTAGTTAGTCAGTTCAGTATGATTTAGTCTTTCGTTTATCTTTAGAATGTATTTAATGTATGAATTCGAATTCCGAAGATATCGAGGTTTGAACTGTTGTGATAAGTTGTCTAGTTCTGGCAGCCTGCTCTAACTTCCTTAAGTGGACGAGCTTAGTTTGTGTACTAACCTTGCTTTGGACCCTCTTGCTTTTTGGCTTACGCAGTCAGAGGTTGATTCAGTTGATCGGAAGCATTACTTACAGAAGTACTTTGTTGTTCCTTTTGAAAGTCTCGTAATATTGTTTGGTTTATTGTTCTAACAACAAATGTTTAATATCTCAAGGACAGCCAGCGGGCATGCCTAACCACATCTGTTAGTAGTTAGTATATAGACATGTCCTTTAGAGCTTACTTAGGAGAGTGGTGAGAGGAGTGAAGAGTAGACTACAAGAACGCAGACAATGTGCAGAAGAGTACGGTCAGAATTTCGTGGCTGAATAAGAATTATTCAGTGAGAATCAAAGTGTGAGAGCCTTAGAGAGTTACCCAGAATTGTGTACTGTGGAACTGAGTAATTAAGAAAAAGTGTAAAAGACAGTTCGAGAGTCTTGGTGCCTTTCGCCGAGCGTGGCGTGCTCGATAGTTCCCCTCCGATTTAATAGTCGTAACAATACTATGAACTTTGGTCATGTGTCAGTAAAGACAGAGTTAACAGTGAAAGACAAGCTGCTCATTGGGGACCCAACGGAGTACAAAATGTCTAATACCCTTTATAAAGCTTCCCTTGCGGGCTAGTCTCCCTAACTGGAGCCTGCGGTTATTTTAAGTAAGGCTATCACTGAGAAGAGAAAAAGAAAATTCAAGCATTAATCACCAAATTTGTTCAAGATGCAATCTCCTTTGGGAGGGTATTGTCTCCATCTTCCAGATAAACACGAAAAGCTCTCTCCACGGCAGCGACTCCAAAAAACGACTGCAAAACTTTCACCACTACTAGCTTAGCTGAGCTTGCAAAATCTTCGTAATTCTCCCGCACGAACTCCACCATCCGAGAAAGTTCGAAGTCAACAGCTACCACCTCTTCGTGCTCAAACTTATCTTTAGGACCCGTCGTGAACCGAGAACCGAGCTGCTCGAACGTTAGTCGCCTCTCGGGAGCCACTCGTTCATCCGACAGGTCCACGTAACCACAGCAACCCCATTCATGCGTATCGAACTTGAGGTACACGGTTGTGAGGCAAAGAGCCTTAATGTCGCTGCCTTTCAACTCTACTCGCAACTCTTCTTCCAGTCCTCGCGCGGCGGTCTGAATCAGATCCACGTAAGACTTGTCGTTTTTATAGACGTAGTCCTTGGTTGAGGCACTTTCCACAGCCCCACAGGTAAACTTGCCTGGGGTTGCCATTCCCTCTGAAAAATAACGAGGAAAAAAATAAACAAAAACGGGAGAACGGGCCTTAGATGAAACAAAGCTGATGTGTGTCAAAAAATCTAAAGGCCTCAGTTTTGAGTTTTGTTAGTTTGCTTTGTTCGTGTTGGTGTTGTGCTGTTGAATTCAAATATTCATATTCAGTGCTAAGAGACACAGGATTGTATAAAGGGGCAACACGTTAATGGCATGTCAACTTCGATAAACAAATTTGTTTGTTGTGGTGGCTTGTTGTTCAGCTGATGATGATTGAAATGACAACTGCTACTTAATCAACATTAAATAGTTTTAAAGGGAACTGACTAAAATCAGCGGCGGAATAGGCTCGTGGTTTAAAAAAAACAATCTTGTTATCTGCAGCTGGGAACCCTGTTCGCCAGATTTTCCCGCCCTATGGATCACGAGACCTCCGTGACTCGGAATGTTCTGTGTAATGGCGGTCGTTTGGTTGTTTTGTTATCGATACGAACATTCTGGTCCGTACGTAAAAATCTATTTAGGGAGTCTTTTAACGGAGATGTATCAGGGTCAGATATCACTGAAAATTGTGGCGTTATGAAATTTAACCATAATTTCATTTTCCTTTAAATCAAATTCTAAACTCGTAAACAGTTACAGAACTCTTGACAAAAGGCCAAAAAGGGTGTTTGAACAAAATAGATACCTCGATTAGACCTTCTAGCGAAGATAAATTTCTGAGGTTTGTCTGCAGTTAGGACAGCAACATGGAGGCCAAAAGATGTGCTGAACACCGGATGGACAGTAGTCTTGCACACGACAAACTCTCTCTTTTTAGAGTCTTCTAGGTTCCTCCAGATCTCCCGAACGGCTCTATGGTGACAGTAGGTTGACTGTCCAAACATCAGTTGTATTTCTTGTCTTTCTTCTTCCTCCTCCCGGGAGGTAATCAATGTTTTGAGGGCAATGGCAGGATTGTCTTCGATCTTTTTATCGATGGCATCCTAAATGCAGATAAAGAAAATCAGTCATGAGCAGTGGCGGATCTAGGGAAAAGGCCTGGAATCTCCCTACATGAGGGAGACTTTCTTATTGACTTTCAGCATGAATATGTTCTTAGTATATTCTCAAAATTTTTCTTAATCTGAGCCTAAATGTTCTAATAAAAAAAAGGTTTTTATTAAAAAAAAGAGAAGCTATTTTATTTTGATGGGCTCGTCGTTGTAATTTCCATTGTCTGAAGTTATTTTTCTTCGCCGCCCTATCTTATACGTACAAAAAAAACATATGTGAAAATCTGGTCTCGATATATGTACCTGCCTAAATTTTCCGTAGTGCTCCCTATACTTCTGTTCATAAACCCACTCCTTTGGCACGTCGTTGTACTCCTCGTTGCCGACCTCTACAGAACACAACAGACACTCAGGGGGGAATCCTTGGGGACGAACTGCTGTCTTAAAATACCCTTCACTGGACTGTTGGTTAAAGAGGACAAATCAATCAAGACATACATAGGATAAGACGGAGAAGCTTAGTGTAAGCAGCCTACGAGCTGACCTTCATTATTAGCGCGAAGGCAAGAGCGTCTCAACTCCCACGAGAAAGTTTGAGGCATCGCGCAAAGCGAGCCGTCTGCTAGGGGTCTCAATACGAAGGTATAATGGATCGATTAAAGAGCAAAAAGACGGCGCTGCCATGGTTTCCGGTCCGGTTTCCGCTGTTATTGCTAACCTCTGCATGGAGAATTTCGAAGGACATGCGATATCTACATCATCCTACAAGCCTCGGATCTGGAAACGCTACGTGGACGATACCGAATTAAGGAGCACGATGGAGACATCCGACTCGCCCGTTCCGAGACCTCCGCCGTTTCAGAGCAGACCCACAACACCGGACACAAGCCACTCTGGAGCGAAGTAAAGTTTATTGATCGTGACCCTTATTACTACACGTGCAGGGTCAAAGAGGCAATTCATATAAGACTTCACCTTAACAACATCAACAGGGATAGTGGAATAGTGGATGCCCACGATCAAAAAACACAACAACAGGAGAGCAGTGCGACAGCGGACCGCCGAGGGAGCAAATCAGTGGATGAAACAGCAAGGATCGAAAATGCACCTATCAGAGCTGTTGAAAAGCATCTAATCACAGCAGAGCATCATGCTTTATAAGATCACGCATGGCCAGTCGACCTCATCGCCTGAAGAAGGCTAGCAGTATGCGGTCGAAACGTCGCGATCTATGACACACGTGACTACATCGTGAGACAAACGAAAAAACTTAGCTTTTATTGTTATTCACCACAAAGAATAACCACAACCTTTTTTACGAAATAAAAATTAGCTTCAGACTCTTACCAGACCTCTCGCGGGCGAAGAAACGCTCCTGCCGCAGCGCTAATAATTTTACGGAAATATATTACTAGGCCATCAAAAACCGCGAAAACAGCAGTGTTGCTGGTTAAAAGACCACAAATTCGTCAAAGGGAAATCAACTTTATCCACGCAGACTCAACAGTATTTCAGGTGATACACCAACTGGGCTAGAGTTTGAAAGTACCAACCCATCACCTTCTCTTCCACAAAATACGAAATTTTGAGGATATCATGTACTATTGACAAAATGGTAGAGCTCAACTTAGGCAGCGAGACAATAATACAAATACCTCCCCGCAGTAATCACCACTTCTCCATTACCACCAATTACTACTACGGTATTACGGTAAAATTTCCGCACAGCCCCATACTAAATTATGCATTCACTTCTTGGATAGAGAAAACAATGACAAAAACAATACATTGCCATTGGGGAAACAGATTTGTTTTACAATAGTATGGAGCTGTGCGGAAATTTTTACCCAGTATTACCTCGTCCACTAAGCTCTCAGCAACAAAGATATAAGTGTTCTGGAGGAACCCACAGGAAAAAAACTCAGCGCTTTTGGCTTCAGTTTGGTACGGGTTAACATCACCTTCAAGAAAAAACTCTGGTAAGCCATGTGTTAAAGATTAAAAATTTTATATTTAGATGAAGAAAGTGATGTTTACATACTGTGCAATAAAAATAAGACCAAAAAAATGTTACGAAATAACAAAGAAATGGATAAAAAACGCTAAAATCTTTTAAGCCGGGCAGAATAATTTTTCTAATTCAGTAAATGACGAATCAAAGCAGATATTCAAACGTTCCGATCGCCACTAAACGCGACTGCCAATTCAAAAGTTGGTTGGGAAGTCCAATAGCACGTAAGACGTGGTGTGTGTGGAGTGCTTGTTCTGTTTAATCATGGCACGCAGTTCCTGGTCAAGAAAATTTCAGTTAGGCTTATTTTGACTTGTTTTCCCCTTTGCCGTTAGACTTGTCATTCAATTCTGGTCAGAGAAACGACGAAATTTGCCAGTGTATTGACTTGACAAGAACACTTCTGGTCCCACAAGTCTTCTTAGAAAATCAGTTAAGTTCTAACTGCGTAAAGATAGTGGAGAAGTTTTCGTTGAGAAGTGTATTTACGAGCAGCAATTGCCAGTGAGAGTAAATGAGAGTAATTGGAACTTTGGAAACTCTACCACTAAAATACTCCAAAACCAGTTGGTCTGCTGTAGGTCTCATCTCAGGATTTTCCAGACGACAGTCCTCTATAACTTTTCTCAATACACCACCCATTTCTTCGGGCAACTCCACTCTGTCCTCCTTCTTTATCAAGTTGTTTTGAATGCCCTGTACACTGACAGAGTTTCTACCCTGCCACGGTGTATTTCCTGTTAACGTATAGGCTACTACTTGAGCATACGAGTAGATGTCAGCACGTAGATAAAAAAACTTGTCATCAAAGCCTGTGTGCTCTTCTGTTGTATCTGTCAGTTCTGGGTGAAGAAAGTAGCAGTTTGTTTGTAATGCTAACATACTCATTCTGGATGAAAAACCTTTCATTACTTGTTATATTTCACTAGCTACTTGGAGGAAATTAAGTCATGAAGTGTAGGTTTTGACTTAGATGAAGGACAGGGGTTCATTGGGGTCTATTAGAAACCGCAAAACCGTAGAAAAAAAATCATCCAAAACCGCAAAAGCGCTAAAGAATTAGATCAAAACCGAAAACCGCAAACCGCTTGCAAAACCGTCAAAACTGATAATCCGATACAGTGGTGACAAGTGGAACATACAGTGGTTTTCGCGGCATTCGAGATCAGTGGTGCTGCATATTTGTCGCTCAAATCGAAGAAACACCGGCATCCAAATAGGAAAAAACTGAAAACCACATCGGATACCAAATCCAAAAACTCATTAGTGTTTTTTTATGAATACCGAAAATGGAAAATGCGTAACTGCAATGAACACCAAAACTGAAAAACCAAAGTTCTTTGGCACAAAAAACAAAAAAAAAATATCTAAAAGAAAGCCAAAACCGAAAATCCCAATGCTCCCCTCATGAAGAAAGCTCATGGTGTGACAAAAATTCTGATCTTTCTGATCAAAGGGTTAATGTTACCTTCTACATTATACTCATCATCTGTGAAGTAATCATCCCACACTTCAGGTGCTGTCCAGCGCGCATGGAACAAAGACAGATCATTGCCACTCCTCTCAATTGTTCTTGATAAGCCAAAGTCTGCTAGTTTTACCCGCAAGCTTCTGATGTCCAACTTGATTAATTTATGATTTACAAATAAAGGAATAATCAGGATGAAATTTTTTTGAATGTGTTTTAGAGATACTGATCGAGTTATTTAACAGCTTAAAAATAGTACGTTAGAACATCAAAGTTTTTTTTTCAATATTTTTTCAACTGGTCTATTTTTTATCTTCCGTTTTATATTCAAATATATTCAATTTTTTCTTTTCCTAGCAAACAGGTCTCAAAAAGGTAATAAAATTCCAGTAAGAATGATTCTATAAACCCTTGGGTCTTTGCTATGCAACATATATCTAAATAATTTAAGAAAAAAATTAACTCATTTGCTGATTTTTTTCTTTTTTTTCATTTTGATCAATTTCAACTAATTAATTAATCAATCATTTCTTTTCCCTTTTTATTTTTTCCTCATAAAACTACAGTCTGTCTTCTGTTTTTCTGACAAAAGTCTGAAACAGATGATTTCTACAGGAATCTCACCAGTATATTGTCAGGTTTTAAATCCCTGTGGCTTATTGGAGGATTCAAACTGTGTAGGTACATCAAGCCATTAGCCATTCCTCTACCAATGGTCCACACTTGACTTTTAGGAAGTCCCCTAGATTCTGGAGTTTTGTGATCCTCAACAAATCTGTACAAGTTCTTAGGAATGTACTCCATCACCAGAAAAGGGCATCCTGCTTTAAGGGTGAATTTCTCATGTGAGACATCATGCTCCAAAATGTTCATTCCTCTGAATGCAATAATGTTATCATGCCGAAGATCTCTGTGTATCAAAAATTTAAAATAATTTTAAAGAAGCTAATAAGAGCTAATTTTCCAAAGAGGGGTTTTAAATTTGAATTGAATATAACTGAGAGTAACTATAATAATCTGATATTCAATAGAATAATTAATAATGGTAATAGGACCAAGTGGAGTCCAATATGGTTTGTAATCATATGAGTGATAAACAAAATCTGTCGACCAAGAAGTGTGATTTGTTAATCATGAGTGTAGATTACAGGTAGAATTGGATGACATGAACTCCTGTTACCAATTAATCAAAACTATGACAAAATTTGAGAAAGAAACTATAGAGACTGGAGATAAGTTTTCATGAATAAAAACATAGTCAACTTGGTGAAATGGGAGACAACAACACATATTAGTGACACATTCTGTCCACTTACACAGGCATGACGTGTTAACTGTCCCTTTAACTGTCCTATTACATAACCAGTCATGTTCTCGAGAATTTTGCTATAACCAATCACATTCATGAGAATTTTGTTATAGTTTTGATTAAAAGCATAATAGGAGAAATAGAGAATGAATGGTTAGGGCGCTGGAGTCCAGGTTGAAAAATTCTAAATTCAAGACATGGCTGGGTTGATGTGTTGTGCTCTTAGGCAAAACACTGCTCTCACAGTGCCTCTCTCCAACCAGAGTATACAAGTAAATAGGTACCAGCAAGTTAGTTGCCAGGGAAGCCTGATGAAATGCTGGGGGTAACCTTGTAATGGATTTGCATCCCATCCAGATAAAGTAGTGAAACTCCTGGTTGCTTCATGGTAATTAGCAAACCAGGACAAGCTCCAGCTGGGTGAGCCACTTGGTGCAAGAACAAACTAAATGCATATATGGAAGACTGAAATAAAATGTATTTTGCAAATAAAATCACTCAACTTCATCAAAAGGTTTGAAGAGAGGTTACATATATTTTAAGCTAATGATTGTAACATTAAACTTTATAATTATCTAAGAAGGGTAGAAATGAGCATGTTTAAAAGTTCACCTCAATAGATTTCCTTCTGTAAGCAGAGGTCTTGTTTCTTTAAGATTTTTTAACACCTTGACAGCAACATCATTCCCTTTAAGCTTAGCCTTATACACACTTGAAAATCCACCTTCCCCTAGCCGCTCCCAGGCTGCCAGTTCATCCTGGCTTACTTTCCCAACAGTCCTCAAACCGGATGACTCTGCAAGGAAAGTTGTGTTCAAAAGCCCATTCTGTTTATATATCAAATATTGACTTGCAGTCATAAATATTGTAAATGATCCCTTTACGCCCTAACATCAGTATGCATATTTTCTAAACTGTTCTCCGAACATTTCCTTCCTTTTCTGCCTGTCTCGTGCACTGAACTCATCACCTTTCACTTAAATCACCAGGCTTAACATTTACCATCCTTATTTACATCATCATTGCACAAAAGCATCACATTCAACATTCCAATCCTAGCAGTATGTAGGAAGTTAGTCATTATGGAGCTTGTTATTTCCCTTTAAACTGTAAGAGTGACTAGCATTTAATTTCTCCTTATAATATCACCCCTGAATCACATGTTAAGGTCATGAGAATGAAGGAAATGATAACCAACACCAGGAAGCTTTTAATCAGTAAACAAATTCTCCTTGTCAGCACCCTAGGAAATGTAGAAAGAACAGTATGGAGAATATGTATAATGACATTAGGGGGAAAAGGGTTAAACTGCCAAGCCTGCCACAAGTCCTCTGTAGCTCAGTGGTAGAGCATCCAAAGTACATGTACTAATTGGGAGGTCATAGGTTCAACTCCCATTAGGACCCCTCTGAGTTCTTTTCCCTACAAGTATACCTGTGTTATTCACTGAAAACATTGACTTTCATTTCCTAAGATGTTGACAAGAAGAAATTTGTTTAAGAATCAAGAGCTTCTTCAGTTGGTGATAATTTCCTTTATTCTTGTGACCCAAATGTTTGATTCAGGGGTGATATTGTAAGGAGAAATTAGATGCATGTCACTATTTGGGGTCAATTGGTTAATTATGAGTGTAACTAGCACAACAGTAAAGAAAAGAATGATGATATTTTGACAAATAGTAAGTACAATATACAGGTATTTCCCATCTGCATCTACAGAAAGCTTTTATTTTTTTATTTTTGCTTCTAGAAACTTAGGATTGTTTTTTTTAGACTCTTTCTCTGAACCAGGTTGTTGTTTGTTTTTTTTGTTCTTTCATCAAGTTAGCATCAAAAATTTGTGGCAAACTTCAGTATTTAATAGAACACTGAAAAAATATAATTCAAATCTGACCAGAGTATGCTGACTACCTGATCTGGTGGAGAAAATTCAATATACATCAAATATATTTAAAAGATAAGATTGGAACAACATGATTTGAGTTGTTCCTTTCAAAAGCATACTTCCGAAAAACCAACAAAAGGTCAACAACAACAGATCAACAACAACAGCTCAACAACAGGGGCAAAATTTCCGCGCAAAGCCCCATACTTTATTATGCACACATATATGGGGCTTCATTATTCAGTGTATCACCATTAAGATGTGCATGCATAATGAGGAATGGGCTGTCTGGAAATATTTCCTAATTTGATGTAATCCCTGCTTAAACTGTCGATTTATCTTTTTGATGAACAAACTTTACTCGGAAGCGACCAAACAAACCCTTAACAATTTTATAAGACCTCAGGGGAAAACGGGCGAAGTAAAAAAAACGATGGTTTTACTTTACGATACAAGAAATGGAAAATAGCAATAAAATTATAAACATGTATACCTTCTTCGTTGCACGAGGCTTTTATCAGATCTATATTCTTGTTTACTTGACATAAGATGTGTCGAACTTGCTCGTTTGTCACCAAGTCACTTCCGGCCTCGAGAGAGCTAATTGCAACACAAATTTGTTTCTGAATTTTGCCTAACAACTCCAGCCTTTTTCTTGCTATTTCATCTAGGGATAAGTTTGCAAAATCATCTCGGACATCCGCCATGGTACACTTCAAGCTCAGGTGTCACATTTCTTAAACATTCGAAGAAAAGTTTGTCGTAATGGAACTGATAGTGGGTGCGTTCATCATGGTGACAAGGTATCCCATGAGGGATTCCCCTTAAATCTTTCCACGATAGTACACTCGATTCCGTTGGTGCCTTTTCCAGAGCATTTCCAAATTAGGACTTTGGCTAACAACCAATCATATGTTACGTACTAATGTATTATAATGCGAAACATATCTTACATTTTCTTTCCGACTAATAAGCCGACCAGAGTTGGCAATCTGTGGTAGAGATTTTTGTGAGTGTTAAATCATTTTTCTTTCTTAATATTTCCCAGTTCTTATAATTTAGTTATACTCTTACATTTACTTTTTACGCTTGATAACACTTCCGAGTTCTTCCTGACTATTATGGCGCGAATTGGAACGTACGTTGGCTTTACATAATTTATTTTTAGAATTTCGGTTAGGAAATCACATTGAAAGGCTTCGAATTGCCACCTTTTCTCTCGACGATGCGATTGAATGAGCATTAACGATGAACGGAAACTGCCGAAATCGTTTGGTCGATCGTTCGGTGTAAGAACGAAGTCAAACACAAGCGTGATCTGTCTGTGGCAGATAATTGCCTCCATCGGGTTGCAATTGATCAATAAAGAACGGCTAATACAATTTTGAATGCCTCGTGATTGTATCTCGTGATTGTTTCTATGCTAAGTGTGTAGAGCCTTAGAGAGTAGGATTTTGTTATTGTTGTCTTGTCTATGGTGAAAATGAAAGCCTTCTACCGAGCTCATACAACATTGTGTAGAGATCTGAAAATGTTTGTATGATCATTTTATGCATTCAAAGGGAACAGAAGAAATGATTCTGTGGTACTCTAAGCTAATGAAATCTAACAGTTATCCAATTATTTGTTATGAAATCGTCCTCTAATTCCTAATTTCTTCTTTTTTTCAAGGAAGCGTGAATGATCAGTCCATAATGGATGAAGATGATATGGGAAGAAGGTACCAACAGTGCAGTAGCATTTCACACTCAGTTTGTGGTTTGCCTCATTGCTTTTAGGAAAGTGTGCAGTCAACTCTCACATTTCATTTTGTCATGTCTATCATTTAACTCTTTCACTCCCAAGATCTCATTTGTAATTCTCTTCACTGTCTGCCGTACAATTCTCATGATAATAGTTGGGAGAATTTGGTATGGGATCAGCCAACTATCCTCTTAATAATTATTTTCTTTATTCTCATTACTTTCTACTTGATGTTGATCATGTGTGGAGGAGTACAGTCGTGTCTTAGTCACTCTTTGGAATTAACTCTTTCACTCCCTTGAGTGACCAAGAAGTACCAAATTTTCCTAACTAAATTCATTAGAATTTTTAGGGTAGATAGTAAGGAGAATAACCAATGAGGTCCTGGGAATGAATGAATTAAAGGATTTTTAGCACAATGATTTATTATTTTATGATTTAAATAAACTATGATCAATTTATTATGGTATGATGGAGACACTTAAATCTCATGTAAAGTTTCACATATTTAATGAACATTATAGAATGATTTACCTGTTTTGACTGTTTCACTCTTTTTGTTTCTGATTACATGTACACATAGCTGGAGTGGAGGTTCATCCTAGTTCTGAAGCGTTATTACAAACTTAAGGCAGTTGTCTGATAGAAACATAGACCCCATAGTTAAAATGTAATTCCTGGTGAGTGCTATATCCATAAGTCTTTTTGAAAAAGATGTAGGTGGATTGTCACAATTGTAAATAATACAAAACCAAATTGAATCTGCCATGGTTAGTAATCAGAAATCTGCCTAATAGAACTTTTTATGCCTGAGGTTCACTTTATGTTTGGTCTAATGAGGTACGCAGAAGTTTTTCATAGTCTTGGCCTATACAGTCATGTGAAAAGCCAGAAAAAAACCACCTTTCTTTATTTCACCACCAAGCTTGAAAATTCACTATCTTTTTTATTCTATCCATACACAGAACACTTTTGGCAATGCTGATCTTTACTGTATGCAGAATGTCTGTTATACAGAATATATGAACCTAGTAATGACCTAGCTCAATGTAGAGTCTCTGTGGCTCAGTGGTTGTGTATCTGAGCAAAGCATTCCTAAGGGATGAGGCACTTAGAAATTTTCATTCTCCCACTTTCATGGCAAAACCAAAAAGAAACTTTTTCTACTTCAATATCAGGGGAAAAAACACATCAACTTTTGTATTCGATCTGATTTACTGGTAGATATATTTTCAAGAGAAATGTATTAAATACAATAAGAAAAAAAAATGTTCACTCTTTGATTTCAAATTTAAGATTGTACTGATAATTATAATACCATCCTTCTCTCTTTTGGATGGTACTGAGAATATGGGAGGGATATGCAGTAATGTAGAGTTGAGAAATGGGGGGGGGGGCTGTTACAATTTTTGTGCAATGTACCTCAAGAAGTGGGGAGAAACACTTGAAACACTTGACTAAGTCTTGAGTTTCCCCCCCTACACTTCTTTCATGCTCTAGCTGCTTCCTGCATGCTTCATAACAAAACAGAGCACAGTCAAGGCTTCTCTATTTGTTAAGTAGACAACCAATGCATTAAATGGGATATGTTAACCTGTAGTTTGGGCACTGTGCTGAACTTCCATTTTTTGGTAAAAATGTAAAAATTGCTATAAAAAGTTACTGATTGTTCTTCACTGTAATTGATAGGAAGCAGAGCATGTGGTGCTAAAAGCCAAAAAATCACACATTGTTTTGGGTCACAAACTTTTATGTTTGATGTGAGGAAATTTAAGTAATTCAATATGAAGACAATGTCTGCTGTGATTGTCTCCTGTGACTTTTAATATATAGTTTCCAGGCTTAGTCTCTTGACTAAATCATAATCTGTTGATTTTACTGTACCTGTCAAGAACAGGAAGCAAGCTATAATACTAGCTATCTCTCATGTGGCTTACAAGCATTATACCCTGCCAAATGATATAAGAAGGGGTGCCCATGTTAATCTCCTCACGCTTCCGTTTTAAAGAGATCTTTAGTATGCGGAATTCCAAACCGACTACAAGACTGCCGCTCATGCTTCGCACATAGAAAATTAGAAAATTATCTTTAGAACATAAAATAAATATATTTTTTATCTATTAGCATGGTTTTAAGCCTGGTTTGAGTGGAAGTTATCCTACTTAAAATGCTCCTGTTTGAGTTCGACTAGTTCATCGTGAAAGTAAAATATCTGTGAGTACCTTACGCAAGAAATCTTTTAATTTGTATTTCATGCCGTTGGACAGGTTGTTTCAATCCTTTTTATTGTTTAAAGCAGTGACTGGTTGTTTTAATTTAGACAGTTGGCCATTTTGGTGCTTTGTTCTTTTATCTCTGTAGGTATAACAAATAGTTAATTGTTAGAATTATATGGAGAAAAACGGTAATTTTGATTAAAGTAATAAGAACTGTGTTACCGTGTAGAAATTTTTAAATAGCATTTGTGTTCTAGGAGCTTTAACTGTAATGTCACTTGATTGGAAAAAGTGCATCATTTGTCAGGAGTCCACGAGAGAAGCATTAAAGTGTCCCCTAAACAGTAATGGATCACCTGAAGATAACCGGCAAACGTATTTGACTTTCTTTCAAAATGTGAACAGCTTTCGGGAAGCAAATGCTTTACCCACGGAGCTTAAATTTAGCGACGATGTTGATGTAGACTGCCTTTGTCAAGGTTCTTGGCACAAGTCCTGTAACCTCAAGTTTGGCCTTTCAAAGCTTAAGAAAGCTCAAGAGCGTGCCGGCCGAAAACGAGGCGAAGACAGCAGAGCAGACGAGGAGAGAAGACCCGCATCGAAACGCAGGAAACGCCAGTCTAACTCTGAAGAGCAGTCACAATGTTTATTATGTTCAGGTGGAGGCGACAGCGATAATCTTCAATGTCTCTCGATGCTGGAAACTGATAAGAGCGTCCGTCAAATAACCCTTGAACTGGAGGATTTTGAATTGTTACAATATACAGGTCGTATATCAGAGGAAGAATTAATTGCTATTGAAGCAAAATACCATCTGAAATGCCCAATCTCTTGGAAAAATCGGTACAGATCACTCTGTACGCAGAAAGTGCAATGTTCAAGTGATAGAGTGGACGATGAAAAAATGGACAAGTCAATCGCATTTGTCGAGCTGGTCGAGTACATTGAAGGATGTGTGGAAAACGGAACTCATCTGTTTAAACTTTCTGAGCTGTCGTCGTTGTACATCCAGAGGCTTAAAGATCTTGGAATTAAAAAGACCACACATAAAACCAGGTTTAAGGATTCTTTGTTGGAACATTACAATGGGAGAACAAACTGATGGAAGAAACACCGTTTTAGTTTTTAGTGAGGCAATAAGTACTTTTCAGAAGACGCTGAAATTCTAGCGAGGGCTGCAACGGTTGTAAGGAAAGACATTTTTGCTCACAAAGGATTTTATTTTTCTGGATTTTTTTCCAATGGACTGCCAATCGTAATATTTACCATCTAGCTTGAGGTCTCTGATTTCTATCATTCTAAATGGACTTAACATTAGGGATCTAGTGCAGTCAGAAAACCAAGCATGTCTAACAGTCCGCGAAACGATTATCTTCAACACTAAGAAGAGGTCCTACAAGACCAAAACTGGTCAAACTCGCCACTCGGCATCTCGTGAGCCACCTCTATCTCTTGGCCTAAGCATAGCATAGCTCGACCAGAAGTAAAACACTCATGGAAGAGATGTATCAAATGGGGATTTCTGTTTCCTACGATCGCATCATGGAAATAGAAGACTGGCTAATGTCGTCTCTTTGCGAGTGCTACAAGGAAGATGGATGTGTATTGCCTGCTTGTTTAAGAAAAGGAATATTTTCTGTGCGTGTGCTTGATAACCTTGATCATAATCCCAGCTCTACGACATCAGTCCTGTATTTGGGCGATTTCAAAATGGATGTAATAAAGTGGTAATTGAACCTCGTGTCGTGCAATTTTGGTCTGAAATCATACTTGTGATTTCAAATCACGCGTATGATTTCAGCCCAGATTGCACTCCACTCAGTTCAATAACCATTACAAATGTTCCATCTGTCAAAATTAAGGAAGAGGATACAATAAACTCTAGGCCATTAAAAAATGGGAAACTTAGGAAAGAATTCACAGCTCTGATATTGAAAATATACCTACCTTAATTGCGATAGAGCAGCTTAGGAAATTTAAGTGGAAAAGCAATTTAAAATTTCTGCTTATCTATGCAAGCTTGGTGTGGAAACTATCGTATGAAAGGAAATTGAAATTATAAGTATAAACTCAGCTGCCAACTACCATAAGAATCAATTTTTCCAGAAAGACCATTAACACTTATATTTACCTAAAATTTCACTAGTAATGGTGAACAAAAGTACCTACATGCAGGTGTACAATAAAAGCAAGCAACAAAACAAACATCTTTTAGTTTACTACTCAAAAGCTACTGTGGTTTTTTTAAAATTTTTTTTTCTTTTTTACTTACTAGAATCAAAGAACTTGAATGAACTCGAATAAATTGAAAATGGTTAAATATGGGAAGTTTACGAATAATATGTCCCAAACAAACACGGAAGAATCAGTAAATTTTCCCGTAACAGAGCTTACTTAGGATAGTGGCGAGAAGAAAGAAAAGTAGACTACAAGAATGCAAACAGTGTGCAGAAGAGTGCGGTCAGAAGAAGAATAGTTCAGTGAGAGGGCCTTAGAGATTAAACAGAGTTACACAGAATTGTGTACTGGAGAACTGAGTAATTAGAGAAAAAAGTGAAAAAGACAGTGCGAGGGTCTCGGTGCCTTTCGTCGAGCGTGGTGTGTTCGATTGTTAGTTCCCCCGATTCGATAGTCGTAACAGTACTATGAACTTTGGTCATGTGTCAGTAAAGACAGAGATAACAATGAAAGACAAGCTGCTCGTTGGGGACCCAACGGAGTACAAAATGTCTAATACCCTTTATAAAGCTTCCCTTGCGGGCTAGTCTCCCTAACTGGAGCCTGCGGTTATTTTAAGTAAGGCTATCACTGAGAAGAGAAAAAGAAAATTCGAGCATTTATCACCAAATATGTTCAAGACGGAATCTCCTTTGGGAGAGTATTGTTTCCATCCTCCAGATAAACGCGAAAAGCTCTCTCCACGGCAGCGACTCCGAAAAACGACTGCAAAACTTTCACCACTACTAGCTTAGTTGAGCTTGCAAAATCTTCGTAATTCTCCCGCACGAACTCCACCATCCGTGAAAGTTCGAAGTCAACAGCTACCACCTCTTCGTGCTCATACTTATCTTTAGGGCCCATCGTGAACCGAGAACCGAGCTGCTCGAACGTTAGTCGCCTCTCGGGAGCCACTCGTTCATCCGACAGGTCCACGTAACCACAGCAACCCCATTCATGCGTGTCGAACTTGAGGTACACGGTTGTGAGGCAAAGAGCCTTAATGTCGCTGCCTTTCAACTCTACTCGCAGCTTTTCTTCCAGTCCTCTCACGGCGGTCTGAATTAGATTCACGTAAGGCTTGCCGTCTTTATAGACGTAGTCCTTGACTGAAACACTTTCCACAGCCCCGCAGGTAAACTTGCTTGGGGTAGGCATTCCCTCTGAAAAATAACGAGGGAAAAAATAAACAATATTTTATGCGCTACATTTTTCGTTGGTCTATTCTAGGATTGCTCATCGTTATGTTTACAGTCTCGTTATTAAGTATTGCGAATTTCTCTGCATTTGGACCCAAAAAAAAAAAAAAATAGGAGAACGGGCCTTAGATGAAACAAAGCTGATGTGTGTCAAAAATCTAAAGGCCTCAGTTTTGAGTTTTGTTAGCTTACCTTGTTCGTGTTGGTGTTGTGTTGTTAAATTCAAATATTCATATTCAGTGCTAAGACACAAGGGATTGCATAAAGGGGACACGAGTTCATTACATGTAAACCTCAATAAACAAATTTGTTGTGGTGGCTTGTTGTTCAGCTGATAATGATTGAAATGACAACTGCTACTTAATCAACATTAAATATTTTTGAGGGGAATTGACTAAAATCATCGGTGGAATAGGCTCGTGGAAAACCTTTTTCCTCTCTTAGTCAAGGATTGGTGTGAAAAAAACAATCTTGTTACCTGCAGCTGGGATCCCTGTTCGCCAGATTTTCCCGCCCTATGGATCACGCGACCTTCGTGACCCGGAATGTTTTGTGTAATGGCGGTCGTTTGGTTGTTTTGTTATCGATACGTACATTTTGGTCCGTACATAAAAATCTATTTGGGTGGCTTTAAATGGAGATGTATTGGAGTCAGATATCATTTTCCTTTTAATCAAAATCTAAACTCGTAAACAGTTACAGAACTCTTAACAAAAGGCCAAAAAGGGTGTTTGAACAAAATAGGTACCTCGATTAGCCCTTTTACCGAAGATAAATTTCCGAGGTTTGTCCGCGGTCAGGACAGCGACATGGAGGCCGAAAGATGTGCTGAATACCGGATGGACCGTGGTCTTACACACAACAAACTCTCTCTTTTTAGAGTCTTCTAGGTTCCTCCAGATCTCCCGAACGGCTCTATGATGACAGTAGGTTGATTGTCCAAACATCAGTTGTATTTCTTGTCTTTCTTCTTCCTCCTCCTGAGAGGTAATCAATGTTTTGAGGGCAATGGAAGGATTGTCTGCGATCTTTTTGTCGATAGCATCCTAGACGCACACAAAGAAAATCATTCAAGAGCTGCGACAGATCCAGAGAAAAGGTCCGGCATTCCCCTACATAAGGGTTTTTTTAACCATCTAACGAATCCAAAATTCTTGAAACGACAGATTGCATGTTAATTTTACAATATAAAGTATCTTTAAATGCTAGACTATCAACTTGTCTTGTAATATTGCTTAGCTTATCTATAAGAACAACAAATTCCTGTGTATATTGAGGCACAGCGTTTGGACACCACTTATCAAAATTCCCTGGACCCTTCCCTGAGGAGAAATCTCTATAAGAAGTTTAATTTAACACCTTATCAACTGCAAGAACACTGGGACAAATCAAGCGTCTGTTCTGTTCTCTGTACATTTTTATGGTGACGAAAGGGAGAATTTTTTAACGATTCGGAACTCCTTTACTCTCATAACCTTAATGGTTGAGTCAGCAGTGATAATATAAGGAAATATTAGAATATTAGGTGCTGGCCTGAATGTTCTAATAAAAAAAAGGTTCTTATGAAAAAAAGAGAAGCTAATTTATTTTGAGGCACTCGTTGTTGTAATTTCCATTGTCTGAAGCTGTTTTTCTTCGCCGTCCTATCTTGTACGTACAAAAAACCATATGTCAATGCAAAATCTTGTCTTCATATATGTACCTGCCTAAATCTTCCGTAGTGCTCCCTATACTTCCGTTCATAAACCCACTCCTTTGGCACGTCGTTGTACTCCTTATTGCCAACCTCTACAGGGTACAACAGACACTCAGGGGGGAATCCCTGGGGACGAACTGCTGTCTTAAAATACCCTTCACTGGACTGTTGGTTAAAGAGGACAAATCAATCAAGACATACATAGGATAAGACGGAGAAGCTTAGTGTAAGCAGCCAACGAGCTGACCTTCATTATTAGCGTGGAGGCAAGAGCGTCTCAACTCCCACGGGAAAGCTTCAGGCATCGAGCAAAGCGCGCTGTCTGCAAATGGGTCTGGCACCAATAAAATTAGTTTCAGACCCCTCACAGACCTCTCGCTGGCGAAGAAACACTCCTGCCGCAGCGCCAATAATCCCACGCAAATATTACTAAGCCATCAAAAACTGCGGAAATAGCAGTGCTGCTGTGCAAAAGATCACAAGTTCGTCGATGGGAAAATCGACTTTGTTCAGAGTTTACAATATTTCAGGTGATACGCCAAGGCCAGAGTTTGAAAGTACCAACCCACAACAATGTTGCTGGGCAAAAGACCACAAATTCGTCCAAAGGAAAATCAACTTTATCCAGCGTTTACAAAATTTCAGGTGAGACACCAACAAGGCCAGGGTTTGAAAGTCCCAACCCATCACCTTTTACGAAGTTGTGAGGATATCATGTACTGTAGGCATGCCATGCATGCAAGAGTTATTTATTGGGGGTGGGTGGATTACTTGAAACATTGTAAGTTATGTCTACATTTTTACAGAAGGAAAGAAGAGTATTAACACGGAAAAGAACGAAAATATCGAATTAACTCACACACAGGTATTTTGTGGTAGATTGTGTGTGTTGTGCGAATAACTGTGACAAAAATAAACTGTATTGGTGCCACAGATACCTGTTAGTACAAAATGCAGACTGCAGACCGGATACTAGGTACTAGGTACAAAATGTAGACTGAGAATCTAAAGGATTTTTTCGTCTGGTATGTGATAACATGTCATCTTCTAACTTGCCCAGCGTCATCGCTTTTCCGCGATCAGCTTTCACGATTATTTTCATTATTGTGGTTGGAATATTCCTGGCCCATTTCTTGATCAAAATTGATTTTAACATAATTTCAAGCCTTCCTGTTGTCTTCTCACTTTGCACGCGAGTTGGTTGGTGTGATGTCTGTAATAATAACGTAATAAAAATAGATGTAGATGTAGAAGTAAATGAGATGTCACTATTGAATATTCAACAGGCGCAACATTCGAGAAATATTTGACAGCTTTGCACATGGTCCGCACTAACATCTTTTTAAGTGGTATGTGTTTATTTTGTCGACAAAAATGTGGACCGAGACCAAAACTGTTCCTTCGACTCGATACATTTTCGACGTTAGTAGATCACATCATATTTACTTACCTCCGTAAATCATTCATTCCAGATAACAAAATCAAATAAACATGCAAACGATAGTATCTGAATTCGTCCTTGGCCAAACACAAACGACTCCACAAGATCATTTTCTCCAGACATCGAAAACATACACTAAATCGTCCATTGTTAATTTTAATCGGACATTCATCTGGAGAAAGCACCGAGCAAACCAATCCAGAAAAATATAATCAACACACTCAACAAATCATGAATCTTGCAACACAGCTTGCCGTTAAAGAACTGCTCAAATCAAAATATTTGGTGCAATTCATCAACACCTCAAGCAATATTTGATTCATAATTTTTGCTCTCACTCTCGTCGGGAAGGAACAATAACCATGATCGTGCTACAGTGCACAGAGCTCCATTTTCTTTCGAGCAACTTTCCACCGTTTTCACAGCATGAGTAACAAGTTTATTACAAGTAATCTGATATCTTTCATCTGTCCAGTAGTATCGCATTTCTCATAGAGCGAGGTAAAATACACGTTAAAGACACAGAAAAGCTAGCATTCTAAAAGACGATTCCAATTTGCCAACCGTTCTCTCCGAATCCCCCATTACTTCGTTGAAAGTTGAACACCTCTCAAACCAAAGAACAAAAACGACGCTCTGATTGGTGCGAGATACATACCCTAGTGCGGCGATCTGATTGGTGCGAGATACATTCCCTAAACGATCTGATTGGTGCGAGCAACATACCACTCTCTGTACGCTAACATAGATATTATTAAAAACAAAACAAAACAAAAACTTAAAAATAGTAGGGCTCAGCTTAGGCATCGAAACAAATAATACAACACCTGCCCGCACTAATTACCACTACTCCATTACCACTAATTACTACCGCGGCATTACCTCGTCCACCAAGCTCTCAGCAACGAAGACATAAGTATTCTGGAGGAACCCACAGGAAAAGAACTCAGCGCTTTTGGCTTCGGTTTGGTACGGGTTAACATCACCTTCAAGAAAAAACTCTGGTAAGCCATGTGTTAAAGATTAACAATTTTACATTTAGATGATGAAAGTGATGTTTGCATACGATAAAATAAAAATAAGAACAAAAAAACTATTGCAAAATGACAAAGAAATGGATAAAAAACGCTTAAATCTTTTAAGCAGGGCAGAATAACTTTTCTAATCCAGTAAATGACGAATCAAAGGAGATATTCAAACATTCCGATTGGCACTAAACACGATTGCAAATTCAAAAGTTGGTTGGGAATTCCAATAGCTCGTGTATAAAGTGCTTGTTCTGTTTAATCATGGCACGCAGTTCCTGGTCAAGAAAATTTTAGTTTGGCTTATTTTGACTTGTTTTTCCCTTTGCCGTTGGATTTGAAACGACGAAATTTACCAGTGTATTGACTTGACAAGAACAATTCTGGTCCCACAAGTTTTCGTAGATAATCAGTTAAGTTTTAACTGCGTAAAGAGAGTGAAGAAGTTTTCGTTGAGAAGTATATCTATAAGCAACAATTGCCAGTGAGAGTAAATGAAAGTAAATTTAACTTTTGGAAACTTTACCACTAAAATACTCCGAAACCAGTTCGTCTGCTGTTGGTCTCATCTCAGGATTTTCCATACGACAGTCCTCGATAACTTTTCTCAATAAACCACCCAGTTCTTCGGGCAACTCCACTCTGTCCTCCTTCTTTATCAAGTTGTTTTGAATACCTAGTACACTAACAGAGTTTGTACCCTGCCACGGTGTATTTCCTGTTAACGTATAGGCTACTACTTGTCCATACGAGTAGATGTCAGCGCGTAGATAAAAAAGTTCGTCACCAAACCCTGTGTGCTCTTCTTCCACGGTTTCATTTTCTGTTGTGTCTGTCAGTTCTGGGTGAAGAAAGTAGCAGTTTGTTTGTTATGCTAACGTACTCATTCTGGATGAAAAACCATTCATTACTAGTAATATTTCACCAGCTATTTGGAGGAAATTAAGTCATGCAGCGTAGGTTTTCACTCAAGTGAAGGAGGGGGTGCATTGGGGTCTATTAGAAAACGCAAAACCGTAGAAAAAAATCATTCAAAAGCGCTAAAGAATGGGATCAAAACCGCAAACTGCTTGCGAAACCGTCAAAACTGATAAATTTTTACGTACCAGTTATCAAAACTCTTATCAATCCTATACAGTGGTGATAAGTGGAACGTACAGAGGTTTTGCGGCATTCAAGATCAGTGGTGGTGCATATTTGCCGCTCAGATCGAAGGGAAACCGGAACCCAAATAGGAAAAAACCCGAAAACCACATCGGATACCAAATCCAAAAACCCATTGGTGTTTTTTACGAATACCAAAAACGGAAAACTGCTAACTGCAATGAACACCAAAACCGAAAAAATTCTGATCAAGGGTCAATGTTACCTTCTTTATTATACTCATTAGCTGTGATGTAATCATCCCACACATCAGGTGCTGTCCAGCGTGCATGGAACAAAGACAGATCATTGTCACTCCTCTCAATTGTTCTTGATAAGCCAAAGTCTGCTAGTTTTACCCGCAAGCTTCTGATTTCCAACTTGATTAATTTATGATTTAAAAATAAGGGAATAATCAGGATGATATTTATTGAATGTTTTCTAGAGATACTGACTGAGTTGTTTCACAGCTTAAAGATTGGCCGATGTAGCATCAAAGTTTTTCAATATTTTTTCAACTCGTCTATTTTTTATCTTCTGTTTATATTCAAATGTATTCAATGTTTTCTTTTCCTGGCAAACAGGTCTCAAAAAGGTAATAAAATTCCGGTAAGAGTGATTCTATAAACCCTTGAGTGTTTGTCGTGCAGCATATATCCAAATAATTTGAGAAAAAAATTGACTCGCTGATTTTTTTTCTTTATTTCATTTTGATCTATTTTAACTAATTAATTAATCAATCATTTCTTTTCCCTTTTTGCATTTTTTCATTAAGCCACAGTCTGTCTTCTTTTTTTCTGACTGAAGTCTAAAACAGATGATTTCTACAGGAATCTCACCAGTATATTGTCAGGTTTTAAATCCCTGTGGCTTATTGGAGGATTCAAACTGTGTAGGTACATCAAGCCATTGGCCATTCCTCTACCAATGGTCCACACTTGACTTTTAGGAAGTCCCCTAGATTCTGGAGTTTTGTGATCCTCGACAAATCTGTGGAGGTTCTTAGGAATGTACTCCATCACCAGAAAAGGGCATCCTGCTTTAAGGGTGAATTTCTCATGTGTACTAACATTCTCAAATGAGACATCACGTTCCAAAATGTTCATTCCTCTGAATGCAATAATGTTATCATGCCGAAAATCTCTGTGTATCAAAAATTTAAAATAATTTTAAAGAAGCTAGTAAGAATGAATTTTCCAAAGAGGGGTTTTAACTTTGAGTAAAATGTAACTGAGAGTACTAGAATAATTTGATATTCAGTAGAACAATTAATAATGGTAATAGGACTAAGTGCAGTCCAATTCGGTTTGTAATCATATGAGTGATAAACAAGATCGGACGACCAAGAAGTGTGATTTGTTAATCATGAGTGTAGTGATTACAGACAGAATTGGACGACACGAAGTCCTATTACCAATTAATCAAAACTATGACAAAATTTGAGAAAGAAACTAGACATCGGAGATATGTTTTCATATGTGAGAAAACAACATATTCATGACGCGTTCTGTCCACTTACACAGGCATGACCTGTTAACTGTCCCTTTAACTGTCCTTTTACACTGTCCAATTACAAGCATGATGTGTACACTGTCTCATAAGTGCTCAAATCAGGTTAGTGATAATCAATCACGTTCTCAAGAATTTGGTTATAACTAATCACATTCACAAGAATTTTGCTATAGTTTTGATTAAAAGCAGAAGAGGAGAAGTGGAGAACGAATGGTTCGTGCACTGAAGTCCAGGTCGAAAGATCCAAATTCAAGACCTGGCTGGGTCAATATGTTGTGCTCTTTGGCAAAGAGAATGTTGTGCTCCAAACAAAGTATACAGGTAAATGGGTACCAGGGTGTTGCTAAGGAAGCCTGATGAAATGTTAAGGGGGGAGGGGGGGGGTAACCTTGCAATGGATTTCCATCCCATTCAGGGAAAGTGGTAACACTCCTAGTTGCTTCATGTTGATTTGGAAATCAGGACAAGCTTCAGCTGGGTGAGCCACTTGGCTCAAGAACAGACTAAAAGCATAAGAAAGACTGAAATAAATTTAGTTGGCAAATAAAATCACTCAACTTCAACAAAAGGTTTGAAGAGAGGTTACTAATATTTTAAGCTAATGACTGTAACATTAAACTTTATCTATAGGAGGGGCGAAAATGAGCATGTTTAAAAGTTCACCTTAATAGATTTCCTTCTGTAAGCAGAGATCTTGTTTCTTTAAGATTTTTTAACACTTTGACAGCAACATCATTCCCTTTAAGCTTAGTTTTATAAACACTTGAAAATCCGCCTTCCCCTAGCGGCTCCCATGCTGCTAGTTCATCCTGGCTTACTTTCCCAACAGTCCTAAAACCAGATGACTCTGCAAGGAAAGCTGTGTTCAAAAGCCCACTCTGTTTATATATCAAATATTGATTTGCAGTCATAAATATTGTAAATGATCCCTTTACACCCTAACATCGGCATCCATATTTTCTAAACTGTTCTCCAAACATTTTCCTCCTTTTCTGCCTGTCTCATACACTGAATTCATCACCTTTCACTTATGATTACCACGCTTAACATTCACCATCCTTATTTACATCATCATTGCACAAAAGCATCACATTTGACATACCTATGCAAGTTAGTCATTGTGGAGCTTGTTATTTAACCCTAAGAGTGACAAGCATCTAATTTCTCCCTGTAATATCACCCCTGAATCACATGTTAAGGTCATGAGAATGAAGGAAATGGTAACCGGTCATTTCGCAAAAGACTTTTTGCACAAGTCTTTTAGCACAAGTTTTGGACCGATCGCACAATTCTTAGTGGTCATTTCTCACAATAATCATAAGTGTATACTGATTGATACTGATAAGACATTTCACCCTCACATGATCCAACGGCGAGAACGTAGACATTTATTTACGTAATAACTTCAACTAGATCAAAATGCTCGTGAACACGATCACTCTTCTTTCTTGAAGAAAGGAAAGGTACAAATCTCTCTCTCCATGAAAATGTAAAGAACTCCTTATTCGGACGACTACTTCTATAACGTTTTCTTTGTCGAACGAAAAACCTTTTAGTTTTGACAGTATCATCCACTACAAAGTTAACATGCAAACATGACGACCCACGCTAAGGACACCATGTTGATTTCGAAAGTAACTGTCACCAGTCTTCCCTCCTTGTTCGATCGCCTTCAAATAGCATGTTTTATCGATCTGTAAGAGTTTCAAATAAAGCTATTGAAAACTTGCTTCTTATATCTTCGTTATATAATGAAAATTAGGCATACTGGTAATACGTACAGCAAAAACAGTTCAACGTTAATAACTCGATATTCAGAGAGTGATTCACATCGAATGTCGGCACGTGCAAGTGTTGTGATTTGACAACTTGAACGTGTCAGTGTAGGTAGTAACTAGTGATCTTGTAGAAAGACAAGTTCGATCTGTAATCATTTTAAAGATCGAGAAGTTTAATACATCTATCAAGTAGTAACCTTTCAAATTATTCTAATAACAATTACCTAAGCGATGGAGAGTTCAGTATCGATCGATAAGCATCATAGCGACCGTGATGTAAACAAATGATTTCACGAAAGTTTCAAGAATTCAAAATAATTCAAAGAATATACGCTAGCCGTTCGATAAGTAATCATACAAGCTTAAGATCAAAACAAATAAAGAAATTTAGATGTACTATAGCTTAAATGAATGCAGGAAAGGGCTAACTTTCAATGAGTCTTGAACGAGTAGCGAGTTAAAATTTGCATGATTCATCGGGTAACATGGCCGTGAACTTGAATTTTATATACTTACACAGAAATTTTGTAAATAGGGCTTTTCTCCTTTTAAATAAAAAGTGAAACAGTTTGCAGGTTTTTACTTTGACTTCAGAGGAGGGAGGATTGGTGACAATTACTTTCGAAATCAACATGGCGTCCTTAGCGTTGGGTCGTCATGTTCGTTTGTTTGTAGTGGATGATGTACTGTCAAAACTAAAAGGTTTTTCGTTTAACAAAGGAAAAGTAAAAGAAGTAATCGTTCGAATAGGGAGTTCTTTACATTTTCATAGAGAGAAAGATTTGTTCCTTTCTTCAAGTAAGAATAGTGATCGTGTTCACAAGCGTTTCGATCTAGTTAAGGTTGTTACGTAAATAAATGTCTATGTTCTCGCCGTTGGATCTTATTGAAAGTGATATGTGAAGGTGAGATGTCTTATCAGTATCAATTAGTATACCTTTTATATTGATGTTTCTCACTTATGATTGTTGTGCGAAATGACCACTAAGAATTGTGCGAACGTTCCAAAACTTGTGCTAAAAGACTTGTGCGAAAAGTCTTTTGTGCGAAATGTCCTGTATTCAAGGAAATGATTATCAACACTAAGAAGCTTTTAATCAGTAAACAAATTCTACTTGTTAGCACCCTAGGAAATGTATAAAGAACAGTATGAAGAATATGTATAATGACATTAGGGGGAAAAGGGTTAAACCGCCAAGCCTGCCACAAATCCTCTGTAGCTCAGTGGTAGAGCATCCAAAGTACATGTACTAATTGGGAGGTCATAGGTTCAACTCCTATCAGAGTACCCTGAGTTCTTTTTCTCCTAGTACGCTTGTGTCATTCACTGAAAACATCAACTTTCATTTCCTACGATGTTGAAAAGGAGAAATTTGTTTGTTTTTGTTTTTCCATGTCCTCGTTGCCGTCGCTGTCGTGGTTTACTTAAGGTCCCTAATCTCCTGGCGTGGCGCGAATTGTTTGCGAACCTTCATGAGTTAAAATCTCGCGTTTGATTTTGGGAGGAATGCAACCACTTCGAGAGAATTTATACGGTATATAGATTTGACCGATTTTCGCTAATTTTCGCCAAACATCCTAGGAATAATGAAAAACGAAAGCGTGTCGGAAAGTTTTGATATATGAAATATTTGTCCCGTGGCGTCCATTGGAAAAACATGATTCGAGTTGTCCATTTAAAAGCATACTTTCGTAAAACCAACAACGGGTCAACAATAACAGATCAATAACATAATTTGATGTAATCCCAGTCTAAACTGTCGATTTATCTTTTTGATGAATTAACTTTTCTTGGAAGCGATTAAACAAACCCCAAACAACTTTATAAGACCTCAGGGAAAACGGGCGAAGTAAGAAACGATAGTTTTACTTCCCGATACATAAAATGGAAAATAACAATAAAATTATAAACATGTATACCTTGTTCGTTGCACGAGGCTTTTATCAGATCAATATTCTTGTTTACTTGATGTAAGATGCGTCGAACTCGCTCGTTTGTCCCCAAGTCACTTCCGGCCTCGAGAGAACTAATTGCAACACAAATTTGTTTCTGAATTTTGCCCAGCAATTCTAGCCTTTTTCCTGCTATTTCATCTAGGGATAAGTTTGCAAAATCATCTCGGACATCCGCCATGGTAAACTTCAAGCTCAGGTGTCACATTTCATAAACATTCGTGTCAAAATATGTCGTAATGAAACTGATTATGGGTACGTTTATCATATATATGGCGATGAGGTATCCCATCTGGGGATTCCCCTTAACTCTGTCTGTGATAGTACACTCGTTTCCGTTGGTGCCTTTTCCAGAGCATTTCCAAATTAGGACTGACTAACAACCAATCACATGTTACGTACTAATATATTATAATGCGAAAACGAAAATAAATTTTGTCCTCGCAGAAATAACACATGTCACTTTTTACTTCTAGTTGATAAGCCGACCAGAGTTGGCAATCTGTGGTAGAGATTTTTGTGAGTGTTAAATCATTTTGCTTTCTTAACATTTTTTCAGTTCTTATAATTTAGTTATACTCTTACATTTACTTTTTACGCTTGATAACACTTCCGAGTTCTTCCTAACTATTATGGCGCGAATTAATACGTACGTTGGCTTTACATAATTTATTTTTAGCTTTCGGTTAGGAAATCATTTTGAAAGGCTTCAAATTGCCCCGTTTTCTTTCGATGATGCGATCGAATGAGCATTAACGATGAACAGAAACTGCTGAAATCGCTTGATCGATCGATCAATCGGTGTAAGAACGAAGTCAAACACAACCGTGATCTGTCTGTGGCGGATAATTGCCTCGATCGGGTTGCAATTGATCACTAAAGAACGGTTAATACAATTTTGAATGCCTCGTGATTGTATCTCGTGATTGTTTCTATGCTAAGAGTGTAGAGTCTTGGATCTTGCAATTGCTGTCTTGTCTATGGTGAAAACTAAAAGCCCTCTACTAAAGCTCATACAACACTGTGTAGAGACACTTCACACTTTATTATTTCACACTGTTTACTGAAAAAATAACTCAACATAACAGGATTTACAATGATATAGAAAAAATACAAACAGAAATTAATTAGAAGAAAGAATGTTTAATCGTGTACAGTGACCAAAGTAGCCAATGAGCTTTAGAGTTTGTCACTGTCATGTGTAGATATGAGTTGGGGTTGGCCACATGTTAAGTATACTTTAAAGATATCTGAAAATGTTTGTATGATCATTTTATGCATTCAAAGGGAACAGAAGAAATGATTCTGTGGTACTCAAAGCTAATGAAATTTAACAGTTATCCAGTTATTTGTTATGAAATCATCAACTAATTCCCAATTTCTTCTTTTTCATGGAAGCATGAAGATCTGTCCATAATGAATGAAGATCGTATAAGAAGAAGGTACGAACAGTGCAGTAGCATTTTACACTCAATTTGTGGTTTACCTTGCTGCTTTTAGGATTTAGTATGCAGTCAACTCTCTCATTTCATTTTGTTATGTCTATTATTTAACCCTTTCACCCCCAAGATCTCATTAGTAATTCTCCTTTCTGTCTGCCATACAATTCTCATGATAATAGTTGGGAGAATTTGGTATGGGATCAGCCAACTTTTCTCTTAATAATTATTTTCTTTTTTCTCATTACTTTTCTGCTTGATATTAATGATGTGTGGAGGAATAGTGTCTCAGTCACTCTTTGGAGTCAACTCTTTAACTCCCTTGAGTGACCATGAAATACCAAATTCTCCTAACTAAATTCATAAGAATTTTAGGGTAGATGGTAAGGAGAATTACTAATGAGGTCGTGGGAATGAATGAGTTAAAGGGTTTTTAGCACAGTGATTTATTATTTTATGATTTAAATAAACTATGATCAATTTACTATAATTGTATGGTGGAGACACTTAAATCTCATGTTAAGTTTCTTATATTTAATTAATATTATAGAATGATTAAATTGTTTTGACTGTCTCACTGTTTTTGTTTCTGATTACATGTTTACATAGCTGGAGTGGAGATTCATCCTCTTCCGAAGTGTTATTACCAAAGCAGTTGTCTGACAAGGAATTCCTGGTGAGTATTATATCCCTAAGTCTTTTTTAAATAGATGGAATAGGATTGACACAATTGTAAACAATACAAAACCAAATTTAATCTGCTATGGTTAGTAATCAGAAATCTGCCCAATAGAACTTTTCATGCCTGAGGTTTACTTTATGTTTGCTCTAATGAGGTACTCAGAATTTTTTCATTGTTCCATACATGTCATAAATCATTTCATTTTGTGAAAAGACAAAAAAAGAACATCTTTCTTTATTTCATTACGAAGCTCGAAAATTCACCATCTTTTTTATTCAATCTATACACAGAACATTTTTGACAATGCTGATCTTTACTCATGCAGAATGTCTGTTATACAGAATATATGAACCTAGTAATGACCTAGCTCACTGTAGAGTCTCTGTGGCTCAGTGGTTGTGTATCTGAGCAAAGCATTCCCAAGGGCTGAGGCACTTAGAAATTTTTCATTCTCCCACTCTTGTAGCATAACCAAAAAGAAACTTTTTCTACTTCAATATCAAGGGAGAAAACACATCAACTTTTGTATTCTATCTGATTTACTGGTAGATATATTTCCAAGAGAAATATATTAAATATAATAAGAAAATTGATTTCAAATTTACGATTGTCCTGGCAATACCATCCTTCTTTCTTTTGGATAGTACTGAGAATATGGGAGGGATATGCATTAATGTAGAGGTGAGAAATGAGGGGGGTTAAGTTACAATTTCTGTGCAATGCAACTCAAGAAGTGGGGAGAAACACTTGACTAAGTCTTGAGTTTCTCCCTAAACTTCTTCTGTGCTCTAGCTGCTTCCTGTATGCTTTACAACAGAACCGAGCACAGTCAAGGCTTCTCCATTTGTTAAGTAGAGAACCATTGCATTCAATGAAATATGTTAACCTGTAGTTTGGGCATTGTGTGATGAACTTACAGATTGTTGGTAAAAATGAAAAAATTGCTAAAAGAAATTACTGATTGTTCTCCACTGTAACTGACAGGAAGCAGAGCATGATGTGCTAAAAGCCAACAATCACAAGTTGTTTTGGGTCACAAACTTTTATGTTTGATGTGAGGAAAATAAAGTAATTCGATATGCAGACAATGTCTGCTGTGATTTTTTCCTGTGACTTTCAATATATAGTTTCCAGGCTTGGTCTCTTGACTAAATCATAATCTGTTGATTTTACTGTACCTGTCAAGAACAAGGAGCAAGTTATACTAGCTCTCTCTCATGTGTCCTACTGTATAGGCAAATCAACATAAGACAACCATAGCAGTTTTTCAGGGAGGGAAAGCTTTACACATGATAAGGGTCACTTGTTTGGCATCCCTCTTCAAGGGAAATGATTTTTTGGATTGGTTATGTTGTTCATGCAAGAATTAGCTCAACATGATGGATTGTGACCTTCATTAATCCAACCTTTATACTAACACTTTTAAATTTGCCATGATGACAAAATCATGCTCAAACTAAACCCAAAATGCATGGTGCTCCTTTCATACATGATCGATGTAATGACAAATCTCTAACAGTCAGTGATCCCAAGTACACATGAAAAATATCAGTATCTATGATATAACTTAGACACAATGCCCACTCTGATTGGTAGAAAATCCATTATGTATTATGGTTATCTTAATAAACCCATAGAAAACTGAAACATTTTCTTGTACTAAGAAATGGTGCCACACAGCTTCAGATCTTCTGGACTAGATTTCCCAAAACTGCTTGCTGGGAAGTAAAAGTTCACGTGTTTTTGCTTCGAGAAAATTGTAGCAACTAACAAACAGGATTTTCATTCTGTAGCAAAAAATAAGAAAATGAAATATTTAAACATAGAACAGCACCCAAGAAATATCCTTGAATTGAGATAAATGTTAGACCTTGTGGAGATTGCAATTTCTAAGGATTCAACAGGTTGAATGAAATTTGATGGTAATGATTGCCAACAGCCTATCCTTTTCCCCCATTTCTTGATTCATAGTTTTCATGGGTAGGGAGTGATGTAAAATGTAGCCCCATTCATTCATTTATTAATGACTTCACAACCAGTGCAGCAAATTCACAGTCATTTTGTTTAATTTTGTGAATGCAGTGTTCAAAGCTTCCATCCCTTGTCAAGAATTTTGATTGGGAAGTTAAGAATGAGTTTTCCAAGTCTCTTGATGATCTTAAAAAGAATGGTAATGATTGGCGAATGGTAGCTTCTCGGCTCGGCTTCTCAAATATCATACAACAACTGGAAAAGGTCTCCAAGCCAACTATTGAACTTCTCAGGCAGTGCACTGACACAACCTGTATAGAACTGTTGGATATTCTTGTAAATATCGATAGAAGTGATGTGCTGGATGATGTGGTCAAACATTATAATAAGAGAAACACCAACTCTATCAGACCACTGTGTCTAAGATCTCCCACACAAGAGGGTGAGGATGGCAAAAGCACATTTTCTGGTCTTTCATGGCCATTGCAAGACTCTGGATGCGAAAGGTAAGACAACCAACTGTTTTATGTGAAAGTGACTGATCAGAGTGACTTGCAGTTTCCAGTAAAGAAAAACCTCTTTCATCATGGTAGCCTTTCAAACTCATTCAGAATTCATCATTCCACTGGTTCCATTAGTGACATCAGATTCCCTGAATCAGGTGTGCACTAACATGGCTGGTAAACAACAAATACCACAAACACAGGCCTAAATGCCATGTACAGAGTTTGACACCTCAAATTTTGGGAAAAGGTTTTGCAAAGAAATCAGACAAAATCTAATGTGGAGTCTTAGAAAATTGCACTATTTTTGTTGCTTCATGGAATGTACACTAGCATGAAGACACTGAGGTTGGAAACAAAGAATACTCTCACTGTTTGCAAACCATACTAATCTGTTTTTCAGATAAAAACAGATTAGTTTGGTTTGAATTTTATTGGTCAGGTGTTAGGAAATTGTTTTTAGCAAATTAAATGAAAGGCCTCTCAACAGCAAGGACAACAACAAAATGACCAGATTTTTCAAGAGAGTCGGTTTCTTTAGGGTAGGAAGATCTCTTCCATCAAAGGAATATAGATTTGTTTTCAAAACTAAAATTCAAAGATAAGAAATCTCTTTTGAATTTCTCCAAATTGGTTTACTTTTTGATCAAGGTAAAAACAGGTATAATAAGTACATAGTATTTTACAGCTAATGTATGAATGTTACAATCTCTGTGCTTTAAATGTTCCCAACAATTATGACTCACTTCTTTGAAAAAATTGCATCAGAAAGTCAAATCCACTGAAGAAAAAAGGAGGGATTCAACAGAAGGGAATGAAAATGCATTTTTTTTTTTCTAGGTGATCACTCACACAGACAGAAATTTAACACATGCATTATTTCTGATTGATGCAGATGATTGAAATGATGATGTCTAGTGTTATTTTCAGTGGAATGCTTTACGACCGTTGAAATCGTGTAAACTTTTGACTCTTGCAATCCCTTTTGATTTAAAATTTTAGCACTGTCTCACTTTTACTCAGTCCAATGGTCAATTTCCTGAGTTGCTTCCCTAGCAGGCAAATAGGTGGAGAAAGTTGCTTGCTCAAGTTGGAAATCTACTTTTCATGGACAAAGGGATGGGTTTTTTTTCCAAGCACTGTCAAACTCTTAATTGATCAATATTTATCCGTCTATATTTTTATTAAATTCTCATTAGTATGCTATTAAGACTTATAAATTTTTGTTGAATAGTGTTAATTTGTGCAAATTTGTGACTCTTTTCCAGAGAAGATAAGCTGCATCCCTGATTTGTTGTAAAAATTTTGGGCTTAAAGTTGTACTAAATATATGCTGGTGTTGCAGTCATTTAGAAGAAGACTTCTCTGATAACTGTTTTCAATTTTCTGGTGTTTCACATTGCACCATTGCTGTTATTTTGTACATGAATAATTTGACACACCCCCTCCCCCACCCACCCCATTATTTTGGGTAATAAAAAAGAATCACAGAAGGAAGAAAAGCCAGCAGGGCAAGTGACAAAAAAATCGCTCGCCCCCCTTTCCCTAGCTCAAGGTCTGGATTCACTACTGGATATTGTTTACACTAAACTTGTAAGCTTATCAAAGTGTACTGGCAAGTGTTTTTTGTTAAATGTTAATTTGTGTTACTTTGTTTCACAGTAGCATATCAAAGGTGGGGCCAGAGGAGTCAGATGAAACAGGTGAGTGACATTGATATTTGAGCTGAGCAACATTTACATGGTAACACACCACAATTATCAGAATTAGGGTGTGGCCGAAAAAAAAAGGGGTGACAAAAATTGAACTACAACATGTTCTGATTAATAAACAATTGAGCCGGCCTTCAGGTGAATCTGAAATGAATATTCATTGCTTTTCATTACCCCTATAATTCCCAGGAATTATTAAAATAACTTGTTTTTTTATTCATCACAGAAGAAGATTTTCACTCAGATGAATCTAAGACGTTTTGGTTAAACATTCCTGGGACTTACGATCGAAAGGTATTGTTTTCATATACACGTACATGTGTTGTTAATTTTGTACTCTACCCTGTAACTTTTATTAACGTTTAATTGCCATATGAGAACAAGAAAAAAATTGCAGACGTTGCCCGTTTATTGGGGGTATATCATTAAAAAAATACTGAAAGGTAATACTGAAAATTGCATCCATGAAAGAAGATGTCATTTAGTTAATAACACTTGCATAATCGGAGAAGAAGAACTCCGAGTGCTTCCAATCGGGTCGAACCTACGACCTTCCAATTAGTACTTCGAATAGTCTACCACTGAGCTATAGGTGACTCGTGACAGGCTTAGCTGTTTAACTGGGTCCATGATGACAAACTATGTTTACAACAACAGCCGCTGAATAAATAAATTTCTTAGTTTCCAAAGAAGAAATCGTTGTTCTCTACTAGAGGGCGATTAGAACACTTTCAATAGACAAACCACTGACTGGGGTGACTATTATCAAATGAATTTTGAAAAGGCTTGCATCAGCCAATTTTGTAAAAGGCTTTGCATCATCTTAGTTGTTAGAGGCTAATGGGCTGTTGTTGCGGATTTTGCCGTTACTTTCGGGTTTCACTTTTTTAGAGCTGGATGGATTTTTTTCAAGCTGCCAAGAACACTTGTCCAAAAGAAATTCAGCAGGGAAATGTGCAGAAATTTCTCAGCAAACTGCTCGGCATTGAATATGGTAACACAGTTGATAATTAAATGATAAGGTGTCATTATTTCATGTTCGTTTGCTATCACCTAGAAGTATGTTACGTAAGGTTTGGGTCATACAATACTATTCTTCATGACGCTTATTAATGCCCCTGGGTTACCTGACTTTAGAGTTTATTTTGCTGACATTTATGCATTCCGCTTTCTTTTGATGGTACGTTGTGATCTGTTGGAATACTTTTTGTTGTGTAAACCAATCAATTTGACTCGATCATCGTGCTTCATCGTAATTTACAACCTATTGTACAGACAATACTCCCTCATCGTTATCGTTATCATGATCATTATCATTATTATTTTCATTTTCATTATCATTATTTTTATTGTCATTATTATTACATTATCGTTATTATTTTCATTATCGTTGTCATTATCATTATCATTGTCATTATCATTGTCATTATCATTATCGTCATCATTGTCATTGTCATCATCATTGTCAGTATCATTATCATCATCATCATCATCATCATCATCATCATTTTCATTGTCATTATCATTGTCAGTATCATTATCATTATCATCATCATCATCATTGTTATTTTCATTGTCATCGTCATCGTTATCGCCATCGTCGTCGTTGTCACCTTCATCGTCATTATCGTTGTCGTTCTCTATTAACTTATTACTATCGTCATCGTTATCGGCGCTGCCATTGACATCCTAATAAGAATCATCATTGTCATCTCTTTCAGTTTTCACTGATAATATGAAGGAGCTCTTCTAAGCCAAAGGAATATCTTACACAACTGTCGTCAAGACACCAATTGTCACGTTCAGTTTATGTTGATGGTGGCTTAGATTACATGATGCTCATAATTTCGGGTTGAGTTCGACCAATTGCATGGGAACTGTTGATAGTACACAGATCACATTTTTTATTGTATCTCGATTGTATTCATGAAATTACGTGTGCCTACATAAGGTCTGTTATCAGAGATTTTGGCACTCATTTTGTCTAATTCTCTGTTTCTTTTGTTCATGGTGTTAGCAACTGACAACATCAGACTTAATCAGTTTTTGGAGTTGGTGGCGCTGTTTGGCCCTTTCAAGCCAGGACGTGAGGGATGCCTGCAAAAGGTGCTCTTCAATTGCCTCAGATAATTGTTTGTGTCTAGATGAGAAGAGACAATTAAGGGGTTTTTTTTCGCGTAATAAGTACGTTACCAAGGTTTCAGTGTGAAACGGCAACGGGAACGTCACTAAACGAAAGAGTTAATGAACAGAACAATGGCCGTGCACGTACGTTATGGTAACTTTCTTTGTTTCCTCTCCAAAACTAGAATGTGAAATGGCCAAACTTTGCGTTGTATGGAGAACGTGAACGACGATGGCTTATTTTTTAAATTTTTATTTTTAATTTAACGATGTTTTCCATATTCAGTTTCGAGATAGTTTCGACTACGAGAAACAAACTTAATTACTTTAGAGTATCGTCAGATTTTTAGGTAAGATATAAGTTAATCTTTTTTAACCGACGTTGTCCACAGCGTAACCGTGGTAGGTCCTTAAATTCCCTAAAGTGGGGTACTTTACTTGTAATGGAAGTATTTTAACCCAAAAATAGTCGATTGCAAGCACTATATCCTGCACCCATGGATTTCAATAAAAGCCGCCGCGTTACCGGCAGTCTGCTTCCGCCTTTATTCCTCTACACCCTAAATTCAGTATGCATAGTCTCCATACTGTCCTCCATACACTTCCAAAGAGGCTGACAAGGTGAATTTGTTTCACAATCAAGAACTGCTTTAGTCGGTGACCATCTTCTCTATTTGCGTGACTTTCATGTTTGAATGAGGGGTGATATTGTAAGGACAAATTTGATGCCAGTCAATCATAGGACCGAGGGGTTAAGACCTCTCACCGCCTTCTGTGTAGCCTGTCAATGGGCTTTCGTGTTTGGCTTTCGCGTGGACTTACGCACGAGTGAGTTACTTCCCGGCAGCCCATTGGTTTTCGAATTTCCTGCGTTTAACGAGGAACGTAACATTCGGACTGATCAGGAATAAGAGGCAAATTACAGAGGTTTCAGTAGTAATTACTTAAACAGCACTCTCTATAATGACTAGAATGCTGGAGAGTGCATCTCCGATCTTCTAGATTTCAAACTTTTTTCCGGGGAAACATGCCCCCTAATACGCCCCCCTCCCTCCTTGTGGAAAGAGCCTTACAGCCGCCTATTACACAATGGGTAGCCGCTTATGGAAAAAAAATATTGAAGGCCCCTGTATATTATACAGTTTGTTTAATTTATTGATATTAGTTAACAACCAAACGCGACTGCCGTACCAGGAATTCATCACTCAAAGGCTTCACTTGCCTAGAATGAATATAGGATTAGGACTCGAATGGACATCTCACCTCGTCTTTCTCTCCTACAACTATGCTTTTCATGTGTTTTCTGTTCCTTGTTGACGATTGAAGTTTATCTAATCAAGTTTTTATTTCCGTAAGAAAAACCATAGGAGAAAAAGGAAAATTTAAGAAGAATATTCTCTAGTTTTTTTTTTCTAAGTATTTAGCAGTGTAGAATTTTAACCTCTTTGAATTCCTCGCCCCAATGGTCCAGATTTTCAGTCTCTGGAAACATGATGTAATACAAAGCAAACAGCTGTCCAGTGGAGTTAACTTTTCAATCATCTGACATAAAAGTTACCGGTCGAAAAGTTAACTTTTTTGACTTGTTTACGATAATTATTTTTCTATTATTCTTTTTTTTAAGATGTGTGATTTGATGAAGGACTCAATTTCAGTTCGAGATGACGGCGCAAAAGAGAGGTAAATGTAACTCGTCAAGGAAAGAGGATACCATAACTGTTGGAGCTGTTCGACGTAAGCGGTGACATTCCTCCCTGCCCATTCTCCCCACGGTCACACGTCCCAGGCAAAAATTAATGGTCTTTAACTATATCAGTGGGATTTCATTTGCTATGTGACTTGTAGAAATACCAGCAACGATGTACCACATGCTTGTTACGTTTAGGTGTTTTCGGAAATACAGGCAACCTCTGAAGCTGCACAGTTTCTGTTTTCAAAAACAGTCTTCCAAGTTTTCAATAATTCCGTGTAAAGGAATATTTTATAAAATGACTGTGATACTACAAGCGCCCTGATTGGTCAAGAACCTATCGGTTATTGCACCGAAAAACCCATAGTTTATTTATAAAAGTAATAGACCGCACTCTATCGGTTTACTGGCGTAATAAGCGAGGTGGGTTAAAACCTCTTTCAATGGAATATAAACTATATCAGGATTTCGGTGTTCTTGTGGTTAACTTCGTTCTTTAGTAATAGTGGTATTGCATACCATGAACTACTCATTCGATTATTTTCTATACTGTTATTCAAACACTGTCTTTTGTGCGCCTTACCATTCGACGATTCCATAGGATCTTCCTTATTGCATCCCAAAACCTATTTATGCATTCATCATCGGTCAAATAATGATATTTTGTTGGTTATGCATAATTGTTGTAGATACAACATCCAATCGGTCAGAAGTTACCTAATGTTGAAGTATCCTCACAAGTTGGTTTGCAGGTCGAATGAACGAAACCGAATCATACGAACGCCTTAGAGACCAGATCCCAGGGCATTTTCTTCTCCGGATCAGTTCTTCCAAAGCTCACGATGGTGTATTCGTACTTGCCGTTAAAACAAGGGGTAGTGGCGTGGTTCAAATTCAAATTAAGGTAACTGACGTTAATTGCAAGTGGAACGAAACGATCGTTTGAGCGTTGTCTTCAAATGAGCCAAAAACACCTTTGGACGCCGCAATTTTAAGAACATCTTTGTAACCTGGCCGCATACGCAAATGCGCGCTGCACAAACAGCTAGTACCTTTGCTACTATTTTATTTACAGCAGCTCAATATATTTCAACAGTTCTCCAATAGAAGAAGAAAGAAGGAAAGAAGGCTTTTTGGTACGAAACCCGTTGTTGGCCAGGTTCCTAAGCGAGGTTCAAAATGGCGGCGGCCGTAATAAAATTATAATGCTCGTTCGTAGATAATTTTGGAAACTTCAGGCTTCTCTTTGGACGCTCATATCGTGATCTGAGTTTAATTTCACAAATTCTTATGAGATAGTGATGCTAAAAAGTGAGCCTACGTCTCCTTATAAAAAGGCAATTCTCTATGACTCGGGACTTAAAACAAGACAATTTTTTCGCACTTACGTTCTTTTCCTTGTGGTGCAAATCATGTTTCGCAATGTTTTCATTATTAGAGAGACTTACAAAACAGCAACCTTCTGCTTGCGGACAGAGAATTCGAAAATCTGAAGTCACTCGTCGATGATTTGAGGCGAGATGTTCTCTTGGAAAACTGCAAGCAGCTTCTAATCAATCCGTGCCCGGGACTACCGCTTAATGCTATTTTCACTGGCTATGTGGATGGTAAACCAAGACAAGGAGGTCGCGGGCGGGGGAAACCTCGAAAGTGATTCAAGCTCAAGTCGACTGAAAAATATTCGTGACTTCCTTCTGCATGAGCAGAGACCATTTCACTTTTTCTTGACTGACTGTTAACCTTGCTGAGGTTAGACTTAGCAGTTTAGACGAGAAAGCTTAGGAATTTTGTATAGTTTCAATAGTTTTTTTTGGTAGGAAATTACCGATAATTTTGTTCCCAAATATAGAAAGGAGTTTTATTTATTTTTATCCTGCGTAAAGGTGTTCTTGCGTGATTTTTAAGTTAAGCCAAAAAAGAAGTGTACCCGATGTCGAACTCCAACAAATAGGCTGCCAACAGCTTTTTCCTTGATTTTTACTACTTATGTCTTTAACTTGTGGTGTGATGAGCAGTTGCCGTTTATGGCCAAAAAAAATTCCCCTGAGCCAGCAATTTTTGTTAGGGGGGTGGGGTGGGGGGGAGGCTTATTGGAGAACTAGAGAACTTGTTAAATAGTCATTTGGAAGTAGACCCTAGATAATACCAGATTTCAAATACGAGTGTACCATTAAGTAGAGTTTCAAATTAGCGCAGGATGTTCAGATATTTATCTTATTACAATTGTTTTTATTGTTTTCATAAGTATTTCTCAAACTCATTAATAATTCATGCTGAGAAAACGAAGGAAATTACAACCGTGAAGGAAGTTTAGATATGTGATCTTAATTATCATAAAATTTGGTGAACTTTTGCTTTGATTTTCTCCAAGAATTATTAATTGTTTGAGAAGCTATATCAAACATTCGAAAGGGTGTTTCATCCGATATCCAAACACCTTGAGGTTGGTTAAAAAAAAACTCGGCTGCGCCTGTTTTTTTCAACCACTTCTCGGTGTTTAGATATCGGATGAAACACTCTTCCTAGTGTTTGATATATTACAACACTGTTCGTCGTTGAAAATGCGCGCAACTCATTATGAGCATGCGCGCTTTCGTGTGTTGCTATGAAAGTAAAGATAGGAGCAACCTGATGTTGTGCGCAGTGCATTTTATGACATAAATATAAATAAATAAGTAAATAAATAGACTTTAATGGCTACCACAAGTACTAGTGGACCCAGTAGTTTACATTGTGGGCCAGGCAAGATAGAGAAACAAATATTTCAAATAAACGCAAAGTGCTTGAAAATCACAACTGGTGGGAGGCAAACCAGTTGGCGATTTACACAACGCAGCCAAGGAGTTGAACTCGGGGCGACCGAGAACATATCCAGTGAGGCAGGGTGGAGGACTTGAACCCGGGACCACCAGAGTACAAGTATAGCGCCACTTGGCCACGTCGTCTCCTCAAATGTTAGTGAAGTTTGTCTGTGAAAATGGTCTATTTTATCTTATTTTGTGATCAAGTAGCTGATTCTTATGAAACTCATCAAAAAGTGCAAAAAAGCAATCAAAGCGCAGGAAACTGAATGAATTGCCGGCCAGTGAAGCGTAGACGAATTAATTTATCGCAGAATGAAAGCAATGGCGCGGAGAAACTGAGTAAAAATTACCAAACTGATGGTGCAAAGAAAACTAACCAGAAATAGCGATATGCAAGATAAAGGCGCAAACTATAGCGTGCTACCAAGAAAATATAAATACTTTTGGTGCCAATGACGGATACCTCATTTGACTGAGAAGACCCGATATTTGTGGCCAGAATTAGCCTACCGTTGCGATTAGGATCTGATAGTCTGTTTGGAAAGTTTTTAAAGTTTTGTCGTTTTCCAGAGGTTTTCCAGCGAAATAAGGTTCAGTTGTAGAATTTTGACAGGTGAGATTATTTCCATTTTGAGGACTTAACATTAGATTTTTTAAAATAAGATTACAAAACCACACCACGACAAAGGCAATAGAATCAAAAGACATCAACATCGAGCCGTGTGTACTGATTTCAGTGCCGTCCAGAAACTTTGTTAACTCGCAGTACACTATTTCTTTTAGCCAAATTTGTTTCTATCGGCCTCAACTTAAATTAAAGCTTTCATCGAGTCTTCATTAAAATTTATAGAAAGTGCTTAAACTTGACAAAATACTCGGAAAGCTGAAGACGCGGAAAGGGAACGAAATTGCCATAAAGTCTTGAGCACACATTCACTTTGCAAGTGGTTTTTGTTCCCATGTAAATAAGAGTTTCCAGTAAATATCTCAAGGAAAACCCAGCTTGTAGCTACAATTTTCTTGAAGCAATAAACATGACGACTTTCCTCGGTAAGCAGTTTGAGCAATTCTTGCTAGAATTTCTGAAGTTCTTTCCCTTTGATCGCGCAACGAAAAATAAAGGATAAAAATGGAGCAACCAGTTAGTTACACTACACACAAAACTTGATGAAGTTAGAAAAATGTGATAAAATCTCTTTCGTTGTTTTTGGCGTTCAAAGTGTCCTCTTTGTTTCCTCCAAACCAAAGACTTTCTCAAATCAAAAAGCACAGTGACGCTCCAAATTTCCTAGAGGAGTAAAATACGAAAAGAAAAACTGAAAGTTACGTGCCCAGTGGCTTTGGTAATGGCATTTCTCACCGCTGAGAACGAAATTCGACTACTGGAAGATTTGCCACAGGTTGATTTTGACCGTGTACCTGAAAAGATTTCTTCTGTCGGTAAGGAAAAAGCTAAGATCAATAACTAAGAATTTTGTAAATTGAAATTTACGCCCATTGTTTGTTTTGAGACTTATCGCTAACACACTTAAGTAACCATTGAGTATCAATTAGCATTGGCACAAGTCGACTTCAAAGGCGCAAGTACAAACATTTTTATATAAAAAACTGCCTGTAAACAAAAACCGTAAAAAAAATAGTTTGTCGGATCCAGTAAAAAATCCAATAATCAGTAACATTTTCTGATACAAACACATCCACCCCTTCCTGCGTAATAATAGTCTCCCACCACTCCTTGAGTAATAACAACTTGCTTCCCACCCCTCCATGAGTACTGGTAGATTACATCCCACTCCTCCTTGGGTACTAATGGTCTGTCTCTCTCTGAAAAGACTGAAATCTCCTCATGAACACTACAGACCGCAACGAAACTTCTGTTTTTCCATAAAAAAATTAACGAAGAATTTCGTCTATTAGCGGGCAAGTCGGGTTGTTTAGCTCAGGAGAAGAGGCCAAAATTTCCGTAGAAATCAAAGCTCACTCAAACGCGACAGAAGAAAATTCAATTGCGAAGAGCACAAACGATGCTACAGATGATGGCTTTTACGGCTAACGGTTAAATTTTTGGCCAATTTACGCCTATGGGTCAATATCTTTCCATTATTGTCACAAAATGTTTTTTTACGATTAACTTCTGTTACAACGAACGGTTACACTTTATCAATTTTTACACCAATTGGCTAAATCTTTTGGCTGTTTTACGGCTAACACTCAACCCCATTGACACCCTCCTGTTAAAACTATAATCAACAGAATTGTAGCAAAATAAGCGCGATGTTTTCTTTATTTACAGAATTTACTTCAAAAATCTAAATCACCTGAGAAATTATACTGAAACAATTTTCGTCTCAAACTCAGTGAATATTGTTGAATTATCCTTTCGACTTCTTCTCGAGGATTACTCAACAGTATTCACATCAATTCGCTTCAGCGAATAATTGTTAAATATGCGCAATCCTTAACCAATCAACGCACACCTCAACCAATCAGCGCACGCCTCAACCAATTAGCGCATGCCTCAACCAATCAGCGCACGCCTCAACCAATTAGTGCATGCCTCAACCAATCAGCGCACGCCTCAACCAATCAGCGCACGCCTCAACCAATTAGCGCACGCCTCAACCAATCAGCGCACGCATCTCTATAATCGCCTGAGCAATATACTTAATGTTCGTATAATTCATATCGTACAACTTCTGTTAAAAAATTAAAAACGAATCATCATATGTCTGTTTAATTGAAAAATTGACTGCCTATGTTTTCGATTCATCTCTGGGTTCATGTAATGACGACTAAGATCCACCATGAAATACCGGCAAAACATTCCGCAAAACGAAAGGAATAACCTTAATAGTAATAACAGTTCACGAGTCTCAATGCGTTTAAACGCATCGACCACGAAGGAACTCCAACCCCCAGTCTCCTGATCCGAAGTCGGACGCCTTATCGAATAAGCCACGCTTCTTTGCTTTTGTTTTGGTATTTCGTTTATGGTTTAACAAGCGACACTTCTGTGAACTGGAACACAAGTAACCAAACATGGGCACCGGGAGCTTACAAGCCGAGAGGCCTCTTTTAAATATCTGTCATATAAAAACCGACTTGGCGTATTGCTGCCACCCTCCCCCACGGCCCCACCCCTTCCCGATGGCAAGCCTGTACCCACAGCATTTCGATGGATTTCCCTGAAAATTCGTCTGTTTTGTTTAAACCCCTGAGTGGAGAGGGGCCATGTGAGAGGAAATTGTGCTGCGCAAGAAAACAACACAACTCAACAATTTGGTCTGGAAATAATACCTGACCACGTGACCCAGCGCACAAACCACTACGCCGATAGGTCTCCCACTGGTTAAAATTAGTAAGAAAGAAAAGGTCCAAGAGCTAAACTCTGAACTAAGTTGAACCTTGACCACTGATTTCCAGCAAGGGACTAGACGTATTTAAAGCAAGTCTTCGCTAAAAGTTGATACAAATCCGATTCTTTAATCATTAATCAACGATGAGAAGTCATGGGCGGCAATTGGAGAAATTAAAATCTATTTTGATCGAAAAGGTATAGAGCTCTTCACTACCACAAACAGAACAGATCATCCCACAATACTTCCAAAGTAATATAATATGTACTTATTGACTGAGTAAGAGGGCTGGAAGGAAAAATATTTGGCTCAAGGTCATGATATAGGGACCGAGCGCACTAAGGGTTGAAAATTTCAAAAATTTATTCCAACCTGAATAGGAAGCGATAGACAGGAGCAATCGAGACGGCTACAGAAAAGACTATTTCATATATACAGAGATTTACACTGCGAGATACTATCGTTCGTGTCTCTGATTGAACGAACGACGCATTCCCACATTCGTTCAATTCCAATATTTGAAATGTGTTGGTAACTAAGAAAAAAAATCTCAGTATTTATGAAATAAAAGCATCATATCATAGAAAGTACTTGAACGACTTTTATTCACTCGTTGCGATGCATCAAAAACTCACTTCTTCGCTGCGCTCACTTGTTGGTTTTTTTGGGGTTTTTCTTTTTTTTTTTTTTGTTTTTTTTTTGTTTTTGTTTTGTTTTGTTTTTTTGATGCATCGCAACTCATAATCTCCGTCTATTTCTACTCTGAAATCTTTCCCTAAGTTTTTTCGAGTCAGAGCAAGAAACTAACAATTCATCAAAAAACGCAACTTTTTTCTCTCTTTCTCTTTTTTTAAAGTTTTTGCACCAAAGCCGTGTGATTGCAGGGCCGGACGGCTTTTTCGGGACCAGCTCACGTCAACCGGTCCGGCCCTACACACGTCGGCTTTCACTAGGCGTGCAGCGCCTACGGGTCATGCGATAATAACAAATATAATAAGCTGTTAATACACCTTACCAACCCAATCGTGCATTCTAAAATTTTTTATCAAACAATTTAGTAGACGAGGACATAAGAATTTTTCTCTAATCGTGTTTTTTTTATGAAAAAAAAAATTTAATTTCCTATTTCATTTCTACCCATTCAATTGCGCAAAATTGACGTTAGGACGCGGAAATCACTCTAAAGTATAATTATTACTATTTCCTCCACCTTAAAAATATTACCAAACTCTAATATTCTAATATCAAACCATTCACTTGATCACCTAAGGAGGTCTTTTAGTAGTAAGTTTAGAGAGATCGTTCAGTTGAATTTCCCATATCTGCTCTGGAATGTTATCACAACGTTCCATAACTGGATAACCTTTGCTGGTCGCTGTCACGCAGTTGTTGGTAATCACATGGAGTAATTTATTTTCCTGCGAAAGACACAGAAACAGCAAAATATTACAGAAAGATCTAATGGGCAGAACAATAGCTCAGCACGTGCATACTGAACCTTTGTAAGTTTCTTAGTCGTCCTCTGCAGAACAACAACGTGAAATCACTAAGATTGGCGTGACCTGGAGAACGGAACCCCCGAAGGCAAATTATTTGAGTTTCTAAACAGAAATAAACGATGCTCACATGCCTTATACTGAGGTAAAGATGTGGTGCTGTTAGAGACAGTACACATGCATGTCCAGCCATATGCGACTGCCACACCATTGAGCTGCACGCTGCATAACCTGCAGACCAGACGTAATTTTGGCGAGCGAGTGCTCAGTATTTTCTTGGCGACAATTATGGTCGCCATCTTTGATTATAACAGCAGCGGTAGACTGGGGAGAGTAATAAATTTGTATCATGGGGGCGAGCGACGGTCAACAATAAGGAGGGGAGTGGGGTGGGCCTTCCCCCCTTCCCCCCTGCCGCTGCCTCTACCTCCAAATCAAACACGTTGAAAAAACGATCGCGAGCTTCTTAAGGTTCACTTGCCCTAATACGACACCTGCTTTGCAGGCTACACACTGCAAAATCGTGAACTTTAAGACGTTACCAAGGAGAGATATACCTCTCCTTATTAAACAGGTTTTCGCTCCGTACTGAACATACGGACAGGGCGAAAAAAAAACGGGGCACCGTAACTTACAGTACGGACCAAGAATACGAGGGGTTAGTAAGATATTTATTACATCTCTGGGTTCAAATAGAGGACCAAGATTTCAATTTAAACAAACTTTTGAATAAAGCGGGCCGTACAGTGAAATACGGCCCGCTAAATCGACCAATCACAGCGCACGAACTAACCGAGAGATCTAATAGAAGTCTTTACCGTAAATTAAAATAAACTCAAAAGCTGACTGCAAGGTAATCCCAGTAAATTCAATGGAAACGCAATAGCAAAACAAAAAAACCGAGCGAGCGAGCGAACTACAGCAAATAGATGCTTAGCGCAAGATAATTCCAAGGAATGAGACTGTGTCATAGCGTATGAAATAACTGGCTTCATTTATTTTCATGGAGGCGTCCAGTGCATACATATGAGTGACGGGACTTAACCTCCTTACACCGTAGACGATAGAGACTGTGATTATCATTAATTTCATCCCTCGTTACCTTGGTGTATTTAAACTCCTGGTTTCCCTTCAGTTCGTGGCAGCCATAAAGTGTTATCTTGGCTCCACTGTGACCTTGGCTTACATCTAAACACGCTTCATCTTGTCGGAATTCATCCAGAAATGTATATTGGAAAGCCTGGTCAAAACAAAGACATAATTGACATTAAGTATCAAAGTATCAAACCCATGACCTCTGCAACGGTATCGCAGAGGTCATGGGTTTAAATCCCGTACGGGCCTAAATTTTTTCAGGTCCTATTTTCAACTACTCGTTTCAGTAGCGTTCTTAGCTGCGAAGATCTCTTAAATTAGATACAAAGACTATATGAACATTTTTCCTGAACCAAAGTTTGTGTTCGCTGAATGGAGGTGCTGCAAAGCAGAGGTTACGCTATATTTGTCAATAAATGTATCGCTATGAAATTATGTTTTAAAACAAACTCAAAGCGAAGTGGCGTGAGATAATTCGACGAATGAAGGCATCGTATTTCAGCATTTTGTGGCAGTACTGTACATTTGTGAAAGCTCTTCTTCAAAAATGTCGTATGGTAGGAGTTTAAACTCCCAGTTTCAAATTGATATCTCCTTACGACTCCCGTTTTTTTTTTTTTGACCACCCACCCCCCCTTCTCCACTAATAGACATTCACCTGGTTTCCCATCATGCCGTGGCAAGTTACTAGTCCTAGCTCCCCTCCAGCTTTCCGTCCCATAGAGTCCAGGCAAAGATTGGTGCTTGGGTTTCGAATCTGCAGAGAGGTAAATAACCTTTAACAAATACATTGACTAATTGATAAATCAATAAATCCCACTTTTAACACTTAGAATTAACAGTGCCACAAACCACTTGACTGGGATGGTCCTTGAGTGGTAAGGTAATAAGTGAGGAGTTAAAAGTAAACAAGATTCACGACACAAGGAAATGTAACTTTGAAAAAACTTTCCATTCGTGGATCGCTATGAGTTTCTCCTTAGTATTCCGTTTTATCAAATTTTAATTCATAGATCACTGTATTGAAACATAACAAAGCTTTTTTTTTCCTCAGTGGAACTCGCAACTAAAATAATGTACTGTACGTCAATGCTGCCGGGATTTCTGGTAAATGAGCAACGTGAGTTCTCCGTACTTTTATTCCTCAAGACCAACAATGAATAACTTCGGCTACATTACTTCATTCGAAGTCTAATTTGCATGGAATGTAAAAGCAATTTTCAATTTAATGTCGAAATTAATCCGAGATTGCATTAGTTTTTCTTTACTTCGCTCTGTGATCGGCCCAAACTACTCGCGCCACTCACTCAACCAATCAGACGCAAATCCCGACTATGTCACCCGCGTTTTCCCGCGCTTTAGGCAGTTTGGTAGGTTTTACTTTGAGTTCTCATTGGCTCTTAATGGTATTTTCCTTTCTTCTGATTGGTCGTTGCGATGTTTTGGGTTATCGCTCGACAATACTCAATCGCTTTTTAGAACAGGAAAGTAATAAAACGTGATAACGAAAAAGGAACAGTCGCCATGAAGAAGTGGAACCTCAGAACTTCGGATTCCGCGTTCTAACCCTCTATCACTGTGCATAGAGTGAGCTAAGCAGTACTACGTTCATAAATGACACGCGTCTCGCATACTGTTGGGATTAACAGGGGTGGAGGCTTCGTATTGGTTAATAGAAAAAGAAAGATGGTCAATTTTAACCCCGGTGATGTAATGAAGAACTGTGGTTTTTTTTTCGTTGTCTAGAGCTTGGGTCAAAGATACGTAACGGAAAAACAAACAAAAAAGTATTTCTTCAAAACATGGTAGTGTACATTACAAGTAACATACCGGTCCGTTAGCCTTGAGAGGTTCATAAATCGACCTGACAGTGTCATTTGCCACATTCTCCATATACCACTTGAAACTTTTACATTTGAGCCTTTTCCGCAGGGCAAGTCGATCACTGATATCTCCAGGGTCGACATTTTTAAGTTCGGGCTTCTTGTCATAAAGCCATTCCTTGTACTCGTCCATCCAGACTTCTGCAACGCGCTTAAAGTTTATAAGGGTGGCATCCGCCTTGGGGTATGAATAGGGGACATGATGTCTGTAGACATGTCCCACTCGGGAACAAGGAATGTTTTCAAGTTGGCCACCACACTGCCAGAGCTTAAGAAATAAAACAAAGATCCATCGTGAACCTTAATAACATGGCCGTTTATCCCCTAAATCCCTAATATCAACATGCATATTCCCATACTGTCTTCCACACTTTTCTACGATACTGAAAAGGAGAATTTGTCGGGAAATCGAGAGCGTCTTTAGTTGGTGATCATTTCCGTTATCCTCACGACCTTGGTGTTTTATTCACTGATGATGCTGTGAAAAGAAAGTTGATGCCACATGTAGGCACTCTCGACGGCTAAAAAGGTTGAAGAACTGTCATACTACTTCCAATTTTCGTCTCTCCATACGAAGTGCAGGTTCATGTTCTAATAATAACTACTTCCTCAAAGCCATTTCCAGACGGGTGTTAAAAGTCCTGTAGGATTTTCATTGGCTTTGCCTTCCTCTGCTCAGTGTGATTAGTATACACAACTCATGCCATTACTTTAACCCTTAAACTTCCAAGATGTAATTGTTAATTCTCCAAACTGGGATCTACACATTTCCTAGTAAATTAGTTATGAGAATTTGGTGTTAGATCAAGATGATAACATTTTACTTTTAAAGTTTGAGTATTCTCATTATCTGTTTGCTGAATAGTGCATGGATGTTATTGGCAGAAGTCACTTGTACTTTATAACCAATTAGATGCAAACAATCTAACTGTTGATCACATTTACTGTAAGTACATATTTCATAGCAAGAAGATGTTATAATTAACGAGACTTTTGGAGGCATTACTGTGGGATACATTGGTCTTCACCTTCAGCCACTCTGGTTTTAAGTGGAAAATAATAAATTTGATGCTGAATCTTCAAAGTACAGGAATGACATCGAAAATAAGAACACAAACAAAAAAAAACAAAAACAAAAAAAAAAAAAGAAGTCAACACACCCACCCATATAAGTAGTAACTTCACCCAACAGGGCTTAACTTCAGTGAGAAGCACAAACATGAGGTAAATTTCCATATCTGACGACAATAAAACTCAAACAAATTTTTAAAGTGGTCTGCCAAAGGCATCCCATTTGAACATCATACCTTGAATGATAATTCATACTGCTCTCCTCCCCAGATGAACATTCCTGGATCATATTGTCCTAGCTCACTGAAAAACTCTCTGTTGATTGCAAACAGCCCACCAGCCATAACAGGAGACCTGGAAAGGAATATTTGTATTTTGAACTCTAGCAGTAGAAGGGGTGCAAGGGTGGGGCATGCAGTCATCTTGCCCTACATCACCAGTTTCCACATTGTGCAACAACAGGGAATATTGCTACATTCAATTAGGGTCCATTACTCAATAGTAATTTGATATTATTGACTGAGTTGATATAGTAAATTGGCCACTATTAACCCCTGAACTCCCATGAGTGACCAAGACAGAATTTCTCCTAACAATATCAATACAATATCAACCAGATAAGGGATGAGAATAAAGAAAAATATAAATTTGGGGATAATTAATTGATCCAATACTAAATTCTCTGAACTAATATTGTAAGAACTGTATGGTTGACAGTAATGAGAAGTACAAATTTGATCTGGGAGTTAAAGGGTTAAGAGTTTCAAAGGTAATGCTTCAAGCATAAGCCCTTTGTCGGGGTGAACAGTCTTTTACTTTGTTATACTTATACTGGTTCCTGAGCGTAAATCTGCGTTATTTTCCTTAGAATTTGATTCAAAATATTACTTCAGGTTTGTAGAGATACTGGGACCTTTGAGAAATGGTCCCTTGGAAGGGATGTATCACAGAGTTACCCTCCACAATCGTTTTAAATAGTTTTCAGTTTACATGGGTGCAAGGATGTGAACAAGCCCTGACCTACCTAACTTCTTGTGTAGGATCTTTCCTCTTCTTCATCTGTTCTGGACGCACCGGCCTCTCTTTATAATCAAATCTCCAGTTGAAGGTTCCTCGAATGTAAGGGTCCATAGGCTTGTATTGAAAAGTGTTATGATCTATGAAGTCTATAGTAGGGCACACTGCTGTTCTTCGATCTAGGGCTATCCTTTCAAGCAGAGGAGGGAGCCAGCCCACATTAGCCTCACAGTGTGCATCAAGGAAGAGAACAACTTCACCGATGGCACTACTTGCACCAATAGATCGAGCCTTTATCAGTCCAACCCTTTCATTAGTTCTGACAATTTTTATCTTTCCTAGTTTTCTTGTGTAGTCTTCTAGTTTCTTCTTTAGATGTGCTGTAAATGAAATCATGACTATTGTTAGCTCCAAAAGCATAGGAAAATAATCCTTGTAATGAGCTTGTGAGTGTCAATAAATGTTTTGGTGTGAAATGATTTCAAGTTACCGGGTAAACAAATTTAATCCAATTTGATTTGTGTTTTTCTTTCATTGGTGGGGGACAACCAAGGCTTAAATTTGAGACTATAATCCTTATCAGTAATTCTCCTTACTGTCTGCAGCACAATTCTTATGGTGTTAATTCAGAGAATTTAGTACAGGATCAATAATTATTTCCTGATTGATATTTCTCTCAATTCTCACCACTTGTCTGCTTGATATTGTATTGATATTGTAAGGAGAAATTCCGTCTTAGTCACTCATTAGACTTAAGGGGTTAAGAACACCACAACAGCTGACACAGGGAGATACAGTAATATAATAGCCAGTGTACTTGACACCAGATCGAGAGGTCTGAGGTCAAGAACTGGCTGGGTCAATGTGTTGTGTTCTTTGACAAGACACTTGACTCTCACAATGCCTCTCTCCACTTGGGAGTGTAAATGATTACCAGCAAATTGCCTAGGGAGCCTGAGAAAATGCTGGGAAATAACAATGTGGGGGACTAACATCCTATCAAAGGGGGGGGGGTAATACTCCCAGCCACTTCATGCCACATGATGGGTGGTAATACTCCCAGTCACTTCATGCCACATGGAAACCGTGTTAAGCTCCAGCTGGGTGGGCCAATAAGCTTGAGTACAGACTTTACCATCAGATGACAGCAATGAGAATGCAGAGGAGAGATAGATTTAATAAGCAAGACAGTACCTGAGCTTGTGGATTTAGAGACTTTGTACATTTGGTTTTTGTCCTATTTAAAACAGCAACATACAACACCAAATTTTTTCCACAAGTCTTAAGAACTGGAACCCCAAACCTGTTTTTTTATGTCATGCTGAAGGGGAGATCTGGCACCAGACGAGATGGTTAGCACATTAAGTAACTTGGAAAATTTTTAAGAGAAAGGACACTTGATTTTAAAGCTGACTGTTTTCTTAGCATCACCATTGTTAGCCTGTTCCAGGGGTTCAGTTAGAAAAAATGGAGTGTTATAGTAAAATCAATGGCAGGACAGTAGCAGTGGAGTGAAAAAAACTGGAAGTTTAAGTGGGGTGGAAAAAAAAGAGAGAGGTTTGGGTCAGAGACCCTGAACTTCAGATGGACAGGTCTGAGTTTACTACCCAGCTGGCACATTGTGTTATGTTCTTAGGCTAGACATTTTACCCTCTCCAAAACTCTCTTCACCCAAATGTATGAATGCTAGCAAAATGTCTGGAAAACCTGATGAACTGCTGCGGTGTAAAGAGCGACATCCCATCCAGGGTAAGTTCAGTACAGCAATACTCTAATATGCTTGACCCTTTAACTACCAGAAATGATGAACATGTAACTTCTCCTTACAATATCCATACATTATCCAGCAAACAGGTAATAAGAATACTCAAACTTACCAGGTAGAAGTTATCTTGATCTAACACCAAATTCTTATAACTAATTTTATAAACAAGTGTATAGCAGCTAAATTGGAGAATTAAAAATCAGATCTTTAGAGTTTAAGGGTTAATGCTATGGTTACTGGGATAAGTTTTAGTCAAACGAGCAACTTAGCTCAATTGCTGATTTTATCTTTTACCTTTTCATTCTACTACAATTACATCAGTTCTGCTCAAAGACACAATCCTGACATTTGTATTAATTTAACCATTCCCTGCAGGATAGCAATTTATGTGATGGATAAAAAAGTAGGTTTACCCAGTCTTAGAAGAGCCAAGGAAACACATTTAGAGCAAGTTTTACATCAAGTTTACTCACCTTTATCGCTAAAATCATCAACCATTACTATTTCCTGGAGCATGTGTGGAGGAGACCTGTTTATGACACTGTGAACTGTTCGCAGTAATGTGGACCAACCTTCATTGTGGAAAACTATGATTACACTAGCTTTGGGGAGATTATGTGGATATTTACGTTCTTTGCATCTGAAAAAGATGATCAGCAAAAAATTTCAACTCTTATTTTTTGTTGATAACCTCAATTTTGTGATGGAGATGTAAATCAGATAAAACACAGGTCCACAATGGACCTCTAACAGAGACTAGCATCTAATTTCTCTTAACAATATCACCCCTGAATCAAACATTAAGGTCATGAAAATAAAAGAAATGATCACCAACTTATTAAAGAAGCTCTTGATTGTTAAATGAATTCTCCTTGTCAGCATTTCAAGAAATGTATAGTAAACAGTATGGAGAATGTGCATACTGATGTGAGGGTTAAAAATGGCAAAAAATTCAGTGTTTTCAACACAACTAAATAATTATTTTGAAAAAAGGCTTAGGGCAATTTTGCAATTCATTTTTCCAAAACTCACTAACTGATAGATCTACAAAACATTTTCCTGTCACCTTGCTTTTTCCTTAGTTGCTTTAAAAAACGGTATAAAACAAATCATTAGATGTGATTGTTTTCTCAACAAAAGTTACAATAGCAATGTGATCTATATCTATTCTTAAAAAAACCATCAATCTTAGCTTCAAGTATCTGAAACTCTTACAGGAGGAGGGCACCCATATGTTTTATAATTGCTGCACATTGGGAGGTAATCAGTAATTATCTGAGTGCAAAGTTGAAAGCAGTACTGCATTGTGGGTATGTGACCCCTTCAATTATTGCAACAAAATAAAGAATTTGAATTAACTATTCTCAAAGAAGCAAGTTTGATAAAGGCAGTTTACAACAGTAGTATGGACAAAGTGAACACCAAAAAAAACCGAGTAAGATGTTTTGTGCCTTCTGAGCAAATTGCTTCCTCACTTCCAAAAAAATTTAAAATTTCATAGTGCAGAGGTAGGTGTTGAAAACAGCATTCAGACAGGGATAAGAGGTTTGCAAGGAATTGTAAATGTTGGGCTATCTTGACTTGTGGGGACTGGGCTAGAGAGTCCAGATGACAAAAATATGAATACTAATGAGCTAGGAAGCTCAGGTTTGAACTAAATTAGAACGCAACGGGATTCACTGGTGAATTTTCTACCTTTTGGGTGAGTAGAGGTACTGACTCAGAAATTTCATTGTAGATTTAAAAGATACATTTGAACAAAAACATTATCTTCAAAAGATAAACAATAAGCCAAGTTTACACATAGTTCTTCCCTGAAGACAATGCCTAACTTCTACGAATTGTTTGGATTTTGGAAATAATATCATAAGGCAGCATGTAGTGATAGGTTTTGTGTAATGAACATATTTGGTTGCACTTAATAATTTATCCTATGTTTACATGTCTACTACACGTACGTTGTGGGTTCACGGTCACTCAAAGATATCAGGGAAATTACTCCAACCCGTAACCCATTACTAATTTACAAACATTCGCAGATTTTAAAAAAGGGGAATTTTTTGGTGACTCATACGCGGGAGTTAAAAAGTTAGCGATGAATTCTTGTCGATAAAAAATTAGATATTGTTTCAGGATCACTGGCATCCATCACATGACTAGAGTAGCACAACGTCTTGTTAAAATCGTTCCTCTTTATTCTAACGAAATTAAGTCCTTATTAATTTTTCAAAGGCTTTGACCAAATTTTTTCAAACAGTTCGATCACGGAAGGCAAAACAAAACAAGGCAGAGAATGTGTTGCATACTTACGCAAAATGCCTTGTATCCTTGAGCGGACGTTCCAAGGAAATTTTATCGCTAATATATTGATTAAAGCCATACTCCGCGTAAGCACTATCTTTCAAGTGTTCACTCCCAGCCTCTGTTTCTACGGGCTCCCCAAAAGAGCCTGGCCCTCGGGGAGTGTATTTCTCCTTCTCCGGTGTCCAGAAATCCTCAATCTTGATCATTTCACCGAGCTCTGGGTGCGAATTTGCCACGTGGATGGGGTCGAGTTTATATTTCGCACAACCACCAAACCCGCAGTTTACGAAAAGATAAACAATAGTACAGATCAATAACGCTCCCAAACATTTACAAGTTCTTTTCAACTTGAATCGCATGATCAGACTGTTAAACAATGGATCCCTGTTGTAAACTGAAACGATCGAACAATCCTAAGATGCAAAATGTACCGTAGAACAATATATTTCTCCGGAAATAGCAGAACAGTGACAGTCTTCTGTCGAAGAGATGATCAGCTGGATCAAATGTTTACTCGCATACTGGCCGTCAAATCCACTGGAGATTCTTAAAGTAATGCTCAATCCAGTACAGCAGCCTTCTCTTGATTTCCAAAGCTTTTTTTCAATCTTTATATCCAAACATAGGTTTATTCTCCTACGATCATAGGTTCCTTGCCGGTAAGATGCAAATACACGAAACACAAAGTGTTTATCTCACCGCACTTGGTACCGCAATTTTTAAGGAGAACAATAAAACCAGATAGGACAATTAAATTTGAACCAAGCGATTTCCCATCAAATTCCAGAGTGTATGAAAAAAAACAATGGACAATAATCAATCTAAATCACATACACACGATACACCTCCAAGGGTAAATGAACTCTCCAATGCCACAAAATTCTTTGAGTAAATAATCTTCCACGCTTCTCTTAGAGACATCACCCACTTTCTCTTTCCTCAATTAAGTTCTGGTTAATGATTTTTACCATTACTTTCTAAGAAATTCTTAAAAAAAACCATGACGACTAAAGAAAATTATAAGAACAGAACTTAGCGATATTTAACCAGCAGTGTTTGTCTTAATAGTACTTACTTTGTATAAGCTGAATTAAGTTTTCCATAGGTTGTTTCTAGGGTGTCCTTGAAGGGGAGTAAGAATTTTTGGCCAGATGTTGACACCTTGACAGTTCAACAATTAAAGCCTTCAGTTTCAAATGAAGATAGCTCGTCATCTCGCTGAGACTTTAAAGAAGCATATTTTTTTCTGCAGTCGATGTGATGGCTAGGAATGGCCAACCTTTGCAAATAGTTTTCGCATTCTTTGTTGTTCTACAAGTTTGTGAGGGAGAACGTTATTGCAAGACTGAAAACTGTGGCGAAGAGGCAAACAAACATGAGGAATACTCCATATCGCAAACAGTTATAGAGGAAAGTCTGTTTATGATTTCTCCAGAAGATTTTTACTATAATTTCTTGGTGAAACATAGGCCGTTTGTTATGAGGAGGGTGGCAAGAAACTGGCCAGCGTATACGGTAGGAAAGCAAATATTTATTAATTTTAAGCAAATAAATCAAAATGATAATGACTTCAACCCTAAGCATGGTATTATCGAAACTTGGTGGCAAAGAAACTGTCAAAAAAACGTAACTTTCAAAAACTACACATAGACGACTGACACAATTTTAATGAGAAATTTTTCAAGAGGGTCATAAAAACTTTGCAGAAGTGTGTAGCTCACTCTAACGCCATGGAGATTAGGATAGGGAAACTTTCTTCTTTGGGGGTTACTTGTTGGAAAGGGAAAAAAAAAACAAACAAAACATGCAAACTAGTAAAAATTTCTAGATCTCTGGACTATCTTTCCTCACCCTTTAACTCACAGAAGTGATTAACATGTAACTTCTCCCCATAATAGCTACATATTATCCTGCAAACATGTAATGAGAATACTCCAACCTATCAAGTAGAAGTTGTAATCTTGATCTAATACCAAATTCTTCTAACTTATTACAAGGAATTGTGTAGCAGCTAGAGGGAGAAGTTAAATATCAGATCTTGGGTAGTAATATTAGTTAATCATGCAAACTCACTTACAAAATGTATCCTAAATTTGGAGCAGAGAGAGTTGTTCCTAGTTATTCTGTCAAGAACATGGTAACAACATCTTTTTTTTCTTTTACCTGTATTCCAAAATTAGCACCTCCTGTATGTATTCTTAATTGGACCATTAGCTTTCACAATAACTAGTACGCAACCAATCATTAATTAAAAATTGGAATGAATAATGTCAAAGCCCGAGTGTGAATTGATCCTTTTTTCTTTCCCACATCTAGACCAAATGCTTCACTATACAAAATTTTTCAAGGAGCAAAGTATTGGTGATCTATAAACTTTCCTAAGAGATGTAATTAAATTTTCTCCCTGTTTCTCATTATGTTTAGGTATGGACAGAAACCTACCTGATCCAATCTTTAACTGAAGACTTGCAAGTATCAGTTATAAAAGGACTACAGAATTTCCCATTTGGTGGTGAAAGTAACATGCCAGTCAAAGAATTCTTCTCAAGATATTCACAGGAAGATCTAACACTTTGTGATGAACCAACAATGGAGATGCTCAATGATATAAGAACTCCCCTTTGCGCTCAGTGTCATCAGTTCATGGAGAAGATGACAGTCAAGTTTTGGTTTCACCATCGTCACAAGAAAGCATCAACATCTTTATTTTTCCAACCAGACGAACAGCTGCTAACTGTTTTAAATGGAAGTGCTACAGTAATATTAATTTCACCTTTGCACTCAGAAAAACTTCCTTTCGATGGAGATGAATTGTTGGCAATTTCCAGTTTTGATACAGGTTGTCATAAATTTATAAGTCAAACCAAATTAATTTTTGTGTTGTCTTGAAATCATTACTTCTAACATTTTTATATACTTTTTCAGAACGGATGTACATATACCTCTCTGCTGTCTGTTCATAATTAACAAAGGGAAATTTAAAATAGATTTGCACTTAAATTAAACATGTTCCATTTGATTTAAGAATTTTCCACTTGATTTATGCATTTGTTAAATGTAGACAGTTGCCAAGCACAACAAATTTGCTACATTAGCACTAGAGTTGTGATTTGACAGAGTAGGTGAATTGTCCCCTTCCCCTTTCCCAGTCTCCCTTGTGCTCATTTCTTTTTTTTAATTTTTCCCCCAGATACTCTCTCATCTAGAGGCATTCCACACTTGACTGTCGACCTTGTTAAGGGTGACATGTTATACATACCTCAAATGTGGTGGCAACATGTAACGTTTTCAACAGAGTATAACCTATTTGTACAGTTTCTATGGCCATCAAAAACTTCCATAACTTCTGGAAATCTACAATCTTCAACCCAAATAAGAGGTAAGAAATAATGTAAATTTTTCAACATGGTGCTGTCAGAGGTAACATTTCGAGTGCTGTTAATTGAAGAACTGTAACCTGGTGAATAGTAATTGGTTTTATTAGACTAGAATATACCACACAGAAACCAAACAATCAATTTATTTCTGTCAAATGAATAAAATGGAAAATAGTTAGAAATCATTAGTAAACTTAATGTGCGATTTTGTCACTTGAAATGCATACAGTTGAGCAGTACATTTATATTTTGTACTTTCTAATTACTTCCAAAGTAACCAATTGGTGCATGCAATTGGAAAAAATCCTTATTTAATAATTATTTGTTTTAATGTTAGACTTTCAAATTATAACTAAAAGTTTTTCTGCTAGTTGACTTTGTATGCAAATGATCACTATCTTTGTCCTTGTAATGTGTTAGATAGCAATTACTGTGGTTGTTTATTTTGACATTTGATAATATCTGATACAAAGTGAACAGAACTTTAAATTCAACTAGTGGATGATACATATTGTATTTCCTTGGATAAGCACCTGGGCCCTCATTTAAAATTTCTGCTGAAAGGAGAGGCACTTGATGATTGGATGAGGGTGCTTAATTGATTGGGGGAGCTGTTCTGATTCTTCTGTAGTTGAATCTTAAAACGTTATAAAGAAATTGGAAATAGGAACAAGTTTCCCTGCTATTCCTATTATTTAAGAAAGTTAGGGAGGAGGGGGGGGCACTTGTTTCACATTGCAGCCTTGGGGGGTGGGCACTTATTCGGGGAAGGGCATTTATTAGGGCATGAGCACTTATTTGAGGAAATGCAGTATCTGTTTCCTCATACTTATAAAAAGATAAAATGTGTATCTAAGTGGGACCATTTATTACTATCCAACTGCACAAAGTGGAGTACAAATAACACATGAATAGAGTGCAAATATCTTGTGATATTGTACAGTTATTTGGAAAGTTGGATATTTTGTATTGTAAAAAACCTGTTTAACCAGTCAGCTGCATGTGCTACACTTCTCTATCCAATTGCTTTTCCTGCCTTATCAGAAATGAGCAGAAAGACTTAGCAGAAAAAAAAGCAGTTGGATAATAAATATTAACTTATTTATGTTTCAGTGTAGTATTGCTGAGTAATTTTACTTGAAGTTTGTGTTTTGACTTGCCCTACAGGGCTTGTCAAAATACAGCACAACTCGTAAATACTCAGCAATACTACACACTAAAATGTTTAATAAGATATATATATATCCTTCATATGTAAGCTCCTCATTTTATTTTTCTATGCATGGTGATGAAGGGGATCATCTGCCAAGTATACCAGCATCATTAAGAAATTTACTCAGAAAGTATGAAGAGAGGTTTTTGATGACAGATGTGAGACCACTGGTTTGTTTAGACCAAGACAAGAGGATGAGTGAATATACATTTGAAACAGGAAAAATGTCACCAGATGAATACGAAGCTATCCATAATGGTCCTGACTTCACCGAGGTAATGAAATTTGTACTTGTGTGATTGCCATGACCAAGCATGATGTAAAGATTGTTCAATATTTACCTGAAATTGATGGACTAAGATAAATTTGAATCAAATAAAAACCAACCAAACAAACAAAAACATTCAAGGCAAATCCCCATTCATCTTGACCTCCCACTTGATCAGTGAAGGATTTATTTCATAGCAAAAAGATGAAAAAAAGAATCTACCAAAAAAGTGGGTAAAGAGTTAACAACACTTGTTATGGTTTTCTTAATTTTGATAGACTTGAGTGTGATTCTATCATTTTAAAAGCTGCTGGAAAAATTTTATTTCATAACTGAAAAATTTTTCTAGAAGTTATGAAGGATGTCAACAGGCTAAAAGCAGTTATTTTTCATGCTGAACCAAAGTTGGCTCATGTTGCCTACAACTATAGTCATTTTAATATGTTAAGATAATACATGTTATCATATCTGCTTTTTATCTCACAGGAAGAACCATGCAACTTTGATGCAAGTAATCTACAAAGCCCTTGCCATTTTGCAACCTGTTTTGAAGATCCAGAATCACCAATTTGTATTCGATACATTCTAGACTATTGCAGCCACTGGGAAGATCGTGGCTGTGCCATTGAACTACCTCAGTTGTTAAACAAGGTGGAAAAGAGTTTAATGAAGCAGATTACTTCCTTGAAATCCTCCTACCAATAGGCGCTTTATTGATTTTGATGACATATAAATTTTAGTGACAATATAAAATAAAGCCTGCGGCCTGTATACTTTACCTGTTTGTCTACTGTGTTTCACCAGCTGCAGCTGAGAAAACCTCACAGATTCAAAATGAAACTCAAAACCCTTTAAAGCTGTTTTTCCTGGAAATTCACTTCATCCAAATTTAAGAAACTTCAGTGCTGTAAATGAATACTACTCACATAGACAAATTACCTGTATCAGTCATCAGAATCTAAAGTGAACAAGGCCAATTAATTACTGAATGTCTCCTGTAATTCTGCACCTCATTCTTTAAGTGTCAGCATTGACTGAGTTGCAGTCCTGGAAATTAGGACTTCCATTCATGTAGAAGAGTCTTTTAAAAGTTCTGTGTCTTCCCTATTGCTAGAAATTATTATTAGTGACATGTCCAATAGAAACAAAAAAATTTAACCACAGCTCATTAAATGTACAGAATATTCTTCAGCAAATTTGATAAAAATTTTTGAAACTAAATCAGTGAATTTGGACCATCTCAGGACTTGTAACCTTTAGGGATTCTGTATTAACAATAACACAACTTTAACTTTTTTCAGTTACTTTTATTAGTTAGCAAGTCAAACTTTCAGTTTGAACTCCAAAATTTTTATTACATCATCCTGGTATTTTGGGTGAAGTTCATTTTTAGGGACCTGCAAAAGAAAAGTAAGGCTTGCATTAACTAACTTTGCACTGACATTACTTAGATTAAATGGTTAAGAATATATGAAAGTCATATAATTATTTGAACTGCGGATAAAGACGTTAATGAAAGTGATCCTCGCAGTAATGTGCACTACTTAGGCACTACTTAGGCACTACTTAGTTATTCCCATAACTCTGATATTTTTCTTGAGGATTTTAATTTTTACTCAAGAAGATTAAAGGGGAAGTATGTCCCAAATACCTGATACAACTTTTTTCTTATTTAATTTTTTCCATCAGTAGTATTTTATTATAGTATCATGGTTTTTGGCAAGTTTTAAACTAGTATTTACTTGCTTAAAACAAGCTGGGTGTGAATGCAGGACATCACTCACAGGATGATTGGTTAATCCCATGTTAAAACAAAATTCTTTCACACGCTTTAAGAAACAGTAGCCACAATAATGATGTTCTTGAAGATAAAGATGTCAACAAAGTTTACTGATGCAAAGCAATGAGATGTTAACAAGGCTTGGAGATAAAATGATGCATTGAAGCAAAGCCATGGAAACAGACAGAGTAAATGATAGAAGCAATGTATAAAACCGTTTAAAGCCGTTTTAAATACTAAGAAGTAGATACAAAGAAAACTATATTTTAAACAGACTGAAAAACTATGATAAACTTTGAGAAAAAAAACTCTAGATCTCATGAAAAGAGACTTCTGTATCCAGGTTAGGGATTTTAATGCAAACAATCTTTAACCCTTTAACTCTCATGAGTGACCAATACAGAATTTCTCATTACAATATCAATACAATATCAAGCAGACAAGTGATGAGAATAAAGAAAAGTATTAATTAGGGGATAATTAGTTGATCCAATACCAAATTCTCCAAACTAACATGACAAGAAATATATAGCAGACAGTAAGGAGAATTACTTATGAGATCTTAGGAGTTAAATAGTTACGTGTAGCTCCTAATTATTAATCCTCTGACCTGTAAGAGAGACTACCATCTAATTTCTCCTTACAATATCACCCTTGAACCACACATCACAAGAATAAAGGAAATGATCACCAACTGAAGAAGCTCTTGATTATTACACAAATTCTCCATAGCAGCTCTTAGGAAATGTACAGTATACAGAACAACATACTTAGAGAATAAGCAAGCTGATGTTAGGATGCTAAGGGTTTAAAATAGATCATCAAGTGTTGGGAAAAAGAGGAGAGAAATCTCTCATCTTAACTCCAAAACTTTGGAATCTAAAAACACTGTCAGTGTTATAATTGGTAATGATATTTCTGATTGCATGAGAGACCAAGGTAGGATTTCTCCTCACAACATCAATATAAAAAAATAAGGTGGCATTTGATCAGAGAAGAGATAAATATAAATTAACTAGAGAGATTATTAGTTGATTCAATACCAAATTCTCTGAACTAAATTCATAATAATTCTCTGGCAGACAGTAAGGAGATCTTGGGAGTCAGAGGGTTGAATGATAAGATTTTGAGGCTACGTCATGAGAGAAGTGTTTGAGTAAATCGATACAATCAAACCTTGATTATCCAGATTATTTGATTATCTGAACTTGATTCTCTGGTCTCAAAGAAATAGTCCCTCTTGAGATCTTTGACAATGTTTTCCCATCACACAGAGCTGAATTACTGAAACAATTTGATGACAATGACAGATAGCACTTTAGGTAGCAAAACATTTTTGTAAATACTTTCGGCAAATGTTAACAGTGAAGTACATTCATTAGAGAATATACTTTTATTTCTTGCTGGTATAAATCAAATGATACATTTTGGCTCATTAATATTTAATTTATAGACTCTGGATAATTGAGGTTCGACTGTATAACTAGTTGGGCAGTGTTTCTAACTTCCATACCTTGTTGCAGTCATAACCTTGATCTGTCATCGTTTTCACAAATGCTTCCTCGCCTCCACGATTCCTTCCCATTGATACGTAAATACGTGAACCAGGTTTTGCTAATTTTGTGATGCACCGAGCGAGTAGCACAGAGTCGTCCGCTGAATAAAGACATTCTGCAGCGAGAATGAGATGAAACAGACCATCTTTTGTCAAATCTTCTGTGCTCTTCCCCCAACAATATTCCTCAACCTTGATTCTACTCCGACCAACTCCAGTCACATTTGCTGCCACGTTGTCTTCAAGAGTTTTTACACAACATTTCTGATCAGTTAGAACGGTCATTTTCGCACCTAACAAACACAAATAAATTCCCACTAAACCGCAGCCAGCTCCAAGTTCTAAAACTCGACATTCCTGCAAATAGTGTAACGGAAATATATCTCGATTATCGAACATCTTAGCGAGTGCAATACTTCCATCCCAAACAGTTGTTCCAAGAGCTGTGTAACTCTGTCGAAGTTTTATGAGAGACACGCCATTGTATTCTCCTGATCGATCAGCGTCAGAACCCCTGTCAACTTCAAGTTCAAATGGATTTTCGAACCGTTGTTTTTCAGGTTTGTACTCTTGTCGAAGCCACATGATTAACGGGATTGACTAAGATTTTGGATGACCAAGGAAGCCCAGTACTGCATCCCTGCTGCAAAACATACCAGGCGCAACTTTGTACCCAAGCCTCATAGTTAACCAGTCGATACGAGAAGTCGTCAAAACAACTTTTGATTTGCCGCAGAGGTATTTGCCAGTACTTTTGGAACAGTGCAAAGCAACGGTGCCAGAACACCCCCGTTACACTAAGCCATCAAACCTGCAATTAGTTCAATTTTAAACAGAGCCGTTTCGTATAGGTAATCACATGAGGCCAAGTACTATTAAGGATTAATTGCACGAGAGTTTTCAAAATTTTCCAAAATTTTGAAAACTCAAGTGCAATTAATCCTTAATAGTACGAGGTCTCATAGGATTACCTATACTTATCAATAAATGGCAAAATTTATACGAAGGAAAATCAAAACTTCAAGATAACGAACGGTTGCTATGCAACGGATTAGCCAATCATTAACAGGTAATCATGCCCTCTCTTGATTACTAAAAATGCCCTCGATTAAGAAAAAAATGCCCTCTCTCTCAACCAATCAGCGTTCAGTAATTTTGCTCTTTATTGATAAACGGAGTAATCATCTAGGTCGATGTAGTGAGACCTAGTGAGTCTTTTTTCTTGTTAGCGAGACGTTTTCTCACTTTGATTCGTAAGAGAAATTTCATTTATTCCACCGGGCTGCTTTTTTATATCAAAAATCTCAGCTCCACTTCACGATCAGAAGCCGCACGCTTTCGAGCTAGTTACAAAGATTTCACTACACGCCTGACTCTGCGCGCCAACATTGAGCAAAAACCCCATGGGGTCTCCTTAAAACTTGTTATTTTTTGACAAACTCTGACAATGTGGCAAACATCTTGTTTGATTAAACATTTGATTTTATCAAAACTTTGTTTGATCGAACTCCTGTGGTTTAGAACAAGTCCTAAGCGCTATCTAAGTCAAGCGTTCTTCTTATCCACACTGGCCAAAGTGACGTCAGAATTCATCTTTACTCTCATCAGTCAGGTGAGAAGGAGCCAATTTACAAGGTTTATTAGCGGTCAGCGGTCAGTCACAAACTGAACGTTAGCTGGTAATTGATTCATCAACTATTACATAACGAGCCACTGAAAGTTAGTTCGTTATGTAATAGTTGATAAATCAATTACCACCCCCCAAAAAACAACAACTTCAACGACAACAACAGCATGACGAAAAGTGATCGTATTATGACCAAAACGATTACAGAGAGATCTAAGGAAGATTTGAACGGGACTGTAAGTAAGGAGTGAATCTGTACTGAACTGGTGAAAATACAGCATTTTCATTTTTTTAACTCGTTATTTTTTAAAAAACTCTAACCTTGCGGCAAGATCACTCATTGTTCATCTCTGGCGGATGATCAGTCATCTCTTTACGTCAATTAAAATGATCAGAAGAAAGCAGCGTCGAAAGACTGAAAGGCAAAAAGAGAAGGTTAAAGGTAACAATATTTAAAATGAACTCATATGTCAGATGAGATAGACAACATTAAGATGCGAGCGAGAAGAACTCCCCCATCGATGCTGGAACTGTGTGAATATTATAAAAAAAAACAGGCTTTGACGTTTGGCTCCAAAGAACATTCAGATGTTGAAGAAAATCAAACAGGAACAGCAACGTCAAACGAGCAAGCACGATTAAGGAAGAGGCTCTTAGGTTCTGCCGCTGCAAGCTCGAGTAGTTATGAACCATCAGAATCTAGCTTATCAGGCCACATGTCCGTACACAAATCAAGGATTTTCTCCGTAGTGTGCGAAGATATTCCTTCGTTCTTAGAAGAGGCATGCACTGATTTACCAAGAGTAAGGGCTCGCAAAGTTAAAATAGTGGCGGTTAATGGTAGAAAAGATGGCAAAGATGAATACCCCTCTTTTCACAGTCCAGAAAGTACGAGCAATAAAAGCGTTCAAATGGCCTTGTGTTACACAAAGACCTCCAACGCTAAACAGGACAGGTATGGGGGTACATTCAGGCGGCAGGGCCAACATAAATGTATACAGGAACTTGCAAGAACAACAACGACGGCAGGCCACGACAGGTGTGGGGTGTACTGGCTGCACTTTCCCGCCGATCCAGCCACCCACTGCGGTGTCACTAATGTCTCTACCCCCGACAGAACCAGGGCCACACAACAAACTGGCTGCCAGCACAGGCCGCCGATGTGGTCGACTAGAAATTTATCAAGAACCAAGAAGTCAAGAAAATCGACGGCAGGGTGTTTGTGAGAGCAAAGATGGCAGTGGCGTTGAACGAAATTTCGTTAGAGTTTTGAACAAAAGATTTTAGTCGATTGTTTCCTCGTTTCGTTTCTAACGCGAAGATACGTCTACGTTGATATTCTAAGTCGACGTCTATATTGATATCTTTCCTTAGAAAAATTTAAATCAAAAATCGATCGTTTGTTGATCATATTTGAACACATTTTAAAACTACATAATCTATATTGATATAACAGTCGACAGTGTGGCTGAATTTAGACTGTGAATTAATAACTGTGGTTGGTATCAACCGTGTAACCGTAAATAGAAAAATCAATTGTCAACATTCCCGGAGTAAAACATTAAAAAAAGGTTCAAAGATGCAGCGCTACTACTGCTGCTCAAAGATAAGTCGTAAAAAGTCATGGTGATAAGTGAAAGTGCTGTTTGCAGAAATGAAAGAGCTAAATCCAAAAGTTCTAATATGTAATTGGAGTATGAAAACAAAATACCCAGAGCTGATAGTGGGATGTTATGGCGTCACGGAATCGAACCTCACTCTCCTTGACCGCTCGTAATTCTTCGCCGGACAAATCTTTGGGATCAGCGACGCCATCGCTTTTGGCATCGACACCGTCATGTTCAGCGGGCCATACAGTCGAACAGATTCAGCGTAAGAGATAGACAACCACATTTTTATTGGCTGCCTGATGTGACTGACGTATGACGTGTGTTGGAAAAAACTCAAAGGACGAAAAGAGATGTTTAAAAATATTTTCAAAGCAGGGCACTGAAGGCTACGGGTTGTGGTAAGTTCTGTCTGTGAAAACATCTGATTCACTACCATTAATTTGCCAAAACTGCATCAAACCTCTTTCAGTTATGAATTATGTGATAAATGACGTGGCGGAAGAGAATTCTGATATGTGCGATAGAAATTGATAGAAATTCATAAACGGCAAAGTCGGTTTTGACGTTTTTAACCCCACCTTGACCTACCAAACATTGACTAAGTTCGACGAATTAACTGGTATTTTAACTGGCATTGGACATGATGATTTCTTTCAAGCTACTTTCTCTGACGATTAAATTCCGACACCCTCTGAGTTAGTCGAAAGACTATCTATTAACACACTAACCTCGCGCAGAATTCCAACCGTTATGTGAAAAATATGAATTCATAATGTCCATTACAATAGCTTAAATGATATTCATTTTGTTCCTTGCACTGAAGGAAAGATAAGGACAGACGGATGTTTGTTATCCTACTTTTGAAGCGCCACTTGATGAAAATATATTTCGGTTTTGTACGTCTAACTTTTTTTACCGATGATGTATGTGAGCATGCAAAAATGAAACAATTCACTTTGGTTTCAGGTGACATCCGGTCTCAGCATAAATTGTTTTGCAAGAACCGTTGGATTTTTAACCCAAAATTGCAATCAAGACTTGTTACAGTACTGAATTGGAGCTTCTGTCTTGAAAAGGTAAGCTATTTGTGCTCGATGACTATCTCTTCATGAGCTGTTGATTTTTCAGGAAGTGCGATTTGCGTCATCGGAGACAAACTTGGTAATTAAGAAGAACGGCTGGATTGGTCAGTGTTGTACCCTTACAAAACAACACATTGCCGTCTTCGTTTATCTCTTAAGGGTGTTAATCTTAATAAGACGGAAATATTGTAACAATCGCGTGATATCACGATCGAGGGGATCTCGTTTCATGTAAGTGAGGATCAACAAATGATACATCTTTTAGGGAGGGGAGGGAAAGGGGAATAATGAACCTGGACTACTCTCACAAACAGGAATTTTCCTAAGAATGTACATCATCGGTCATCGATTTGAGTTTACACATTCTCTTCATTCGAACGATTTAAAGTTGAAAAGTAGTGCACCGAGGGATTAGCCGAGTCAGTCAAAAGTTGAAAATCCCATGTGAGAGCCGAGGTTAATAGTTATGCTCGAAAACTTGGTGAACGAATTTGACTTGAAAAGCCTTTTCCTGAGTAGGTCAAGTTTTTTTCCGCAGATTCTTTTCCTGAAACTCATCGAAACTTACTTCAAAGAACGAGTGATTTTTCCTTCTTGGGTTAGGAACTCCTAATTACTCGGAAAATTATTTACTTTGCCAGATTGGTATAAATTTTCTCGACGATTCTTGGCTTTAAGCCGATTCAGTCCGTTTACTTTCAGTTTTATGGCGTGACAAGAACAAAAAAAAATGTTGATAAATTCCCGACTTTTAACCATTTTTATTCTTTTTTTTCCTAGGAAAAAGTTGACCTCCTTTACCTTCATCAAAATCAATAAGGAACATTTCTAACTTCAAAAGGTAATTTGCATCGATCTGACTGTTCTAGAAATCCAAACAACACTAGTATCGTTATGAAAGCTACAAAAGAAAATTATAAGAATAACAACATTAACAGCATATAGAAATCTAAATTTAAGTAAAACCGTGGTAAATTCGCCTATGAAGTTTACAACTTGCTCAGAGACGATTGGGTGCAGATGTTATAAAGAATCGTTGCCAATTTCAAATGAATAGCATACTTATTCGATTCAACTAAATTTGAAGAGGATGCGATAGCAATGTTAAAAAATATTAATGTATTCAAGAAAACCTTCGAAACTCGAGATTTTTCATGACTCGAATTTTTAGTGAAATTCGCTTAAAATATCTCGGATGCGGCCATGTTTCTGCTCATAATTACTCCATTTCCATAAGGTGAATTTGTTTAGGAATATATAGAGGTGATAAGATCTGTGTGAAGTTACGTACGCATAGCCATGCGAAACATATATTTTGTATCGGTATTTCGCTCACGACGACGGGCGAATGACAAATGGGGATTATGACTGTGATCTGTTGACATCTGGTAAAACATGCTACTGATTCTGTTGAAAACATCCTGGGCTCATTTCATATTTGAATACACAATATTAGGCTCAAAAAATGCACCTGATGAAATAAATCCCATTTGGAGTGCTAATAAAAGTACACTTGCCAAGCTTGGTGTACGTGGGAAACTATCGGCCGGTCGCTGACTTTAGACACCCAACCGTATGCAATATTATAGAATCATATCTGCGGCTGGAAAGTGCCTAGATATTCTTCAAGACTCACACATTGTTTGAATGATCAGTCGTTTGAATAGAGAAGATAAAATGCTTTACAGGAGGTCTTTACACATCGAAAACGATCTGTACAATCTGCACCTTTTAAGAGTAATATTACCACAGGGCACCCAAGGTATCAGGGTATTATTATCAGAGGATTATCCCCTTTCCCCCACGGTGTCTCTGAACCAGAAATGCTGATTTGATTTTAATGTTTTGTTTGAGTTGGGGGATATCATATCTATTTCTTTACATCTGGTTCATCCCAAACCCTTTCCAAAGAGTCTAAATCAAAATCGCTATATTCTGGTCCGCTACCCGTGCGCCTCTCCCTAAAGTCACTTCCAATCCAGCCTTACCACTCCGCAGGCTTTTTTAATGAAAAAGGAGGTACCTCTGCACAAAAAGGCATATGATTTGAAGGACCAGACTAAAGACACCCTTTCCCAGAAAACCCTGCATGCCAGGGTTCGCGATTCTGTAGTTTAAAGCGTGTTCACAGAGTTAGCTGATGTTTCACCCTCTCGCGGAGATTATCTTTTTCCAGTGGCTCTAGATCTTGGTGACCAACGTTGATGTCGCTGGCCTGCGGCAATTTTTCGGTATTCTTTAAGGTCGCCAGTCTAGAATAATAATTTGCAATCTGTTGATCTGTGAGCCACTCCTCTTTGTCGAATAAGTGTTCGTTGGTACCCTACCGACATAGTGTGCGTATTCGTTTTAAAACATCACGCGGGGTCACCTTGCTCTCAGTCTCTTCACCAACAAGAAATAGCTCGAGAAGGAAGTTTTCACATGTTCCGTAAGTCTACTACACTTCCTTGCCTTGAGGGCCCAGCCACGAGGCACGCCGTTGGAGCTGTTGGCGGTAGAAGTACTGGAGGTCTTGTGGGTCTCTGGTATTTTTGCTTTCAGAGAGGAGCATTTCGCCGCCCATTGTCGTCTGATGTGAGTCGAGATGGCTGACAAGGTAGTGGTTAGAGCGGTAGACTTTAGTACACCCTTCCTCAGGACATGAAAACAAGGCGCTTGCAGTTTCTGTGCAGTTACGTTCCCTCACATCTTTCGCTTATGGTGGATTTCTCCACCAGAAGCTAGCCTTTTCAACGCGCCTTTTGCAGTGTCTGGTACGTAAAAGGCTTTAAAACTTTTATACCTGTCACTTGCTACGTTGACTCCATGGGAAGAGCTTTTTACAGAGATCCTACTCCCACACGAAATGCGCGCTACACCTTGATACTACCACACTCGTACTAGAAATTATTTAGCTGACTTATGCCCGTCCACTTTACGAGTGTTAACACTTGCTTTGCTTAGTCGAGCCCCCGTACGAGTCAAAAGCCTCCTTCAGCTGCACTGCAGTAGTAACATCATGACTTGCAAACCAATATCCACAGGCATGAGTAAGTACATGTTTGAAGCTTCAGGTGCTGTGTCTTTTATGGGAGGTGTGCGAAGCCTGCTGGATCCTCGGGCATGGGCTTTATACTACGAGGTGCAATGCTGTACCTGTTGCCACTGTTGCTTTACTTTCGATTTTTAGACTCCATCGCAGTTTTATTGATAATTGTAACCACGGACAGACGATATCGAATTTGTTTGCGTGGCACATCAATGTGGCGATCTTACCTTCGTTGACATATCTATCAACGTGCGCCTTGAGTGGTGCAATCTTTCGGTCGCACACATCCTTGCCACTGTTTGCCTCACTGAAGCTTTGGTCCTTCAACACAAGCCCCTGACGTGTGATAATAACGGCGGCGCTAGAAAGGAGAGCGGCTTTATGGTAGCAGCCCGCGTTATCATTTCTCAGAAACAACTCCTTAACTCCAGGCTCCATGTTAACTATCTCGGAAGCCACGCTCTCCAACACCGAGGCCACATCAAACTAATCTTGATTGCAGGCGTCAAAAATGTGGGCCAGTGTACACACCTAATATCATGCAAGCAAAAAGCACAATTTTTCGTTGCCTAAAACGACTGTGCAAATCCGATATTGTCATAGTCCAAACTTTCGTTTTCCTGTAGATTTGAATAATACATCATACTATATACAGCTTTAAAGAGGTACTTGACAAGTGCTCGCGATACTTTCTTCCTGACCGCTCCTGACTGCAGCCTTTCTGAAAATTCAAATACCAATTACCTCAAATTCCATATCCGTATTTTCTGAGCACGTGATGAAAGCTGATACGTGCCAGCTTATGCCCTTTTTCCCAAACCATTCCGACTGTGTTTCGCGGAATCTTTTCGGCAGCCATTTCATAGCCCAGTTCATGACAATAAGACATTGGTGTTTTTCCAGGTTATCAAGGATCTTAGATATGGCCCTTTCCAGGTTAACGGTCTTCAGCACATGCGCCTTCTACTAGAGTACACGATCAGAGGATTGTTCAATGTCGAACTCGAGGTCCTTTTTCTGTCCCTGGTATCTAGGGACAAAATTACACAAACAACAGTCCAAGTTAAAATAGTGCATGAAAACGTTACTTTGAATTTTATAAAGCATATTTCAGATGATGATCAGATTGTAAGTTTTCGCTTACATTCCTATAGATCGTTTTCACGTGACGCCATGTCAGCGCACATCTAAGTCTCGTGTGTCAGTCATTACTATATGCAAACACGATACAAATTTATAATTCAGAAATTCGAAAAAAATTAAATGAATGGCTTCTACCGAAAAAATTGATATTCCTTCGTCTGATCCTGACCATGTCGTCCAAATTCCACTGTTTGATTACGTTAAAAATCTAGATGTAAAAGTCAGAGAGCGTTATCTAAAGAAGATCTCGACTATCGGAATCGATCCTGTTTTGATAGGTGGGAAACGCTTCGAGCCTGATTGCTTACCGCCGCTGGAATCGACTCATTTGCTCTGCTATTTTTTTTTCAAGACTAGCTATTATACGCAAGAAAGCCTTCCGCAGTCTCGAGGCCTACAATCAAATCTGGATTACTACCGCGAAGGATGGGACAATAAACTGCGCTCATTGTTTGGGATGCGAGGCAGGCCTCGCCGAATCATGTTCACTCGTAGCTAGTGTGCTATTTTACCTTGAGGCCTGGACAAAGGTCAATGGAGGGCTTTCCTGTACGCAAATTAAGTGCCCTTTGATACTTCCCAGTTCCGCAAACAAGGTGAAATACTCTCGTGTCCGCAATATTAACTTTAAATCCGCTAGGAAAATGAAAGCCGACCCCGATGAAACGATAGAGAATCTCAATTAGGGACTTCAGGTTTCTAAGAACTCGGAAGTCTTCTCTGCAAGGCGCGTTCAAAAACAGGTGCCAGGTGCCAGCGCCGACGCAAGTGGATATAGAAAACTTTTATTTTGACCTCAGCAAATGCAAAACAAAGCCTGTATTGCTGAGCTTGGTGATCACTACTGCTTCGACATCGAAAGAAATGTCTATAACCTTTACTCCTGGTTCATCAATTATTTGTTTTTTTGGACTCGATTTCTTCCCATAGTTGCCTTTCACGTTCTCCTGCAACACGTTTCAGCTCACGACCTCTGGCTCTCTCGTCTCGCTTGGCGGCAACTTCAAGATCGGCTTGAAGCTTTTCGACAGAACCACATTTCTGATGACCTAGATTTTGGGTCGGCACCAAATCTGGATCGTAAAGATCCCACAGTTTAGGCGCTTTTCCGGAGATAAAATGTTTACCACAGACCCGGTAGTGGAAAGTATCCGTACTTCTTCTCGTCGACTAGTAATAATTGAAGTTATTCTTGCCATATTAATTCCTTTATCACGACCACTTGGGGTCCCACAGCTAAAAATCGCGCATAAAACCATTTTTTATCCTAAACACAACTTCTGGTCACATGTTTACAGGCAGGTGATGTGCACCAATATGGCGGCCAATTAAAATGAGATCACGTGACTGAAAACGATCTATTGGTCGAGGGCTTGCTCTTTAGGTCTCTCAGTCAAACACGTCGCGGTCTTAACCTATCTGCATCTTTTATCGAATGCGCTTACTCAGTCTGACGTGTGAAGCCCATATGTGCCTCGCTTCAAAGCCATGTCCATGTCAGTTTTCCAATTCTTTGACGTAATTTTCTAATTGTGAAATCACCTGCACCGCGCATGTAAATACAAAAAGACTGCAATGTTGGGAGGGGAAAATAAAAATTGTAATTTGAAATTTAAAACTAAAAAGATTTTCTACAAACAGTCCGTGAAAAATTTTTCATTAATTTCTCCTTTTTTTTCAAACTGAGAAGAAACAGGGTCAAGATGGACAGCATAAAAGAAGCTATATCAGCCATCTCCATAGGTATAGTGGTCGCCGAGTTCCTTCGCAAAACTGGTCGCGTGCTGCAAGCCATCGAGGTGTACAAGGAATGTTTGATCATATTACACAGTCAGGCGCAGGCTATCGATAGTTCATTGGCAAACTTTACGTTCCGAGCCATCTACAAGAAAATAATCTGCGCTTACGTTTACATAAAGGATTACACAAGTACAGAAAAATACATCAGGGAACTCCTCCTATACCTAGACTCTCATGACACCGCTGAAAAAGGATGGCTACATTTAAACCTGGCAGAAATACTTCAGGTACAAAGCAAATTTATGGAGGCCTGGAAATTTTACGAATCAGCAATCAACATCATGACAACGATTGGAAACAGACACGGCCGGGCACTATGCTACTCAAAGCTCGGAGTAATGTCCCAATCACTTGGTCAACATGACAAGGCCCGAGAATATCAGGAGAAAGCACTCACTATCAGAATAGAAATTGGTGACAGGGATGGAGAAGCAACAAGCTACGGAAACCTAGGAACTGTGTTCCGATCACTCGGTCAATATGATAAGGCCCGGGAGTATCACGAGAAATCACTCACTATCAGAATAGAAATTGGTGACAGGGATGGAGAAGCAACAAGCTACGGCAACCTAGGAACTGTGTTCCGATCACTCGGTCAATATGATAAGGCCCGGGAATATCACGAGAAATCACTCGCTATCAAAATAGAAATTGGTAACAGGGATGGAGAAGCAATAAGCTACGGAAACCTAGGAACTGTGTTCCGATCACTCGGTCAATATGACAAGGCCCGAGAATATCACGAGAAATCACTCGCTATCACAATAGAAATTGGTGACAGGGATGGAGAAGCAACAAGCTACGGTATCCTAGGAACTTTGCTCCGATCACTCGGTCAATATGACAAGGCCCGACAATATCACGAGAAATCACTCGCTATCAAAATAGAAATTGGTGACAGGGATGGAGAAGCAACTAGCTACGGAAACCTAGGAACTTTGTTCCAATCACTCGGTCAATATGACAAGGCCCGACAATATCTGGAGAAAGCACTCGCTATCAAAATAGAAATTGGTGACAGGGATGGAGAAGCAACAAGCTACGGAAACCTAGGAACTTTGTTCCAATCACTCGGTCAATATGACAAGGCCCGAGAATATCACGAGAAATCACTCGCTATCAAAATAGAAATTGGTGACAGGGATGGAGAAGCAACAAGCTACGGAAACGTAGGAAAGTTTTTCCAATCGCTCGGTCAGTACGACAAAGCCCGAGAATACCTGGATAAAGCACTCACTATCAAAATAGAAATTGGTGACAGAGAAGGAGAAGCAACAAACTACGGAAACCTAGGAACTTTGTTCCGATCACTCGGTCAATATGACGAGGCCCGACAATATCTGGAGAAAGCACTCGCTATCAAGATAGAAATTGGTGACAGGGATGGAGAAGCAACAAGCTACGGAAACCTAGGAACTGTGCTCCAATCACTCGGTCAATATGACAAGGCCCGAGAATATCAGGAGAAAGCACTCGCTATCAAAATAGAAATTGGTGACAGGGACGGAGAAGCAACTAGCTACGGAAACCTAGGAACTTTGTTCCAATCACTCGGTCAATATGACAAGGCCCGACAATATCACGAGAAATCACTCGCTATCAAAATAGAAATTGGTGACAGGGATGGAGAAGCAACTAGCTACGGAAACCTAGGAACTTTGTTCCAATCACTCGGTCAATATGACAAGGCCCGACAATATCTTGAGAAAGCACTCGCTATCAAAATAGAAATTGGTGACAGGGATGGAGTAGCAACTAGCTACGGAAACCTAGGAACTTTGTTCCAATCACTCGGTCAATATGACAAGGCCCGAGAATATCACGAGAAATCACTCGCTATCAAAATAGAAATTGGTGACAGGGATGGAGAAGCAACAAGCTACGGAAACGTAGGAACTTTGTTCCAATCACTCGGTCAATATGACAAGGCCCGAGAATATCACGAGAAATCACTCGCTATCAAAATAGAAATTGATGACAGGGATGGAGAAGCAACTAGCTACGGAAACCTAGGAACTTTGTTCCAATCACTCGGTCAATATGACAAGGCCCGACAATATCATGAGAAAGCACTCGCTATCAAAAACGAAATTGGTGACAGGCATGGAGAAGCAACAAGCTACGGAAACCTTGGAACTTTGTTCCAATCACTCGGGCAATTTGGAAAGGCCCGAGAATATCACGAGAAAGCACTCGCTATCAAAATAGAAATTGGTGACAGGCATGGAGAAGCAACAAACTACGGAAACCTAGGAACTTTGTTCCAATCACTCGGTCAATATGACAAGGCCCGAGAATATCACGAGAAATCACTCGCTATCAAAATAAAAATTGGTGACAGGGATGGAGAAGCAACAAGCTACGGAAACCTAGGAACTGTACTCCAATCACTCGGTCAAAATGACAAGGCCCGAGAATATCAGGAGAAAGCACTCGCTATGAAAATAGAAATTGGTGACAGGGATGGAGAAGCAACTAGCTACGGAAACCTAGGA